TCTTCTTCTTTGCCCCCCCCCAGCTCCTCTCCATCTCAGCCCAGGAGCAGTCCCCATTTTCTGGGGGAGTTGGCCCTGTGCAAGGAACAAAGCAGAGCCAGCTGGCTCTGGTCTAACAGCTGCGTGTCCTGGGTCAAGTCACCAGCTTCAGTTTTCTCCCCTATAAAGTTGGGCTTCCAGATAACAGGCGTTCAGTCAGCGCTCAAGACCTGCCCCCACTTGGCTCTTCTCCAGCAGATTTTGAGTCTCAGCTAGCAGCTCTCAGGCCTTGGAACCCTCAGTTCTGCCCCGGGAAGGACAGTCCCCCATCTGCGCTCTCCTCTCAGGGCTAGCAGCCTTTCTGAGCTCCTGCGGGCAGCGCAGTCCAGTCAAGAAGACCAAGTGTGCAGAATGGTGGAGAAGGAGCAGGGATGTCTCCGGGCGGAGGTGGCCCATCTTAGAGGAGATGGGGCAGGCAGGGGCTGAAGCCAGGAGCCTTCCCGGCAGGGACTCCCAGAGGCCCCGTGGTGGGTGTCCCGGGAGAGACGGGGTTTCCGCCCCAGCGCTCTCTGCCCAGGCCCTTTAAGGACTGAGGAGCACAGCGAATGAATGAAGGTCAGAGCGAAGGAGGGGAAGAGTCTTCAGCCCCCAGGAGGGGCAGGATGGGGATGTCCAGGGGCAGGGGTGGGGGGAGGAGCCAAGCCACGGGCCAGGGAGCTTGCATCCTTCTCGTGGAGCCTCGTGGCCCCTCTGGGAAGACAGTTATAATGTGCCCACTTCACAGATGAGGAAGTTGAATGTCAGAGAGGGCAAGGCCGGGGGAAAGCTGAGAATCATGGGGGGGAGGTTGGGGAAGCCTCCACTCAAGGCCATATGACTGGGCCGGGGGCCCAAGGGAACAAACCAGGGACAGACGGACACAGACAGGCAGCAGGTCTCTGTGAGGGCAAGGCTGTCTGTGGGAGGTGGGTGCCAGGGTGGCAGAGGACAGCAGCCTCGCTCCAACACTTCTCCAGGATCCTGGGGGAGCCTCACCCTTTCTTCTGGGCCGGGATGGATGGAGGACCTGAAGCTGAAGCTCAGATTTAAACATGCGTTGGGGAAATAAAGGATAATGGTCTCTAATTACTACTCATTAATACAATTAATTAAGCTAATATATGCAATAAGTGGTATCAGTTATCAGAACAAATCAGCTAATACAGGCAATTAAAGGGGTTGGCTATTTAAATAATTAATGTGGCTGATTAATGGGATTGATTTCATTCAATTGTCACGATTATTTATTAATTTGTTTCACCACTAATAACAGAGGGGAAGTGCCTTTTAAGTCCATAAAATAAGGAATAAATTAATTAATTAATGGAGCTGAGTTTTTAAAAATGGAAGCTTTGATTCCTGGATTTGATCATTACCACAGGAGGGAGAATATTCTAGAAATCTCCAAGTAAACTGAGATCTGCAGGCTGAGTAGGAATTACTCTGGCCCTAAGGAAGAGAGGGGGTTCCAGGCAGAGGGAACATCATGTGCAAAGGCCCTGAGGCTGGAGGGAGCAGAGCTCTTTGAGAAGGCAGGAGTGCAAGGAAGAGCTAGGGGAGAGAGGAGGGATCGCCAGCAGAGACCCGGTCACAGAGGCTTGAGCCACAAGGACTACACTTTGTCCTCAGGGTTGCAGGGGCTGCTGTGACGTTCACTCATTCAAAAACATCTTTATGGGGTGCCTGGCACACTTCTAGGCGGGTCCCAAGCCCTGATCTTGTGGAGCTGGCGTTCTAGTGAAAAGAGAGAGTCAGTGCTTGAGATGGGACCTGTGGCAAGTCAGCCGAGTGCTATGGAGAACAGCTAAGCAGAGGAGAGAGGTGGGGAGCATCAGAAAGCCACACTCTCAGATGGGTGGCCGGGAAAGGCCTCACTGAGAAGGGGACATTTAGTAAGACCTGAAGGAGGGAAGGGTGGGAGCTCAGTGGATGTCTGGAGGGAAGGTATTCCAGCAGAGGGAACAGGAAGTGCAAAGGCCTTGGGGTGGGGACCAAAGCCAGCACGAAACCCAGCTTGGCTGGAGCAGTGTGAGTGGGGGAGTGTGCTAGGCCATGAGTGGGAGAGGCGGCGAGGAGCCGGCGTGTGAAGGCTGTTCTGAGGACTTCGGCTCCTTCTCGGAGTGAAACCGGGAGTAAGACTAGGAGGCCCTCCGGTGCGCTGAGCAGAGGAAGGCCATGACCTGACTTTCCTTTTAACAGGACTGCTCTGGCTGCTGGGGTGAGAACGAGTCACAGGGGGCACAGATGGAGGCAGGGAGTGACACAGAGCCTGGCAAGTGAGCAGTGACGAGGTGGTGGCCGTAGTCGGGGCAAGTGATGGCAGTGGGTGGTACTGGGACATGGTCGCATCATGTCTTGCAAATGCTGGAGTGTGGTGGAGGGGTGGGGGACGCGATGGGGCTGACTGTGGCCCCAGGCGCTCAGCTTCCCGGGTCTGGGGCTCTGCCCTGAGCGCCCGCAGTGGCTCTGGCCACCTCAGCCTGCCTGATCCCTGGGCAGGCCCCCGCCCCTGGGGCTCTGCTCCCACCTCGGAGCCGAGGGGAAGTGGACAGGAAGCAGGAGGAAGCGCTGGGGCGATCCCAGTGTCCTGGCCGACCTGTTCCCATTCGTGGGAGGATTTCCGGGCCTGAATGGCCGGAAGCGCTGGGATGGGACACCTCACCCCGGAAGAGCTGGCGGACGGAAGCAGGGGAGGGGTCGTTCCCCCACCTCACAGCCCCTGCTGCTGGACAGACAGATGGAACCCAAATGGCTTTGGAAGCCTGTGTGGCCCGGCTGCAGCTTGAGGGACTGTGGTTAGACGTCAGGAAGGACTTTGTGGGAGGGAAGGCTGACAGCGGGGCTTCCAGAATGTTGGAAGAGGGAGGGCTGTCAGAGCTTGTCAGGGAGAACCCCTTTGCCTCAGGAGCCATGGGGAACCCCACAAGGGATTCTGCTCTGGGAGCACATACCCTACCCACAGTTTTTGTATTTTTTTAGCTCAGCCTTTTTTTTGTTTTAAATTTAATTTCTTTTCATTAATTGTAATTTATTTATTAAATTTAAATTTGGGCTTCTGTATTTGAAGAAGCAGTCCCTCCCCATTTTGCAGATGGGAATACTGAGGCCTCTCCTGGCCAGAGAACCAGGGTCCAGCCTGACGTAATTAATGATAATGACAGTGATTAACATTGGCTGTTTATTATTCATGTCCTCCTTCAAGCAATATTTCTTGAGCTGCTACTATATGCCAGGCACTGTGCTGGGGGCTGGGGGCTCAACAGGGAAGGAGACAAAGTCCATGTCCCTGTGGAGGCATCAGGTATTAACGGTCAGCATGTAAATGTAAGGTGATCATTTCAGGCAGCGACTGAGGGAAATAAAGCGGGGTTGAGGACAGAGAGTGAAGAACGAAGGACTATTCTAGGTAGGGGGGTTAGGGAAGGCTTCTCTGAGGAGGGGACGTTAAGCAGAGCCCTGAATAAAGTGGGAGGAGGGGCAAGCTGCATGAAGATCTGAGGAAAGTGCATTCCAGACAGAGGGGAAGAGCAAGTGCAAAGGCCCTGTGGCAAGAATGAGCTTGGCAAGGAGGCCAATGTGGTTGGGGCAGAATGAGGAACCGAAGGAGTGAGGGAGGCCTGTTGAGGGGGTCTGGCGAGTTGGGCGGTTGGGCACCACCAGGCCAAACAGGGCCTTGTAGGTTGGGGAACATATGACTCAATTTATACATGTTTTTCTGGCGTCATAATGGCCCCCTCTTTACTCTCACGAGGGAAGAAGCATTCTGGTTTGGATGATGAATTATGTGGCCAGCCATTTGCAGGCCACGAGAAGGGTTTAGATTTTGTTCTTGGGGAGGTGTGAGCACTGGGGGGGTGGGAGGGGTGTGCCCCGTGATCTGCTCAGGTTTTCTCCTGAGTGCCGTCCGGTGGCGGAGTGGAAGCTGGCCCAGGGATGTGGGAGCTGGCCCGGAGAGCCAGCGAGAAGGCTGCTGCGTGCTCCGACACACAGAGGGTGTCCCAGATGGGGCAGGGTTGACACGTGGGCAGACGCAGTCAGGATCTATTTTGAAAGCAGAGCCGCAGGATTTCCTGATGGATGGGGTGTGGAGCGTGCGAGAGAAGAGACACAGAGGACCGCAGGGTTTTTGGCCAAACACAGCAACCAGGATGCAACCGACATCAACGGAGATGGGAAGCGTGGGGCACGGGGGTCAACAGCTCTGCTTTGCGTATGACAAGTGCAAGGCGACTTCAGACGCCCAAGAGGAGGCGCCAAGAAGGCAGTTGGGTTGATGAGTTGGTGTTGAAGGAGCAGGTCCAGGCCGCAGCAGCGAAGGGGTGGCCTTTAAGGCAGGGGACTGGGGGAAGTGGCTCACGGTGGCTGCGTGAGGAAATGTTTGTCTGGGGCCTGGGAAAATCAGCCATCCCCCTGCCTCTGGCTTCTCCAGGCCCCTTGCCGGCCACCGCAGGCAGAAGGGATCAATTCTGCAGCCAGCTGTCACCAGCAGTAGCAGCACAGTGTGCCGGGCGGCCGCTGAGTGGGTCCCTCTGCTCTATCGAGTGAGTGGAGGGCAGAAACAGGGGAGCCTGAGCCCCAGCGTGGGCCGCCAACGTTTGGAGTCAGGGAGGAGTGGGGAGAGAACACCAGGAGAGAGCAACCTCATGAAGCTGGGTGGAGACAGTGATTGAGGAAGCCGGCGCCCTGTTAAACATGTAACATTCATTGGCTCCCTGAAACATCACGACAACCCAATGAGGCAGAGGCTGTCATTGTCCCCATTTACAGATAGGAAACTCAGGCTCAGAGAGGTGAAGGGACTTGCCCAGGGTTGCACAGCTACGGGGTGGAGGAGCAGCTGGCCAGCCGATTCCAGCGAGTGCTCAGCTGCAGGGCCCCATCTGCCTTCAGGATGAGCTCTCTGGGGTTTGAGGGCCAGGTGCTCCAGACAGGTGGGCAGAGGCTGACAGCTGGGGGCACTCACCTCTCTTCTCTGCTTCCAGGGCCGCTGGAGAGCTGGAGGCCGGTGGAGACTACGTGAAGGTAAGAGGGGCTGGGCAGGGCACAGAGGCGCAAAGCCTGTTCCGTGAAGGGCACGGTCTTTCTCTGAGTCTGGTTAGGAGCCAGACCTTGCTGCCGCTTCCAGGAGGAGAGGGGCTAGGGGTCGGGGTGGCACCTGGGGCCTGATTTCACTCCCAGCATCTTCTTCATTCTCTCCTGGCCCCACGCTCAGGACATCCCAATGCTTGTTACCTCCAAACCCCACCCACTGCCAGCTGGACAGGCCCCAAGGGGGTCTCTGTGCAAAGCCTGTGGCTCTCTAATCCTGCCTGGTCTTGAGCCTCGCTGGTGCCGGGATCGGGGAGCAGGGGAAGATGACTCAGTCCTTCATCACAGATGAGGGACACAGCTCACACTTATCACAAGCGTCATTTGTCCTGGGCACTGGGAATGTTGAAAAGGCAGTTTTGAGATAATGATAATAAAAATAATCATGTGACATTACATTTTGTGTGCCTACTGTGTGCAGAGCCCTCTGCTGGCTGCTGGCACTGGAAGGGAGGAGCTTTGAGCTCTTTACGTGAATGAGAGCTTTGCCTTCTTCCCTCATCTCTGAGCTTGGAAGGCCTTCTCATGCCCATTTACAGATGGGAAACTGAAGGCCCAGAGAAGTGAGGTGACTTACCCACAGTCACTCAGCTACTATTGGGCAGAGCTGGGATGGCAGTCCAAGTTCATTTGATGCCAAGACTGTGGACAAAGCCCTTGGGCTTCCACCTCAGGAGCCCCCTGAGCCAGGCCCCCTGCTGGGTGCGGAGCTAGTGCACAGAGCAAGCAGCACCAGGCCCTGTGTCCAAAGGGCTCCCAGTCCCTGTGGGGACAGGGCAGAGTCACACAATGGTTTGAGCTTGTGTTTGGTAATCTAGCAGACCCAAATTCTAGTCCTAGATCTGCCACTTATCTGCCACATTGACTTTGGGGGTGTGTGTCACCTCTCTGAGCCTCAGTGTTCACCTATGTGACGTGGGGTAACAGTGGTACCTCCAACCCAGGGTTGCTATGGGCTCGGTGGGTCCATGCCCATAGTGAGAAAGCTGAGCCTGGAACAGAGCAGGCTGGCCTGGCTCCTGACCCCAGGGACATGCCACTGCCCGAGATGCTGCCTATAAAGCTCCGTGTAAGTGACTCGTAATGGAGCAGCGTGGGCAGTGCTCAGAGTGCGCCCCACCCCCCACCCCTCTCCATCACCAGAAGGCTCAGCAAAGAAGCCACTGGAGCTCCAGAGGTAGGGGATGACTTTCAGCTCGGGGGCTGGGGGGAAGAGATCATGGAAGGCTTTCTGGAGGGGAAGGCATTGCAGCCAAGCCATTGCAGTTGACCAGGAACATTCACCACGGTCCTCTCCCCCGACACCACAGCGGGACAGAGGCCTCAGGGAGAACCAGCACCAAAGCCAGTGGGTGGAACACACAGGGGGCACATTTCAGCACCCCATAAATCCCAGCCACCTGGCAAGGTACTGAGAGCCGCATCACAGATGGTAGTGAGACCCCTGTGAGGACTATTAGCTTTGTATTTTTGCTTTAGTTTATGGGGCTAAAAAAATGTAATTAAAAATATTATAAAAATATACCTGTTCACTGGAACTGAGTAAACAACTCCCTAAAGAATGAACTCAAAAGAATGTTAGTTTTAGTTTCAAGCCTCAAGCGAGAACGGAATCAATAGTCAGTTACCAAAAGTCCATTCCTGCTCTGAAGTACTTAGCTTCGAGCACTCCAGGCTTCTCAGACTATGATGTGAATGCTTCGATTCTAAGGCAAGGATTCTAAAGTTCCAAGAACATAAAATTCCAAGCTCCGTGCTCAGAACTTCAGATGTGTTTATAGAAAACAAACAAACAAACAACTGAGGCCCAGAGAGGCAGACTCACCTGCCTGAGGTCACACAGCCTGTCAAAAGGATTTGAAACCCAGGCCTGACTGATGCAGAGTCAGCAATGACTCCCTTTGCATCGACAAGCCTATGACTCTAGGACAAAAAGTCTAGATTCTAAGACACTAAGCTTGAAGATAAGAGTGTGCATTTATTGAGCACTTACTGTATGCCTAGTTCTGTGAGGTCAGTCCAGGGATGTTTTCCAGATGAGTAAATCCGAAATCTAAGAGAAGGGGCTGGTGGGGTGGAGGTGGGGGCACCGCTAGTTGAACCCAGGTTGTGCCCTAACGGTTGAGCCTTACGGGCTTTCTGCACCCCCGGAGTCTGTCAGTCGAACATTCCGCGATCGTCCGCAGAGTCCCTGATTCCAAATTAGAGATGAGAAATCCTGGGCTCTGGGAGATTTTCTGAGGCCACAAAGGATTTGGTCAAACGCACACAGGGATTTTTCCGGCTTTAGGTATAATTTAATTCAAAGTCTGCCCCCTCGGTGTCAGCGAGGGGCGCGCGGGTCGGGGAGGTAGGAACCCCCCTCGCCGGCCCGGGGGTCCCCAACCCATCCCTCTGCCCCCCGTGACGCCTCCCTTGGCAGGTCCTCTGCTCCGCATCCCCCGACTCCAGGCAGCCGGGGCGCGCGGGGCTGGAGCGCGGGGGGCGAGGGGCGGGAGCGGGGGGCGGGCGGAGGGAGGAACAATGGCCCCCTCCCCTCCCCTGGCCGGTGGAGGGTGGGGTCTCCCCGCCCCGCCTCCCCGCTCCTCCCCCGACAAGGCGATGAGGTAATCGCGCTGCCGAGAGGCACGCGCAGCCGGTGCCCAGCCGGGTCGGTCCCGCGCCCCTGCCCCGCCGGCCGCCGCCCCCCGCACCGCCCCGGCCCGGCCGTCCGGGCCCACCATGACCGAGCGGTGCAGCCTGTGGAGCGCCCTGTCGGCCGCCGCCTGCTGCTTCTACCGCGGCTCCTTCGTGCAGGTGCAGGTGAGGGGGCGGCTCGCCCCCGCCAGGCGCTCCGGGCTGGGACCCCGGCCGCTCTGCCCTGGCCCCGGCCCCGGCCCCGGGCCCGGGAGCCGGGAGCCGCAGCCCCGTGGCGCCGGGCTGGGTCCGGCCGGGCAGGAGCTGCGGGCTGCGGGCTGCGGGCTGCGGGAGGAGGCGGGGTCGCCCCAGCCTCACCTCTGGGCGCCCCGACGCTCCGAGGGGTGAGGGTCCAGCTGCCACTCCCGGGACTTGGGGCTGCAGGGGCTGCCGTTCCGTCCTGCCTCCTCCGCAGACGGGAGCTGAGCTGGGGCGTTGGGTACCGGGAGATGGGGTCCCCGGCGTCCTGCTGGTCCTCCAGAGAGCACTTCGGCTCCTGCGGCTGACCCGGGCAGCCTGGCTCCCCATTGTACCGGGGGCGCTGGGCTGGGGTCCGAAGGCTAAGTGAGGGGCGGGAAGCTGAGGGAATGCTGCGGGTGCCGGTGCCGGTGCCGGTGCCGGTGCCGGTGCCGGGGCTGGGGCCAGAGCGCACGCCGCTCTCCTGCCCTCTAGGTGGGCTCGGGCATGCTCGGGGCGCGGGTCTCCCAGCCCAGCTGGCCGGGCAGTGCAGGTCGGCGCCGTGGCGGTGAAAGGGTTAAACGGAAGGTGGTGGAGGGGAGGACCCGGACCCCGCCTCTCTGCGGAGCATCATCTGGGGATGGCTTTGCTTGGGGTTGAGAGACTGAAGGGAGCTAGAGGGGGCTTGCTGGGCACGGGCCGGTGGGATGGGGTTAAGACCCTGCCCGGGGGTCTCCGCGCTTTTGCCTCCCAAGCCCCCTGGGGGACGCCAGGCGCGTCACCTCTGCGCTGCCCTAGGCTCACACACACGCTCGGAGCCCGCCTGAATGACGGCCCTGCCGGCGGCGGAGCGCAGCATCCCCGCATCGGCCAATCAGGCGCGCGCAGGCTGGGAGGCGGTGAGATCATCTCTGGCCAATAGCAGTGCGCCGAGCGCAGGGATGCTGCATTCGCACCCCACCACCCCCACTCCCTTTTGGGAGCTGGGGACCCCGGGGTCGAGGGTGAGGAGGAGGGCACAGGGCCCCTCGGGTTCCCTACCCTCGGGTGTGTAGGAGGACCAAGTTGATCCCCTCATATTCTCCCTGACGGTTAATTATGGCTATAAAAGTGGATTCTAGTTTCCCACCCCCCATTTACAGATGAGGCTACCCAGGCACAGAGAGGGAGAGTGACTGGTTCAAGGTCACACATGGCAGGCAGAGTCCTAGGGCCAGGTTCTTTGCCCTCTCCCCTTCTTTGCCCCGTCTCTCTCTTGCTCCAGCTGTGGAACTGGGGCAAGTCTCAGTTTCATGCTCTTTGTCAAGAAGAAGGACCCCAGAAGGCTGGGGTACTGGTGTCCTCTCCCCTGGGACTCCCATTCTTCCCTCCCAAAGGGTGTAGTGTTGTCTAAGGAGAGAGGCCCGGGACCCCCCAAAAATAGGGAGCCGTGTGGAGGAGTGGAGGTATCTGAGAAGGCCCAAATCTCAGCTCAGCCCTGGGCCTGCCCGCCCTTCCCGGGTATCAGTTTCTGCCCTGGACAGAGGATGCGCAGAATCCCCATCCTCGGGCCCTGCCTTTCCCTCAGCACCTGCATACATCACTCGCCCCCACCATCTGTCCCCAGAGCCCCACAGGTTCCTCAAAGCCCAGATTTTCATGGACCCATCTCCAAGCTGCTCCTGGCCCACCTCAGAGAGTGTCTCATTGTCCTCCCAGGATGTCTGCCTGGAACCCTCTCTGAGCCCTCTGCCTTCTTCCTTCACACCCCACCAATGGCTATCTAAACACCCTTCCCCCAGGCCCCATCCCCGTGCCCCACCCTGCTCTGCCATTGCCTGGAAAACACTAGGCCACTCTCCACACAGCGGATGGAACCTGCCTCGATGCTTAAAAAACCTCCTGTGGCTCTGCTGTGGCCTCTGGGTAAACCCCAGCTCCCCAAGCCAGCCTCCCAGTGCTGCCACGCCTGGCCCCCCACCCCGGACCCTTGAAGCTTCTCCTCTCCCCCTGCCCCAGGGCCTTGGCTCTGCCACTCTCTTCACAGGAGCTCTTCGCTGCCCGCCTGTCTGTCCCCACCCTGATGCTTTTGCTTGGCTCATCCAGTCCTCCTCCTCCTCAGTGTCTTCAGGGACTCCGTTCCCTGACGATATAAGGAGGGACCCTCTCATCTGCTCCCCGAGCTCTCTGCACATCTCTGAATGTTCAGAAAAGCCCAAACTGCACGTCAGTGTCCTTGTGGCTCCCCCAGGGCAGAGGCCACCTGTCCTGATGACCTTGGAGCCTCAGCCCCTGGCACAGGACCTGTCCCAGAGTGGGGGCTTAATCAGTGTTGAAATAATGGAGTCCCAGGTTCTAGATATCTCTGAAGCTGGGAACCAGGGTGTCTTGGGAGCAGGGTAGATGGGGTAAACCAAGGCAGTGTGTGAGCAGAGGGGTGGAGAATGGAGCTGCAGAGCTAGGCTCTGAGCTCTGTGGAAGGTCTGAGGAGGCAGGGAGTGGGCTGGAGGACCCTCGGACCCTGGTGGGTAGGGGGTCCTGGAAAGAGACTGTCACCTGGGCTGAAGCCAGGTCCTTTTGTGCCCCCTTTCATCTGTCCTGCTGTCTGGCCAGTTCTGGGCCAGATCTGTCTGTCCTGGAGCAGCCATCTTTGGGGACTGGAGTTGGGGAAAAAGAGAGGAAGCAATGTCACGTGTCCTCACAGTGCCGAGGACATCTGTGGGCTAGTGCTCTGGAGTAGCGTGTTCTTTCCTCCTTGCAAGCTGGTGAGGCAGGTTCTGTCATCATACCCATTTTACAGAGGAAGAAACTGAGGCCCAGAGCATTCACACGGCACAGCCAGGACTGGGCTGGGCTCCGTGGTGGGGATGCACCTGGCAACAGGTGCTCCCCTCCCCCTGCACTTAGGCCTCCAACCCGAGGCCACAGTAACCAGGAAACCAGGAATCTTCCCCTTGGGCAGGTGGAAGGGGGGAGTCCTGAGCATTGTCTCCAGTGAGTGCCCTTGGGCTTCCCTGCTGCGCCACAGTTTCCTTATCTGGCAAGAGTTGCTTGAGACGGCAAGGAGGAAAGGGCCTTGGGAATTGTAAAGGACGACACAGATGTCTGTGTGGCGGCCTTTGCTTCCCTGTTTATGGCTGCCTCCTCCACCGTTCCACCGTGTCATCCACCATCCCGGAACATATCTTCGTCTATCCAGCTTTGTTTTTGTCCATGCCTTTGCCTGGCATCTGCTGCCTTACTTCCAAGATCCACTTGTAGAAATCCTCCCTCTCCCAACTTTAAGATCTGTTTGGTGTCACTGGTGCATAATGAGTGTTTTGTTATTGCCGTCTCCTCCAGGAAGCCTTCCTGGACCACTCCATCTCATCTAGACTTCATCTCCTTCCTAAAAGCCGCCCAGCTCTTTGCCGCTGTCCAGTACTGTGGTGCTGATCTCAGTCTGCATAATACTCATGTCGCTTTTGCCTCCCCTCTTAGGCTGGGAGCTTCCTTGAGGACAGGGCCTGGTTTATTTATTGCCTCCTTCACCCCTGGCACATAGCACTGGGCCTGGAACACAGTAGGCACTGTTTGGTGGAATTAATGGAGATGTCTTTACTCCTTCTGGGATAGGGACTTGTGGGTGAGGACCTTTTTGGCATCTATACCTAAGAGTTCCCAGGGTCCCGGGATGGAAGGAGGTCACCTGGGGCAGGAGGAGGGCGGGAGGGAAGGTGGAAGGGGCCCTCAGATCGGATGCCAACTCTTTCTGTCTCCCGCCCAGTTCTCCAAAGAGAAGTACATCTTGGACTCATCGCCTGAGAAGCTGCACAAGGAGTTGGAGGAAGAGCTCAAACTCAGCAGCACAGATCTCCGCAGCCATGCCTGGTACCACGGCCGCATCCCCCGCGAGGTGAGCGGGCCCTGAGCCGGGCCTCAGTCCTGGACCCTTCTACCCCCAGCTCAGCCAGCCCCAGCCAGAGAGGCTCTGACCTATTGCTTGGTGGGTTCAATCACAGAGGACTGGGATGAGGTCTGGCTCTGCCATTTATTGACTGTGTGACCTTGAACAAGTCACTTCACCTCTCTGAGCCTCAGTTTTCTCATCTACAAAATGGAGGATAATAATAGTACTTACCTGAAAGGATTATTGTGAAAATTAAATGAAATCATGCATGTAAAGTGCTTAACATGATGTTTGACCTGCAGTGAGCTCAATGAACATTGTCCTTTGTTGTTTTTGTTGTTGTTATTATTATTATTACTATTTTTTTACTGTTATTGTTATGGGTCTACACATCAGCCTCTTGTGTGTTTGATTAGTGAGTATTAGTCCTTAGGCTACTCTGTTTTGGCAAAGTTGAGTTTCCAGGCTGAGGCACAGACTTGGGCTGGTAGTCACCTGTTCCCTCTTTCATTCATGCTATAAATCTTTGTCAAGCATCAACTCTGCCCGGCCCTGTGCTGGGCACCAAGGATGCAGAGATAAAATAGGCGGTGGCTTCCGTTGAGGGCTGGTAGTCCAGGGTGGGGACTGACAGGCAGACAGTCAGAGCCCGGGGTGGGAAGTGCAAGAATGGAGTGCCCAGAGGGAATGTGGGCGAGCCCTGAGGGGGGGCACTGAGGAGAAAGGCCATTGCGAGATGGATAGGAGTTCACCAGGTGAGCAGGATGGGAAGGACGTTCCAGGCAGAGAAAGCAACTTCAGGGTGCAGAGGCCCAGAGACGTGCCAGAGTACTGGGTGTTTGGAGGAATGAGGATTAGGAACTCTCTGGGCCAACATGAGCCCTGAGAAGGAGTAGGTCTGAGGCCTGAGTTTCAGATCATGGTGACCGTGACTCTCCCAGACCCTGTGTCCCTGTGACTTCCTTTCCAGGGTCTCATGTCCTCCCTTTCCGGAGCCTCTGTGCCCCAGCCCCAATGCCTCTGGCTGAGGTGCCCCCTCTGCATCTGGGTCATTGTGTCCCGCCTCCCAGGCTTCAGCTATCTGTGTCACTGTCCCCCAGGTCCCGGGTCTGGCCCTCTCCTGCCCTTGCCCTCCTCCAGCCTAACCATTGCCTCTGCAGGTCTCAGAGACCCTGGTACAGCGCAATGGCGACTTCCTCATCCGGGACTCGCTCACCAGCCTGGGTGACTACGTGCTCACGTGCCGCTGGCGCAACCAGGCCTTGCACTTTAAGATCAACAAGGTGGTGGTGAAGGCGGGCGAGAGCTACACCCACATCCAGTACCTGTTCGAGCAGGAGAGCTTCGACCACGTGCCTGCCCTGGTGCGGTACCACGTGGGCAGCCGCAAGGCTGTGTCGGAGCAGAGCGGCGCCATCATCTACTGCCCCATCAACCGCACCTTCCCGCTGCGCTACCTGGAGGCCTGGTACGGCCAGGGCCAGGGCAGCAGCAAGGCCGCCAGCCCTGCCAGCCCCTCAGGCCCCAAGGGCAGCCACATGAAGCGGCGTAGCGTCACCATGACTGACGGGCTCACCGCCGACAAGGTCACCCGCGGCGATGGCTGCCCTACCAGGTAAACAAGGACGCCACGTGGCCTCAGTCTCCTCATTTGTTGAGCGGGGGTGTCAGTAATGGAACATTCTCAGGGACATTTTGATGTCACCTGGTTACCTCTGGGGCTGGGTGAGACCAGGCCCCGGTCCCAGGAAAAGCCACGGCTGCGAGTCATTCCTGAGGCCCTGCTGTGCATGCGGCCCTGCACTGGGTGCTCTCTGCGCCCAGTCTCCTTGACTCACGTCCCCTGGGAGGCGGCTCTTGTCCAGACCTGCTTTAGAGATGCCGAAACAGGCTTAGAGAGAGGAATGCACTTGCTAGAGAGTGCTTTGACTCTCTGCCCCAGGTCCGTGACTCCAAAGTCTGTGCCCCTAACTCCTGTGGCCTTCCTGGCCTTTTGCAGAGACCCGCTGTCCAACACCACCAGCACCTGGATAGGTCCCATCTCCCTGGGCCTGGGCTGGGTGCTGTCAGCCAAGAAATTGCTGGTTGGGTACCCGGCAGGCAGCCGCCACTTAGCCTGTGGTTTGGAACCAGTGACTGTCATGGTGCCAGGCTGCACAGACCATGTGTGTCCAAGGCATCTTGATCATAGTGTGGGAGTCAGTGGATAGGCCTGGCTCCCTCAGGCTCCCCGGCACTTTCTGCTAGCCCCTCTCCCCCGACAGTTCTCCAAGTTGGGGACGAGGTTCCCAGGGAAGAGAGCAGTTGTGCAGGTTGTGGATTGCACAAGCCTTTCTCCTCTGGGCTTCGGTTTTTGTACCCATCAGTTGGAAGGTTGGGCTCAATAATCTCTGGCAGATCTACAATGGAGGCAGAGGCGGGGGTCCTGAGGCTGGCTGAGGACCTGACCTCTGAGCTCTCTGCTCATGAAGGTGTCTGCTCCACAGCGCATCGCTGCCCCATCCCCGGGAGTCCATCCGCAACTGCGCCCTCAGCATGGACCAGATCCCAGACCTGCACTCGCCAATGTCCCCCATCTCCGAGAGCCCCAGCTCCCCTGCCTACAGTACTGGTATGACCAGCAGAGGGGGCAGGTGGGGGGATGTGGTGGGGGTGACCTTGCGTGTACATGTACATGTCCGCCATGTGTCTTTGATGACTTCTGTTACAGTGTGATTAAGTGTGTTTCTACCTCTTTTCTGAGAGCAATGCCCGATAAGAATTTATGCTAAAAACCTGCTGGTAGAACTATGGATATTGACAACCAAAACACGGCTTGTTCACGCAACAACGATTTATTGAGTCCCTATTGGCTATCAGGCACTGTGCATGATGTGGTTTCCAGTGCATTCTCCAGAATGCAGTGAAGTCTGCGGGAGGCTCCCCAGTTACTGAACCTGGGCTCCCGTGCTGTGAAGTGCGCTCACGCAGCAACCTCGGCCCCATGCACGTGGCAGGTGCTCTGCCGGGCCCTGCCCTGGCTTGGGACTTACCGCCTCCCTCACCCCAAATGGTAGGCTCGAACCAGGCTAGTCACACTGTGCTTTTTGCTTTTTTTTTTCCTTTTAAATAGACTGTGTTTTTTTAGAGCAGTTCTAAGTTCACAGAAAAATTGTGCAGAGTGCTATGCTTCTTTTAAATACAAGGAAAATTTCTGTTGTAGAAACATGCCACCAGTTCATTTCTGGAAGGAAAAAAAAAGAATGTTTTCGACAGGCCATATTGTGTACTGTCCATGTGACAGGCAGACTGTGCAGACAGAGGGGCCGCCCAGAGGAACCTTTGCCATGTCGTTGTCCATATGAGTTGTCACAAATTCTTCCCTAAACACAGGCTCACCAACTTGTCATAACTACAAACTTGCCTTCAAAGCAACACTCAAGTGTAAAAATTAAAATTCCGTGCCACGGATTATTTGCTGGACAATTTCCAAGCAATGTGGCATAGTAAAGTACCCAGGCTTGAGGACTTAACACGTGGTTTTAAGTCCCAGCTCTACCACTTGCTGGCTGGGGGATCTCAGGCAGGTCACTTCACCTCCCTGAGCCTTGGTTTTCTCATCTGTAGGATGAGGATCATAAAAGTACTTACATCACGGGATGTGGAGAGGGTTGAATGGACTCGTTGTGCAAAGAAGGATCTCGCAGCTGTAAAAGCTCAATAAACATCATTCTAATTTTGGATGATGGTTTTACCGTTGTTGACCAGCATATCTGCAGCACGTCGCCAGCTCCTGGCTCACGTGTCTCCATAAATCATTCTTCCTAACTCATTGAGAAACAATTCCACACAATGAACTCCAGCCAGGGCTCAGCTTCTGTGAATGGCAGAAAGCTCCTCCAAGTAGTTGGGTGGTAGCCCAAGGCCGCAGCAGCCTTAGGCTAGGAGCATGCAAACGCCTGGGGTCCAGGGGAGTCCAGAGTATTGCTGAAGGCTGGTCAGTTTGTCAGAGTCTGCGTGGCCTGGCCTGGGTGTGGGAGGTGGGGACATCACCCCCGTAGGGTGGATGGAGCCTGTCCTTTGGGAAGGGGGTGGGGAACCTCACTGGGTGGGGAGCCATGGTAACTCGTCCTCTCCCTTTATCTCCCTGCAGTGACCCGTGTCCACGCCGCCCCTGCAGCCCCCTCGGCCACAGCGCTGCCTGCCTCCCCTGTCACCCGCCGCTCTAGTGAACCCCAGCTGTGTCCCGGAAGTGCCCCAAAGCCCCCTGGGGAGTCGGACAAGGGCTCTTACTCCAGCCCCTCCCACACCCTCTGCAAGGCCTCCCCATCACCATCACTCAGCAGCTACAGTGACCCGGACTCTGGCCACTACTGCCAGCTCCAGCCTCCCATCCGTGGCAGCCGCGAATGGGCAGCGGCTGAGGCCTCCAGCCGGCAGGCCAGGAGCTATGAGGAGAAGCTAAAGGAACTTTCAGAAAACGGGGCCCCCGAGGGGGACTGGGGCAGGGCCTTCACAGTTCCCATCATGGAAGCCACCTCTTCCTTCAACCCGGCCACCTTCCAGTCACTCCTGATCCCCAAGGATAACCGGCCCCTGGAGGTGGGCCTCCTGCGCAAGGTGAAGGAGCTGCTGGCAGAGGTGGACGCCCGGACGCTGGCCCGACACGTCACCAAGGTTGACTGCCTGGTAGGTGCTAGGTGTGCACTGGGGCATGGGCAGCACCTCTGTCCTCTGGCCTTGGACAGGAGTCAGGGTGGGGAGGAGTTGGCCCCTAAATTCCCCAAGTATAGCGAGTGGACCTGGACTCTGGCGTCACAGCTGTCCTTCACTTGCTATGTGACTCTGGGCTGATCACTTTACCTCTCGGGGCCTCCATTTTCTCCTTTTAAAAAAGCAAAATACAAGGGATTCTTGTGTCCTCCAGAGGTCAGTTTGGCACTGGAACTGAACAGTCCTGGAACCTGGTGGTGTCCGGCTCCCTGGGGCACTTTTTGAGCCTGGTCAGTCAGCCGTGCTGGTCCTGGGATTAGAGGAGACCCGACTCCCCGCCCCCACGCCCCCAAGTGGACAAAAGGAGCAACATCATTACCTAGGCCCATAAGTTGTCAATGCCTGGGCCTTTGCTTTGAATGAATCTTGACCGTCTATGGACCCCCGCTCTCTGGGCACCTCAGCTTTTCCCTCTGAAGTTTGAGGGGTACACTGATTGCTTGGTCGCACTGGTCACCGAGCTCGGGAAGCAAGTAAAGAGACAAGGCAGAGGTGTTGCTCTGAGAAGAATACTGGGCGTGAAGGGAGCAGCCCTGGGTTCCAGGCCCAGTGTGTGACCTTGGACAAGCTCTTTGCCTCCCTGGGCGTCAGGTTTGCCTTCTGGAATAAGGGTCCCCGGGGCACCTCTGGCACATGTTAGATACCCCTGGGCATTTTTCCGTTCATTCCTCATTTCACAGATGGGGAAAAGGTGGCTCATTTACTCCATGTCAGGGTTAGAAGTAGAGCTGGAATTCAAACCCAGCGTCCCAGCCGGGCTGCCCTCCTAGATACAGCTCTCTGACTCCCAGATGGCTGGGGCCAGCCGTGACAGGAAATTAATCAGCCCTCTGGGCGTCCTTGCAGGTTGCTAGGATACTGGGCGTTACCAAGGAGATGCAGACCCTAATGGGAGTCCGCTGGGGCATGGAGCTGCTAACCCTCCCCCATGGCCGACAGCTACGACTAGACCTGCTGGAAAGGTAAGACAGACTCCCGCGCACGGGGACTCGCGGGGACCCCCCTAGGCTACTTCGCGCCTTTTGCTGTGGTCGGCTGGCCAATCACGGTCTCTCAGCCCAGCTCCCAGGGGTTCTGGCCACGCCCCCTATCCCACTGACCAATCACAACTTCTCGACGTCCAGCCCCAGGTAATCCTGGTTTCCCAAAGACTTGAGTCCTTCATCTCCGGACTTTTTGCATCCTCTTGACCAATCACAGTCCATGAGCCTTGGCCCCGCGCATCAGCACTGGCTTCTCTTCTTTCTTAAAACAGCTCTGTGCGATAAATTCCGCTGATCCATCGCAAGCCCTTCATCCGGGCGCTCAGGGGGCCCTGGCCCCGCCCCTGATTTATACTGACCAATCAGAAGCCATAGCCTTGCTTGCCCTCACTCTGGCCGCACCCCCTACTCTCATTGACTCTTTACAACCTCACACTTTTGGCTCTGCCCACCGCCCCTCCGTGCCCAACCGCAAGCAGTGGCACGGCCCCCCCCCCACCCGGGGTCCTTGGCCCCGCCCTCTGACCTGGCCGCTCCGACAGGTTCCACACCATGTCCATCATGCTGGCCGTGGACATCCTGGGTTGCACCGGGTCCGCTGAGGAGCGGGCAGCGCTTCTGCACAAGACCATCCAGCTGGCGGCCGAGCTTCGGGGGACCATGGGCAACATGTTCAGCTTCGCTGCAGTCATGGGAGCCCTGGATATGGCCCAGGTACTGAGGGGCCCCCTGGAGCCCCCTGGCTCCAGACGGAGGAGCCCTGGGAGGTGTTCCTTTGGGATGGCTGTGTACTGAATCAGGAAGAACTTTGTGACTTTCTCGACAGCGTTGGTGAAACAGTTTCTCTAAGAGCTGACCTGCTCCTAGACCAAATCTTTCCCCTTCTCTGGGCCTCAGTTTCCCCACTTGTAAAATGAATGAGGAGCATTATGTGAGTTTAAAGAATAAATATAGAATGGCTATCGTTTAGCGAGCACTTACTATATGCTAGGAGCTACGTTAGGTTACTTGCCAAGCACTGAGTCCTCAAAATAAACCCATGAGCTAAGTGCCTTTATTGTCCCCATTTTCCTTGTGGAGAAACTGAAGCAGAGCAGTACTTGTCTAAGGTCACACAGTCAGAGGCTGAAAAGGTTGGGATTCGAACCAGGTCTGTCTAATTTCAGAGCCCAAACCTCACCCACGCGACACTTCCTCTCCTGTGCCTAGTCACTGGTAACCACAGGGTCCCAGAGGCAGTGGTTCAACTCCCAGCTCTGCCGTTTAGTTTTGGAAAGACCTTGGGCAAGTCCTTCCCTTCTCTGAGCCTCAGTCCCCTCATCTGTAAAGTGGGTTGTTGTGAGAGCTTCGTGGGAGACGTGTGACAAGCTGTCAGCATGGTCCCTGTTACATGAATGGTGACCATAATAATAATAATTATCCCATGTCCGGGTGTCCACTCAGCAGGGTGGGCTGTGGCCCCTGCAGGCCTCTTCCCTGGCTGGTCACTCACAGTCTGGTCTCCCTAGATTGCCCGGCTGGAGCAGACCTGGATGACCCTGCGGCAGCGACACACAGAGGGTGCCATCCTCTACGAGAAGAAGCTTAAGCCGTTTCTCAAGAGCCTCAACGAGGGCAAAGGTACCTTCCCCACCTTGCTGTGTGAGCTTGGACAGGTTCCAGCCCTGTCTGGGCCAGCAAAGACTCTCCCAGGGTGGACGATAATGAGAGTTTGACTAAGTTCTGTACAAGCTATTCTCCTTGTGCTCGCTTTCTTCCCGGGGCAACGGTGAAAGCCGCATCCGGGTCCAGGCTCGGCCCCCAGGCCTGGGCAAGGCTGCAGTGGGTTCAGCAGCAGCAGTGGGTTCAGCTGGAGGCATCCAAAAGGAAGGGTCTGTGTCAGGAGTCAGGAGCCCTGGGGGTTCTCTCGGGACCTCAGGCCAGCCCCTTGCCCTCCTGCACCTCAGTTTCTGGGACCACAGTGGAAGGTGGGGCCCTGCGGTCTCTAAGCCCCCGTTGTTTCCCACCCTGCAGAAGGCCCACCGCTGAGCAACACCACCTTTCCCCACGTGCTGCCGCTCATCACGCTGCTGGAGTGTGACTCGGCCCCGGCCGAGGGCCCCGAGCCCTGGGGCAGCACGGAGCACGGTGTGGAGGTGGTGCTGGCCCACCTGGAGGCTGCCCGCACCGTGGCACACCACGGAGGCCTGTACCACACCAACGCTGAGGTCAAGCTGCAGGGTGAGTCCCGGGTCACTTCTTCGGGGAGATGGTCATTGGTCCTGCCGGCCTGGGCCTCCCTCCACCTTCCTGTCCATTCACGTTTCTCCATCCCTCTTTCCTGCCCCGTCCCCCCGGCTTCTTCGTCTCATCCCTTTTCTTCCTCACTCATCAGTTCAACAAGGCTTTGTGAGTGGCAGTGCCAGGTGGAGGTGGGGGTCCCGGAGATGGTTCAAACAGCACCAAAGTGGAGTAGCACAGCTTCTCTGAATCTCAGTTTTCTCACCTGTGAAGTTGGCGTCCTAACAGACCCACTTTACAAGATTGTTTGCAAAGTGCTCAGCCTGGAGCCCCGGGGCTGAGACAGACCTGCCCTGCCTTCAGGGAGAAAAGTGGAACTCCCTCTCACGAAAGGAGCAGAGAGAAAGTGGCTTCAGGCAATCCATCTTTTTAATTTATTTATTTTTATTTTTCTTGAGGAAGATTAGCCCTGAGCTAACTGCTGCCAATCCTCCTCTTTTGCTGAGGAAGACTGGGCCTGAGCTAACATCCGTGCCCATTGTCCTCTACTTTATATGTGGGACGCCTACCACAGCACGGCCTGCCAAGCGGTGCCATGTCCGCACCCGGGATCCAAACTGGCGAACCCCAGGCCTCCGAATTGGCACATTTGCACTTAACTGCTGCACCCAGGGGCCGGCCCCCAGACAATCCATCTTTTACTGCCTCAGGCATTATTTAAGCCATAAAAGTTCACTGTAGACAAATTGGAAATTACAGCTGAGCAAAAACAAGATAAAAAAAAAAATCACCGACGATTACTCAGAAGTAAATGCCGTCAGCATGCTGGTGTATGTCTTTCTTGCTTTTTTCTTTTTCAGAAAGAACAAAAATTTTTTTTTTTACATTTACCTACAAAATGTATATACGTTTCTTAGGAAAGATTTTGGAACTTACAGAAAAATACAAAAAAGAAAAGAAAAATCACCCAAGAGTCCTCCCCAAATTAACATTAATATTTTATCTTCTGGTTTTAAAAGTATATGTTGCAAATAGTAGGACAAACACGAGGTGCTAAACTGCATGGTCATCAACAAAGCTTGTTGGAGGCCTGGCGGAGCTGGGGGGAGGTCCCCCCAGGAGGGAGGCCCTGAGGGGTGGTGGCTTCAGGCGGGAGCCCTGGCCTTCCCAGCTGGACAGTGGTCCCCTGACGCCTGCGCCCCGCCCTGCAGGGTTCCAGGCCCGGCCAGAGCTCCTGGAGGTGTTCAGCACTGAGTTCCAGATGCGCCTCCTCTGGGGCAGCCAGGGCGCCTGCAACAGCCAGGCCCGGCGCTACGAGAAGTTCGACAAGATCCTCACTGCCCTGTCCCACCAACTGGAGCCTGCTGTCCGCTCCAGCGAGCTGTGACCCCTTGGACCCTTCCCCTCCGCAGCTGCGGGCAGCAACGGGGACAGAGGGGCACAACCTTTCCCCAGAGCACCCCAGGGACACTGTGATCAGCCCAAGAATGTTCTGGGTTCCGCTCCAGGATCTCCCTTGCACCAGGGTCCGGCTCTGGCTCTGGGCTCCACAACCCCCCAGCTCCTCTTCAGGAAGAACCGGAACCTGTCCCTCCCTCCGGCTTCTGCTTCCCCGCTTCCTGCTGAGATGCCCTGTGTTGGAGCCACGAGCGGCTCCTCACGCCTCCTCACTCTTCTCCAGGCGTCTGCCCCCATCGCCACCGAGGCCTCCATCTGGCTGTAAATACGTGTCTGTGCTGTAAATAGATGTACAGAAACCATGTTCTTTCTTTCATATAATAAACTTTTATGACTCTTTCTTTGTCTCTCAGGGGGCCCTGGGGTGGAAGGAAGCATCTTTTCTCAGGTGAAGGGTGGAAAATTCATTCAACAAATACTCATTTAGCACCCAGGACCTTCCAGATTGTATCTTCTAGCCGGGAGCCAGTTACAGCTAGAACTGAAACCCAGTTCCTGTGCTGCAGGAGCTCAGATCCCAGGCGGGAGATGAACAGCCAGTTCCAATGCGGCGGGGGGCAGGGGGGGATACTGAGCCTCGCCTGCTCCTACCCGCCTCCCTGCCTCAGGAAGCCACTGAAAAGCTCCCCACAAACGCACAGCCAAGGGTCCCAGATGTTTGGGGTGGAAGGGCTTTTCGAAATCTAGGATTCCAACTGCCCTCTGGCAAACTGAGAAACCGGAGGACGAAGGCAGGCTCTGTGGGTCAAAGCAGCAGAATGAGGAGGGCTGGGACCTGGGTGTCCTGACCCGGAGATCTTTCCTTTTCTATCCTCAATAGTGGGAACTACTCATTTCTTTTCAGGCTTTGAGACGTGGCCCCAGAAGCCTTCGTGCGTGTGTGTGTGTGTGTCTGTGTGTGCGTGCGTGTCTGTGTGTGTGTGTGTGCACATGGTGAGCGGGGCAGGGAACCTTTGAGGAGGGCCGTGAAGGCAGTAGTCTTGATTGGGTGAAGGAGGTGGGCAATGTGGATCACTAGGATTCCAGGCCTGGCTGGAGGCCTGGGGAGCCTGTTCGCTGAATTTGAAATGTCTGGGGTCCTTCGCAATCTGAATCCTTTGACCAAGAGAGGCTGGATAACATCGTGCATTAGATCTTTGGCAGCAACCAGACCTGGGTTCAGTTCCTTTGTTTACCAGCTGTGTGGCCTTGGATAAGAGGCTTAACCTCTTGGGTGCCAATTTCCTCCTTAAGAAAATGGGGACAATAACAGAATCCATCCCTTAGGACTGATGTTAAAGAACTTAGCGCATAGTACCTGCTAGGCAAGGGACCACCATGTTTCATACATAACGGACTGTCAAGGATCATTTATTGATTACTTCCTGAGCCACAACACTTTTATGTGCCTGTACCGCGTTGAAATATCACCATTTCTCTGTATGACAGGTACTGTTATTATAAGATCTATGAGGCATCTAACACTAATGGCACACAGTACGTGCTCACCAAAAGCTATTAGTGAGTGCTCTTTTATCATATAAAGGAAAAAAGAGCATGCAAAAGGCGCTTTGCAAGGTGTAAGTTGCCGCACAAGTTTTGGCTACATTTGCTAAGTCACCCTTTGTGCTCATAATCCTTTATTCATTATTCTTTCGGGGTTACTGTGATGGTCCCCTAGTTACCGTGGCCATGGAAACGCGGCCCGCCGTCCTGGATTGGAAGGTTCGCAGGCTCCCCCTGGAGGCCACTTTCGGTCCTACTGCGGGACGACGGGGCGGGCCTCTGAGAGCGGCGAGAGGGAAGCCGGAAGTTGTAGGCCACGGGCGGAGGCTGCTGCGGGGCCATGCACGCCGGGAGTTGTAGTTCTCGGGAGAGGCGGTTGGCGGCCCTGGACCGAGCTCGGGCCTGAGGCGGATGGCGGCTGTGACGCGCGGCTGCCGGTCCTGGGGCTCGCTCCTCGGGCTGCTCGCGCTGGTCTCGGCCGCGGCGGCCGCCTGGGACCTGACTTCGCTGCACTGCAGCTTCGGCACCTTCTGCGAATGTGACTTCCGGCCCGACTTCCAGGGTGAGGAGCCGGGTGCGGAGGGGCGGCGGACGGGGGAGCCCTCGGACTCCCGGCTTGCGCCGGGGCCGGACCTGGAGGATGGCACCGAGGGGCGGGACCCCCAGACTTCCAGACGGCCAGAGCTGGAGTGGGCGCGGCGTTGAAGGACCCTGAGAGCCGGGGGCACGGGACGTGGGGCGAGGGTTCGGGGTCCAGTCAGAGCCCTGCCAGGATGGAGAGAGCCTTGGAGAGCGGGGCCTTGCGGGGGGTTAGGCCTCCACCGCGGACTGGCCGGCAGGGGAGAAGCCTGCCTTGGGGGTGGGCAGGGGTCTAGGGCAGACCCTGTTGACAGCTCGCATCCTCTCGGGGCTGAGCGCAATCTAGAGGGCCGTCCGGTGGGGGCGCTGCCGAGCTGAGTCAGGCCAGAGTTACAGCTAGAACTGAAACCCAGTTCCTGTGCTGCAGGAGCTCAGATCCCAGGCGGGAGATGAACAGCCAGTTCCAATGCGGCGGGGGGCAGGGGGGGATACTGAGCCTCGCCTGCTCCTACCCACCTCCTTGCCTCAGGAAGCCACCGAAAAGCTCCCCACAAACGCACAGCCAAGGGTCCCAGATGTTTGGGGTGGAAGGGCTTTTTTTTGGGGGGGTGGCTTCTGCTGCCAGAGACCACAAGGGCCCCACTCCCTTTCCACGGACAGCTTGTACAGACGTCCCGGAGCCCAGGGATGCCTAGACCAGGTTCCAGATGTGACTTCCCCCTTGAACCTCTTCCATGGCGGGGGCGGGGCGGGGGGGGGGGGCGCGACGGAGGGGGCGGGGTCAGCTCTGACACTGTCCTTGTGGCCCTAGGTCTGGAGTGTGACCTGGCCCAGCACCTGGCTGGCCAGCACTTGGCCAGGGCACTGGTGGTGAAGGCGCTGAAGGCCTTCGTGCAGGACCCAGCTCCCACCAAGCCGCTGGTCCTCTCCCTGCATGGCTGGACCGGCACTGGCAAGTCCTACGTCAGCTCCCTGCTGGCGCACTACCTCTTCCGGGATGGCCTCCGCAGCCCCCATGTGCACCACTTTTCCCCGGTCATCCACTTCCCGCACCCCAGCCAGATGGAGCGCTACAAGGTAGGCTAGTTGAGTGCTGGACCACTGTTCGCCTGCACTGTGGGGTGCCAGACCCTAGGGCGTGAGTCCTGAGCCAGAGAAGGGGAGTCACTTGCTCCAGCCCACACAGCCACTTGGAGCCTCAGCCCTCAGGACCCATGCAGATCAGAGCTTGGGGTGGTGCCATTCTACCTGGCAGGGAGTTCTCGCTTTAGTTCCTAGGGGGCAGTAAGGGTACCTACCTGCCAGGGTTGTGTGAGGGACATGGGATTATGTAATTGCAGGTATTATTTATTGAGCACCTACTTCTGCCAGATAGTCTGCATTATCTTCTCTCTGTGAAGCACGTGGCCCCAGTCTGAGGCTCAGAGTAAGCACTCAGTGAATATTAGCTCTTACTGCTATTGTTATTGTTGTTGATTGCTAGGGACTTTCCGGGCTGATCTGGTTCAGCTGTCAACACTATTTGGAAGGCTCAGGGAGCAGGAAGGAGCCGTCGCCTTTTAGAGAAGGCAGTAGGTGTCAGGGAAGAAGCCCTGAACAGGCAGGTGCAAGGCCTGGGTTTGAGTCCCTGTTCTCCTGCTGACTTGCTGTGTGAACCTGGACAAGTCGCTGCCCCTCCCAGGGCCACCGTGTCACCATCAGTCCCATTAAGGGATTGGTGCTCTTTGGGACACCACCTCTCCCGGGGAAGGGGATGCGTTCTTGCCTTGGGAAGAAGTCTGGGGCTGAGGGAGTATCTCCAGGCCCCTCGAACTCCTGCCTCTCCCCTACAGAAGGATCTTAAGAGCTGGGTCCAGGGAAACCTCACCACCTGCGGCCGCTCCCTCTTCCTCTTCGATGAGATGGACAAGCTGACCCCAGGCCTGATGGAGGTCCTGCGACCTTTCCTGGGCTCCTCCTGGGTTGTATACGGGACCAATTATCGCAAAGCCATCTTCATCTTCATCAGGTGGGGCCCGGCTCAGCAGCGGGCATAGTGTGGGAACACTTGTCAGAGGTCCCCACTGTCCAGTCTCGGCCTGGGGTGTGTTCCCCCAGGCCCAGGCGGGCTTTCCGAAAGCCCCTGACACTCTCTCTGGAGTCATTCAAGGTGGTTGACTTCCCTTTGACGTTCTCAAAGCCCATTCTGGGCTCAGTCGTTTTGTTCCTCACCATTTCTTTGTGGAAGCCCTGCTGGGTCAAGAGTTTTCCGTCTGTTGTGGCCAGGAGGACACAGGCCTGGGAAAAATAGAACTAGAGTTCTAGTCCCAGCTTTAAGAATCCTAGCTGTGTTTCCTCAGGTAAATCACTGCACCTCTCTGAGCTCCCCTTTCCTCTTCTGAACAGCAGGGCCAACACTAATGCCCACTCTCCTCCTAGAGACTGGGTGAGGGAAAGTGAGTTAACGGACCCCAAAGTGTTTTGTAAACTATAAAGTGCATGGCATGTAGAGGTGAATTTCCAGGGCTCATGGCTGTGGATGCAAGCTCCACAGAGGGGACGTGGTTCCTGTGGAGTGTTCTCAGTGCGTTTGGCTCCTGATGGCACTGAGCTGGGCTGGCACGTGGCGAGTGAGGGCCAAATCCTGCCCCCACCATCTGAGTCTCGGCCCACGTCCTGCATGGTTTTAGCAACACCGGTGGCGAGCAGATTAACCAGGTGGCACTGGAAGCATGGCGCAGCCACCGGGACCGCGAGGAGATCCGCCTGCAGGAGCTGGAGCCAGTCATCTCCCGGGCTGTGCTGGACAACCCACACCGTAAGTTCGGCTGGGTGGCTCAGCAGGCCAGATCCAGTGGGCCAGGCTCTCTGGGGAGGGCCGGCTTCTCCCAGGGTCTGATGCTCTGCCCACTGAACCTGCACCTGCCAGGCCAGGCTTTGGCGCTCCTGGCTGTCACACAACCTCCCTGAGCCCAACACCCAGAAGGTGGCTGAAAGGATTAAGACCAGCACCACACCTGCACTGCCCTTTGGGGGCGGGGGGCCCTGCTCATCCCAGTGAAGCCCTGACTCCTTTCCCCATCGCCCCTTCCTGCAGATGGCTTCTGGCGCTCGGGCATCATGGAAGAGCATCTCCTGGATGCCCTGGTGCCCTTCCTGCCACTCCAGCGGCACCACGTGCGGCACTGCGTGCTCAACGAGCTGGCCCAGCTGGGCCTGGAGCCCAGGGATGAGGTCGTCCAGGCTGTGCTGGATAGCACCACCTTCTTCCCTGAGGACGAGCAGCTCTTTTCCTCCAATGGCTGCAAGACTGTGGCTTCCCGAATCCCCTTCTTCCTCTGACTCTCCAGGTGGCGTCCTTGCCCTCCTCTACCTGGCCAGGCTGTTCAGGAAAGCCCTGGGTTTCTGCCAGGGAGACCCTGTCCTGAGCCTCCTGGAGAGTGGGCCCCGTAACGCAGAGTGAAGAGGAAGAGGGCTGCTGGCTAGCCCTTGGGACAGAGGGCCAGGCCGGCCCTGCCTCTGAACTGGCCTGAGGGCATCTTGGCCTTTGCTTCCTTCCCCGGGGAAACCACTGGTCACCCCAGAACCTCACTGAGCCTTGATCTTGCCCTCCAGCCTGAGCCTTCTTCAAATGTGAATTGTAACTCAGGGACTGGGGCTCGTGGCTGCTCCCTCCCTCCTCGGTCTGTTACCCGTGACCCCTTGCTCTGGCACCATACCCCAGCCCTCCCTCCCACACCTTATGTCCCAGCATCGTAAAGCCAGGCTGAGGCTTCTCAGTCTCCATGAACAGAGGGACTCTGTCATGTGGGCTTCGTTTTTAAAGTTTTTAATTTTGTAAAAGAAGAAGACAAATACAATAAACTTAGCCATGGGACCAGAGGAATGCTGGCTGCAGTTTCTAATTGCTCCTGAAGGAAGCAGCTTCGCTGAGTGCCAGTGTGTGAGGGTGGAATCTCTCCCATCCCCAGCAGGCAGGGAGGGGCCTCAGTGGCCCTTCGGAGAGCAGCCTACCTGCCGGGACAGGGGTCTTGGCCCGGGCCCTGGACAGCCTGGATTTTGCTGAGACTCGGGCTCAGTCCCGAGGTGACCTGGGACTTGCTGGGCCTCTGGCACTGGCCCTGGGCAGCCTCCATTTTGCTGGGCCTCCGGCTCTGGCCCTGCGTGGCCTCCGTCTTGCTGGGCCTCCTGCTCTGGCCCTGCGTGGCCTCCATCTTGCTGGGTCTCCGGCTCTGGCTCTGACTGGCCTCCGTCTTGCTGGGCCTCCGGCTCTGGCCCTGCGCGGCCTCCGTCTTGCTGGGCCTCCGGCTCTGGCCCTGCGAGGCCTCCGTCTTGCTGGGCCTCCGGCTCTGGCCCTGCGCGGCCTCCGTCTTGCTGGGCCTCCGGCTCTGGCCCTGCGAGGCCTCCGTCTTGCTGGGCCTCCGGCCCCGGTGCTGAGAGGCCTCTGTCTTGCTGGGCCTCCAGCTCTGGCTCTGATTGGCCTCCGTCTTGCTGGGCCTCCAGCTCTGGCTCTGATTGGCCTCCGTCTTGCTGGGCCTCCGGCTCTGACCCTGAGCAGTCTTGTTTTTTCTGGGGCTGCGGTTCAGGCTTAGATCTCCGCAGTTGTTCTCCAAGTCTGAGGATTGAGTCTTAAGCACCGAGGAGTCAGAGAATGTCACAGTAGTGGCCGAGGTGCTCCTGTATTCCTGGCAGATAGTAGAGGTCTCTGTCTCTGAGATGGACGGGGTCCTGACTAGGAAGGGTGTGCCAAGAGCACCTGTCAGGCCACCTTCCCCAGACTGCTCCAAGGAAAAGAGGCTTCTAGCCCTCACCCTTGCCTAGATCCCAGAGGCCTTGCATGGCCACGGGGAAGGCCGGCCAGATCAAGCCAGCCCAGGCCTCCTCAGCACCTGAGCCTTGCAGGTGGACCAGGGCTAGAAGATAAGGGGAGATACCGAGGGGCCCCGCCGCCCAGCCCTGGCCTCCACTCTGCTGGCTGCCCCCGCCCTCTGCATTCCAGCCACAGCCAACAGCCTGCAGGGCTCCAGGCCCCTGCCTGCAGCAGTCCCCTGCTCCACCCCTCCCACACTTGGCTAACCCAACTCTTCCTTCAGGTCCTGAAAGCCCTCCTGAGCCCCCATCGGGGCTAAATGCCCCCACAGCCCTGGACTCCCCTCCACTGTGTGTCTACACTATCCTGGGTATCTGTTTACCTGTGGGCCTTCATCCCTTCAGGACCAAGAGCTCCCCGGGGCAAGGACTGGGCCGTTCATACCTTGGCCAGCATTTGGCACAGGCCCAGCCCTGGCCACTCGATGCATTTGTTGAGTTGCACTGAGTGGAGGAAGGGGCTGGCCACTGTTGTGTTCATCCCTACCCTGGACTGCTCACAGCTGCCCTTGGGACTCTGTTCCGGGCATTTCTGGGTGTTTCACCCTGGTGCCTGGCAGAATTGAGGGTAAAAGCCCCTTGAACATGCACAGGGTTTGTGGCTTCTTTCAGGGGAGGCTAATGGGGCAGAGAGAAAAGAGACGGGCCTGAGAGGGGAATGAGGGTGGAGCAGCAGCAGCTGTGAAGTGCTTCAGAGGAAGAGCTGGCACCCCAGGCTCTGTGCTGGGCAGCCCCTCACCGAGGGTTCCCTACACCCCCTACAAAGTGGGCATTGTTACTCCCACTGCAGAGCCACACATCTAGAAGCAGCAGGGCCCAAGTCTGCACCCAGGCCAGGGAGTTTCTGCCCCTGACCTGTGCCTGCTCCGCTGCCTTGGCTCACTCAGGCCCGGCAGGAGCACAGGGGACTTACAGCCCAAGATGGAGCCCGGCGACGTCTGGTCGAGGCAGCTGTTGGACAGGGACCTTACCCTGCTGGGGGCGGGCTCTGGCTTCTCCTCCTAGGGCAGGAGACAGGCTGGGCAGTCACAGGCTGCAAGAGGCCCCAGGCCAGTGGCCACAGCTCTGGAAGGCCAGCAGTTTGGAGCTCCTCAAGGGTCCTAGGCTGGGGCTGGTTGGGGACATGGAGAGGCTAAGACTGGACAGGAAGGGGACAGGCACAGCACTGTGAGGAAGGGACCCACAAGACGCTGTGTGGGTCTCAGAGCCCCAGCTGCAAAAAGCAAGTTAGTTCAAGTGTGGGACAGGCTTCTGGAAAGTGCTGTACCCTGGGGAATGGCTAGTGAGAAACTGAGGAGCTTCTCCCTGCTTCACTTGCCTTATCCCATTTCAGCCTCAACACACATCTGGGAGGGAATTACTGCTATTAACCATTTCATGGACCAGGAGACCCAGGCTCCCGGCACCTAAGCAGCCTGCTCAGGGCACTCAGCTAAGGAGAGAAGCGGGGCTTAACTCCTGGTCTGCGGGACTCCACAGCCAGGCTCCCGGCTGCTGGTCTGCTCCGGCCACTCATACCTGCAGGCAGTGGGGTTCACGCCTGCGGGCAGTGTGGAAGCAAGGGGGTGTGTGCAGAGCTGCAGGGTGCTAAGCTAATGCACAGGTGCTGGCTCAACATCTCCCTGAGGGCGGGAGCCCACGAGGACCTCATGGGGCTGACGTTTCACACAGACTGGAGTTTTGTATTTCTGGATCTGGCGTGAGCTAGGAAAATGTAGAGCTCGTGTTTTCCATTTAGGGCAAGGGGGATGTTGGTGCTCCCTGTACTTCAGCTGTGCAAAGTTCCTCTGGACACAACTTTGCCTGTGTCCAGCGACAGTAGAGTGGATAAGTAAATGGCGGGATATCCCCGGATGGAATCTCCACAGCAGTAAGAACGAGCTGTGGAGATTGTTCAACTTGGACACATCCCACAAATGTCACGCTAACTAATGGAGCTGGAGACAAGAGGGCGCACTGTACTTGTCCATGAATGTGACAAGCAGGCGCACTCATCTACGGGGTCAGGAATCAGGACAACCTCGTGGCGTGCGCTGAGCTGAGGGAGGGGCCTAGAAGCGGGCATGAAGGGCCTTCTGGGCAGGTGGGCCTGAGTTCTTTCTCGATCTGGATAACGGTGTCACGGGTGGATTCAGCTTGTGAAATGTTATCCAACAGTTCACTTATGATTTGTGTACTTACTGTATTCAGGTTGCATTCAATAAGAAGTTTTTAGAAATGAACTTAAGAGCAAAATTTAACAAAATTCTGGCTTGAGTGGCCAGTGCACACAGCAGAATGTATGAAAGCAAGCGTGGGAAGGCCTCTCTCTGTGAGGGGCCCACATCCTCATGCGCCCTCCCTCAGGGGCACCCCTCACTAATACCACCCCCATCTCAGAGCAAGAGGTCCCCACTTGTCCCCCAGCTGAGCAGGGCCAGAGCCAGACCTGGAAGCCAGCCTCTAGCCAGGCTGCATCCCTCAGCCCTGGCTCGCTCGGGTGCACTCCAGCCTGGACCTCAAGGGCCCTGGGCCCCAGGTCCCAGGGTGCGGCTCACTCACCTTTTCTTCCTCCTCCTTGGGGACGCTGACCTCTTCCTCCGAGTGTTCTAGCTCTGCCCACACGACGTGGGGAGTGGCCTCCAGCTCTTTGGGGGTCTTAGACAAAGGCTGTTGCAGCTTCCATGAGAGCTGCAGGGCCCGGGCCTTCTGGCGCTCCAGTTCCCGCTCCCTGAGCTGCCTGCCAAGCCGCGGCCCCAGAGCGCCAGGTAAGTCTACCTGACTCACCCCAGCATCCCCGGGGACTGGACAGTGGCCTAAGGCAGCAGCTGGCGCCAGAGGAGCCTTGAGCCCGGCCATTCCCCACTCTGGGCCTGCAGCTCCCGCTCAAGAAGCTTACCCCATGATGCGCTGAGGGATGCTGGTCCCTGGGCTGCTCAGAATCACCCGGTCCAGCTGCAACCTGGCCAGGTGGGCCATCTGGCTGCAAAGCACCTCCTCCACTGACATGCCCGGGAAGAGGTTGGTTACCAGTGGGAGCAGCTGCCAGGAAAGGGGGCGACCAGAGCCAGGTGTGAGCCAGGGCAGGGGGCAGATGGCATGTGCTGCCCTGCCCTCGTAGAGTCCCTTCTCAGGGCTGAACAGGGAAGGCTTTACAGATTGTTTCTAAAAGGCCAGGCCATTTTTGCCCCCAAACTATCAGGAGACCAGGAGAAAGTAAGTATTTGGAGAAGGAACACTGGTGGGGGTCTACCGTGGGTTCTAGAGCCAGCCAGATGAGGGTCTGACCTCTAAGATGTGTGACCTGGGGCAAGGGAACTGACTTCTCTGAGCCTTACCCTCTTCATCTGTAAATTGAGGGTGATAATAATGTTAACAGTCTCGCAGGGGTGCTGAAGAGAGTTAAATAGAGGGATGCAAGCGGAAGTGGCTAGAACAGTACGTGACACGTCGTAAGTGTTCCCACACGGGCAGATCTTATTGCCCTTAGGGAACCAGATTTCTTTTAGGGCCAGGGAGGATCTTTAGGTGGCCAGAGGTATTGACTCTGGAGCCCACCCTCCTGGCCCAGCAGGAACCCACCTTCGGTTGCTTGGGGTTGAGGATGAGGACAGTGGCAACATCCTGGCGGGCCCCAAAAATGTTCTGCAGGAGTTGCCGGCTCCTGGCGCGATGCAGGTAATACTGGGCCCTCTTGGGGTTGTGCTGGATGGCCATTGAGAAGTGGTTCTCTGCCTTATGGAACTGCCTGCAGGACACAGCAGGCCTGCTATGAGCTGGGCACCCTGCGGAGAAATGACAGCTTCGGGCCCCAGTGGGGAGTTTCGGGAAAACCAGACTGGTCTCTGCTCACCCCCCACAAGCCCCTCTGTTCTCTTTCTACCAGCTACACTCTTGATGGACCCAACACCTAAATCCTAGTGTAAAACCCCAACATAAATGAATGTTTTTCTGATCTTGGAGTAGGAAGGGCCTTTCTGAGGATGTCACAAACCCAACAGCTAAAAATGAAAAATTGACTTTGACTATGATTAAATCCTACGTTATTGACTAGTAAAAACACCACAAAGGAAATCAATAAATAGGGACAATATATTTTGCCACATTAGGCAGATGATAAGCTAACTTTCCCAGCCTACAAAGAACTGATCACCAAAAAAAAAAAAAATCTGAATTAGCAATTTCATACAAAATGGGCAAAAGATTTGGGCAGGCCATAACGACCAATAAACACACAAAAGCCGCTGGACCAACAAGATGACTTCCAGCAATCTACCTACAGCATTACTAGTATAAGTGCCCAAAGGCATATGTCCTGGGTGCTCATCCAGCATTCTTTATAATAAAAATGGAAAAGAGCCCAAATATGCATCAGCAAAGGATTGTCTAAAGAAATTCACTGTGGTACCTCCACAGAATGGAACACTATGCAGACAATGAAAGAGAATGAGGTAGTCCTGTACGCAATGCCACGGGAAATAAAAAACGAGTCAAAACACAGTTCAGCACAACCTCACTTTTGTAAAATGATAATAATTGTGAATATAAGCATAGAGGACAGTCTGGAGGAATCTTTACCAAACTTATGTGGGGCGGAAGGAGGCGCTGGAAGGCAAATATTAGAAGGCACTTCCATGTTCTGACTTACATATTACTGAACACTTAAATTTTTTATAAAAAGCTCAATTACCATAATATTCAGAGAAAAAAAGGATGTTTAGCGAAGACTAGGAGACATAACTAGGAGAGCAAAGGCATCTTGACCGGTGGATCCCAGAAGGTGGCTTCAGGCCAGGCCAGAGCCCTCCGCATCCCCGCCCAGAGCCCCCGCCGGCCCCGCCCACGGAACCGCCCACAGCCCCACCGGCCCCGCCCACAAACCGCGCCGGCCCCGCCCCGCCCACGACCCTGCCCATAGACCCCCTCCGGCCCCGCCCACGGCCGGCGCACCTGCTCCTCTGCTCGCAGAAGCCCATCTTCTCCTGCAGCAGGCCCATGCGCAGGTTGGCGCCCTCATCCTGCGGGCTCAGCGCCAGCGCCTGCTGGTAGTCCGCCTCAGCAAAGGACAGGTTGCCCAGCTGGAAGAAGCAATCTGGGGCCCGGGGACCCGGGGCGGGGGCTGAGTGGGCCCCCAACCCCAGTGCCCAGGAGCCCCAGCCCAGCCTGCTCCGGCCCCAGGGGGCGGGGCCTGAAACTGGAGGCTGGTAACTCCCGGGGCGGTCGCGGGCGGCTGCAGAGGTTTTCCGTGCCTCGGGGTACCTTTTCCCAGCTGCCTGATTCTGAGCATTTTGAAGAGACTGTAGCCAGTTTGTCTAAGGCAATATTTCCCCGGGACACTGGGACTCTTAACTGTTTCCTCTTTGCCTCCTGCCTCCCTCCCTCCCTCAGGGGCCTCAAGCGCCCAGCCCAGGCCTTAGAGAGGCGAGGGCTGGCCCGCCCGGCCGCCCCGCTCACCGCCGCGGTTGATGTAGAGGCCCTTCTCCTGCTGCTCGTCCTTGAGGGCCTTGTTGAGCAGCAGCACGCCCTCCTGGTAGGCGCCGTGCATGTAGCAGTGCACGGCGAAGTCGTTGTAGGCCAGCAGCAGCTGGCGCTGCGCCTGCTGCACCAAGTTCTCCTGGCACTTCGTCAGCATGTCCAGCGCCTTCAGGAAGTCCTCCACCGCCCCATCAAACTCCCGGAGCCGGCGGTACAAGGTCCCTCTGTGGGAGAGGGACATGAATGCCAAAGCACCCTACTGACTGGGGGTGAGGCAAGCAGCTGCCGGCTCTGGGCCTCCTGACCCGTGGAGGTGGGTGGGGGGCTCCCACCTCGTGCACTAGGTTTGGCCTGTGGGGCTGGTCCTGGATTCCTACTCAGATAACCTGCTAGATCCCTGGTAATTTTCTCAAAAATAGCTTCCCTCTTTCTTTATGGGAGCCAGGTGTATGACAGCTTCTATGCTAAAGGACAGTGGTTTCACCCCCCACTGTTTGTATAAGAAAACTGAGGCTCAAGGAAGTTAAATGGCCCCGTGTGAGTCTTTTTGGGGGGCCAGAATCAAACCCAAGCCTGTCCACTGAGCTGGGCTGACCTTCCCAGTGTGAACTGCTCAGTAGGCCTGAGGGTCCAGGATTCCCAGGTTAACTGAGGCTGCTGCCTGCCCCTCCACCAGGGGCAGTAGCAGAGACCACCTCCCATGATGCCTTGACGCCAATGGGGAATAGGGAAAGATTATCAGAGGCTAGATGGGGAAACTGAGGCTCTCTTGAGACCACACAGCAGGACCCAAGACCGGCACCTCTTCACCCAGTACCGGAAGAGGAAGAAGCTGGGGTCCAGAGGGTTGTTCTCAATGGCACAGTTGATGTGTTTCAGCGAATTCTGCAGCTTGCCCTGCACAGCTAGGATGCCAGCATCTTGACGTGCCTTCTGGGCCTGGTCCACCATCATCTTGAGCAGCACCTTGGCCTGTGGGTGCTTGGGATCCAGTAGCAAGGCTCTGTGCAGGTCTCGATAGCAGAGGTTGGGCTGCAGGAGGCCGAGGGTGGCATCAGGGATGTAGGCCAAGCTGAGCCCCGCCCTGTCCAGTGAGGGGAGGCAGAACTGCAGGCCTGTAGGGGCCTTTCTCTGGGCAGGCCAGCATCACGCCACCCATCCTCAGTGCCCCTGCATCACTGTTCCACTTTTTCTGCCTCTTGAAGGAGGCAAGAAGCATTGTGGGAAAATCCGATCCCAGGCCCTATCTGTGCTGGCTTCTTTCCCGATGTGACCTCAGGTGAGCCAGGTCAGCCCTGGTGGTTTCTGCCGTAGAATGGGGTTACAGATGCCACCTCCTTGGAGGACTTCTGCGAGGCTCAGCCGAGGTGGGGGGAGGGTGTGGTCCCCTCATCACGACTGTCAAGTCCTCCCTATTCTTCCCTGCACACCCTCCCCCACTCCCTTGACCTTTAAGCCTCAGACAACTCTGACCAAGAACAGATTCAGGCCTGGGCATGAACAGAAAACATCCCCAGGCAAATACCTTCCACTGGGTGAGCAGGTCTGTCAGTCAACCAACAAACAGTTTTAGCAAGCACCCCGTGTTCTGTAGGGTAATTGGTTGGACGACGAGTGGGGCAAACGGTGTGGACACCAGGCGTGAGTGGAGGTCGGGGGGGGGAAGACTGCGGAGGCTAGCGGCAGGGTTCTGGGGCCGGGGGACTGGGGTTCATGGCAGCAGCACCACTGAGAACTGCCTCTGGGACCTTGGGTAAGTCACCCAGGCCCTCTGGACCTGTTTCATCATCTGTGAAAAGAGGACAATGGATTCTGTCTGCCTCAAAAGGTTACTGCAAGCCTTAGAGAGAAACATGAGTAAAGTGCTGAGAACGTGCCTATGTGTCACAGAGGCTGGGGTGGCGGCAGCAGCTAAAATCCGGACAGTCAACAATTCTCGATAATTACTAGTCTCCTACCTGTGCAGGGGACTCTCCCACTGACTCACGCGTGGGCACAGAGGCCCAGCCCCCAGCAGAGCGAGGCTCACGTTTCCAACCCCCCCAGGATGCCTGCCTGGTGAGCTGAGTGCACCCCGCCCAGCCCCACCCAACCGCTCCTCCCTGTCTTGAGTCTCCCAGCTCCCTGGCACCCACGTGGCCAGGCGGATTACCGGGCATTGTTCTGGATTGCTCCCTTTTCCTCACACCCGCCCCCAGTCAGTCTTCTGCCCTGCCTTCCAAAGGACTGTGGAACTGCCTGCTCCTGACTACCCTCACAGCCGACCTCCCCGTACCCACTCCTTGCACGCTGGATGGCACCCCGCCTCCTCCCCAGGCTCCCGCCCTCCAGACTTGCCCCTCCCACACTCCCCCTGGCCGCTGGAAGGATCTTTGTGAAGGCTGCTGCCTCTCAAAGGGGAACCCCTTTGGGGGCTCCCGCTGCCCCCAGGAAGAAGAGTCCTCCTGGTTTGCAAGACCCTGCCCAACACCTTCACATACCTGCAGTCCCCTCCTCCCTGCCCAGCACTCCCCACCTCCTCCCTGTGACCCCAAGTCTCCCCGCCCCTGTACTGTCATCCCATGCCGAGCCCAGGGGTTGCGCCAGCTGGGGATGCTTAGTAAATGCTCACTGAGGCAAATAAGGAAAGAAAGGTGGCAGGAGGAAGAGGAGGAGGAGGAGGAGGAGGGGGAGGGGGAGGGGGAGGCGGCGGAAGGGCTGCCTTTTCTAAGGGGTCCTGGCTGCCCGAGGATGCTGCACACACTCATTCTGTGTGTAGTTATGCTTAGTGACGTCTGCCCTGGGCTGGGTGTTCCGTGAGGGCAGGTACAGCATAGGTCTGTCACCTTGTGGGTTCTGGGGGCTGGAGCAGGCCTGGCACAGAGCCAGGGCTGAGTGACAATGGAACAAATACCAGACTGGGTACCTGAGTGGTCAGCGCGAGTCGAGGTCTCTACCCAGAGAGGACAGGGCCCCCCTGGCACTGTGGGGACGCAGCTCTGGGCTCATGGACAGCCTAGCCACCTGCTGTAACCTTGGGCGTGCTGGGGGCAACCAGGCCAGGGGGAAGGCCAGACCCTGCCCTGCCCTCCCTGCTTTACCTTCTCAAAGAAATTGTAGAGCCTGGCCCGGAAGATGTAGATATCGGGATTGGTCGTGCCATTCTTCACTTCCTTGGTGACGAGTGAGAGGCAGTCAGCATGCCGTTTGAGGGCCAGGAGACAGGCCATGCTGAGGGCGGAGGGCAGAGGTGCTCTGTCCGCTGGGTGAGAGGGATGGGAAGGGGCTGCGGGAGGACGAGGGCCCACAATGACGTGCCGGGCCGCTCACCATCGGTAACGGAAGCAGGGCTTCTCTGGCTGGAGCTCAGAGGCTTGCGAGAAGACGTTCAGGGCATCCCGGAAGGAGCACTGCTCAAACAGGCACTGGCCCTGGGGACACAGCAGGCAGTCACTTCTGCTTGTGACCCTGGCCCAGCAGCACCCACCAGGCAGCGTGGGCAACATTGGGGCAGAATGGGAGAGAGACAAGAGAAAGGGACAGGGCCCTTTAGATCTGGGAGACAGAGACACAGAGATGGAGAGAGACACAGAGCTGGGGAAAGACAGCAAGAGACACAGAGAAAGACCGTGACAGAGACGGAGACGCAGGGCTAGAGAGGGACAGCAAGAAACACACAGTTGGCGAGAGACAGACAGCAATGCAGAGACACAGGAACAGAGAGAAACAGATCTGGGGCTTTGTTGGCATTTTATGGCTTAATAGTGTTTTTATTTTGAATTGCAAATGGGGGGCACTGTTAGCTTTTTAGCGCTGGGAACCTCTATGCTCTGGATCTGGGCTGTCCAATGCAACAGCCACCAGCGGCATGTGGCTATACAAATTTAATTAATTACAATTGAAAAATTAGTTCCTCAGTCACACACTTCCATGTGGCTAGTGGCTACCAGACCGACAGTGCAGAGTAGATTACTGTCGCTCCTGCAGAAAGTTCTGTTGGACGAAGCTACCAAACTTCACCCAGCCCTGAGAGTAAACCGACTTGGGAGGTGGGAAAGGCCCTGAGAGTGGCAGCAGGTGGGGACACAGATACAGGGACAAGGCGGTCCCCAGGGAGTCAGAGCTGGTCCCAGGAGCAAGGAAAGCTCCCAGAGCTGGAGGAGAGCCAGCAGGCTGGGTGTGAGGGGTGCCTCGCGTGGTCCTGGGGGGGCAGCCCAGGCACCTGCAGGTAAAGCACAAAGGAGAGGCGCTCCAGGTAGTCGGTGTTTTCCGGCTGGAAGGAGATGGCCCTTCGCAGGTTCTGGATGGCCGAGGAGAAGTCACCGAGTTGGATGTAGGCCTCGGCTCTTAAGGCGTAGAAGTCTACCTGAGGGAGAGGCAACCCAGGCTGCTGTCCCGTCCCCACAGTCTGCCCTGAAGCTTGATGCTCAGTTACTAGCAGGGACTTGGTGGCCCTGAAAGGAGGGGCCCGGTAGGTGCCACAGTGAGGGGGAGGTGTGTGCCAGCAACTGCCCGTGCCCACCCAGGCCCCCCTTACCAGCCTCGGGTCCAGGTGGAGGGCACGGGAGAAGAACAGCACGGCCATCTCCCAGTCTTCTTGCTCCAAGCACCTCTGGCCACGATAGTAGCTGGGGGGCACAGGGGCACAGGCAGAGGGGCTGGCCCTGACTTTGGACCAGCCTCAGGCATATTATATAGCAGGGGCTGCAGGGGTGGGTTGGGAAGAGGCGGACTTGGGTGGGGAGACAGGAGGGGTAGACAGAGACCCAGGGAGAGGAGGTTGACATTCTTGGAACTCATCAGGCCAGCAGCCTTGTATCCTCTGACGTAGAAGAGCTCTATTAGACAGTTGAGTTCACTAAAGCCCAGAGAGGGAGAGTAACTGGCCCAAGGCTGTACAGCATGTTAATGGCTGTGCAGGGTAGGAAACTGAGATCCCAGGGCAAGGTAGTTACTCACTGTTCCCTGACTTTGAGGGGCACTGTTAACCCCATGACCTTTGGTTTTATACGTTCAAAGTTCTGGAACACCTGGCTGGTCCCAAAGATGCGCTGTGCGGTCCCCTTTGGGACTGGAAACACCCATGGCTTTGGGATGCATTGTGAGGGAGCCTGGTCAAGCTCCAGGGCATCCTAGAACCAAGGGACAACAAGCTGGAGCAGGCCCCGAGACAACCCCGACTCCACTGACATGCTCCTCAGGTATTTCACAGGATGGAGGAGGGGTGGAAATGAGGCCTGGTAGGAGGCACCATCTGGGGTGGGTGGCACTCCCAGCCCTGTAGCCCTTAGTGATGTTCCAACCTCCCTCTCTCCAGTCCTTCCTCTCTCCCTCTCCTATCTATGGTCAAGGTCAGGGGTCAGGGTTCTCATGCTCACACTGCCCTCTGCTCTCCTCCTGGTCCCCCTCAGCTCCCACCTCCAGCTAGTGACACCCAAAACTCTAATGTCCCCAGCTCAGGCCCAGCCCCAAGCTGCAGGCCCCAGGGATCCTCTGGGACCCTCACGCCCAGCAGGCCAACCTGAGCACCTGACTTCTGCCCCCGGTTTTCCCACCTCCATGAGTCCAGCTTCTCTGCCACCTAAGCCAGAGACCTATGTCCCATCAGTCCTCAAATCCTGACTGTCCCCCTTCCTAAAGAGCTCTTAGAGCCCTCCTCTTCTCACACCCCCTCGTCTGGGCCAGTGCCATCTCTACCTGGACGCCAGCTCCAGCCACCCCTCCGACCTCCCCACCGGCCACACATCCCAAGCCCTCTGTTCTCTGCACAGCGGCCTGGGACTTTCCTGAACTGTGCCACTGATCCTGCCTCTACCGTACTTGAAACCTTTCCTGGGAACCCAGCCTTGGTCTCTTTCCCCCGACCCTCTGCCTTTAGCTTTTCCCCGCACCTCTTCGGAGTCTGTCATGAGGCCCCTTCCAGGAGGACCACCGGGCTTGAGCCGGCTCCCTCGCGGGCCTCACCCTTAACGTTGCTAGGCACCATCTCCAGGACGCCCAGAGGCTCCGCCCCTCTGGCCACGCCCCCGGAATCCAAGGGTTGTTTGAGCCGAAAAAGGTTAGCAAACCTTTATTAGCTGGGGAGGCTGAGGCTACAGCGGGGAGAGGACTTGCTGGCTTTCCGCACCGAGGGGGAGGCCATAGCAGGGACCAGAGCACGGCTCCCTCCTCCCAATCGGGAGGTCAAGCGAGGGCTCCGCGAGGCGCACAACAAACCCCACAGGGACACGGTGACGCCACGCCGCGGAATGCGCGGGCACGCAGACACGGCCGCCGCCCTCCACTTCCGCCCCTCAGAAACATGGCGGCCCCGCGGCCCGCCCCGCATTGGACGCCGGCAGCGGCCCCTGCCGGATGACGGCCGCGATTGGCCGCGGGCTGGTGACGTCAGGGGGCGGGCTCCAAGCCGTGAATGGGGCAGCATGCAGCCGCCCGGGCTCCTGCGCGCGGGGCCGTGGCTGAGCCGGGCCATGAGCCGCTGCGGTTTGGAGCCCCGGCCTCCCGGGAAGTGGTGGCTGGTGAGTGGAATGAAGGGCGCGGCGACGCAGGGGCTCCCGGGCCCTAGCTTTAGTTTCCTGTTGTCTCCGAGGCAGTCCCCCCAATTCCTTGTCTCAGTTTTCTTATCTAGAAATGAGTCCAATACTCCGAGGGGCTGCAAACTTCCAGGGACTCTGCTGCTGCACCGGGGCGCCCTGGCTGCCTGGCCCGCGGGCCGCCAGTGTCCACTCAGCCTTCTGGAGTCTCCGGGGTCTCTGCGCCCCGTCTTCGCGCCCCTTCCCCACTCCAGCCCTGCTTTCCGATTCCCTTCCCCTGCTTTGGGTTCCAGGGGGCGCTGTGAGATAGAGGGTGGCGAGAGTTGTCGGGCCTCAGTTTCCTTGGTACCGCCTGCAGGTGGCCGGCCTGGGGAACCCTGGAATGCCCCGCACGCGGCACAGCGTGGGCATGGCGGTGCTGGGGCAGCTGGCACGGCGGCTGGGTGTGGCGGAGAGCTGGGCCCGCGACCGGCGCTGCGCCGCCGACCTCGCTTTGGCCTCGCTGGGGGATGCCCAGCTGGTCCTGCTCCGGCCACGGCGGCTCATGAACGCCAACGGGCGCAGCGTGGCCCGGGCCGGTGAGTGGAGGGCACCAGCGGCGGGCTAGCTGGGAGGGCGCAGGGGCTGGACAGGGGACTCTGGGCTGCGGCACACAGGCTCGCCTCCAGGTGCCTGTGGAGCTCCAGTGGCTGCATGGCCCTGGGTACTTGTGGGAGCCTCAGTTTATATGTGCAGTGGGGTTAATTGTGGGCCCTCCTTATGGGAGCCGTGAGTTGGGACAAGCCGCTCTGGGCAGATGGCAGTAACGAGGGCCACCATTTCCCTGTGCCAAGCGGAGCTGTTCGGGCTGACGGCTGAGGAGGTCTACCTGGTGCATGACGAGCTGGACAAACCCCTGGGGAAACTGGCTCTGAAGCTGGGGGGAAGTGCCAGGTGAGGCTCTGAGCCCATCAGGGTGGGATAGGCAAGCTGGCCTCCCAGCTGGAGTGGGGTAGGGGTGCCGACCCCCGTCTCAGCAGGGAATAGGGTGCTCTGACCACAGCTGGGCTGGGCAGGGTGAAGGGTGCTGACCCAGGGAAGCACTAACTGCCCCTCCCATATCTCTTGAAGGGGCCACAATGGAGTCCGGTCCTGCATCAGCTGCCTCAACTCCAATGTGAGTCTGACCCTCTGTCCTGCACTGGCTCGGGTGGGCCAGCATGGGGCCCCCTGACACTGCTCACCAGTGTTCCCTGGGCCCCTCTGGCTCCTGCATAGGCAATGCCGCGGCTGAGAGTGGGCATCGGGCGCCCCCCGCACCCCGACGCGGTGCAGGCCCACGTGCTGGGCTGCTTCTCCCCCGCCGAGCAGGAGCTGCTGCCTCCTCTGCTGGAGCGCGCTGCTGACCTGCTCCTGGACCACATCCGTGAGCGCAGCCGGGGGCCCTCGTCAGGCCCCTGACACCGGGGGACACAGCTGCCTGCCTGACTGCTGTGCCCACACACCCAGCCACGTCCACAGAGGGGCCACGCCAACCTGTTGTATCCACTTTTTATATAACTCTTCTCTGGGCTGCTCCAGGCCGCCTACGGATTAAAGGAGGGACTGTGGTTGGAACGGTCCATTTCTGGGATGCGGGCTGGCCTTCTCTCTGGGGCTTACTTGGAAGGTAGGAAAACTCCAGGAAGACTAAACTTTTTGAACCTTTTTGGAGAACCAGCGTTGTGGATCTGTAAGATGAAAGATGCCAGTTTGGAAGCTGAGGCCTTCTCTGGGGTTCCCAGCCTACCTCTGCCTGTAGAGGAGGAGAGAGCAAGGTCCAGCAGGCCCCCCTCCCAGGGGATGTTTGGGCACGCCTTAGCCCGCTGAGACCTTGCCACACCTTTTTTGGGCCCATTTTCCAGCTGGGAAAATGGAGGCTTGGAGAGGTCCAGCCACATCTGCAAGGCCACACAGCTGGCAGAGCCGTGCTCTGCACCCAGGGCTGGCTGCCATCTTGCTGTCGCTGGAGCCCTTGGCACACTGTCCTCAGGGCTACTGTGTACCTGGAAGGTTCCCACACGGGTGGTGTGTGAAAGCAGCCTGAGGTCCTCAGTGTTGGGTGGGATGTGGGGCCGTCGAGGCACGAGGCCCAGGTCCCCCGGCTGGTAGGGTGTGATGCCAGATAGCTGCTGCAGCGGAGTCCCCGTGGGTGGCTGGGTGCTGGACTGGCTGTGGGGAGCAGGCTGAGACTCAGACAGGCTCTGAGGAGCCAGATTTCTGGCCCAGGGTGAGCTGAGGACAGCCCTTGGACAAGTCCCATAGCTGCCTCCTCTGAGGTCACACAGGGCCACTCACTCACCTCTCCCTGGGCGGGCTATAGGGCCGGCTCTCCCAGCGGGGGCACACAGCTATCTTGGGGCTCAGGACCACTGCTGAGCTGAGCATGGCCAACAGCTGCTTTAGCATCTCCTTGTGCTGCAGCTGGAACTCGACGTCAAAGTCGCTGTCCTCCTTGTCTGGCTGTATCTGCCGATGGGGGAGGGGGTGGGCCCGTGGGAATCAGGCCATTGTGGCCCCACAACCCACCTGGGAAACTCAACACCAGTGCCCGTTTTCTCAAAGTGTTCACTGCCGTGGTGGGATCCCCATTCTCCAAATGGGAAGACTGAGGCCCGAGGCCTTCCAGGGCCCCAGAGAAGGACCCCGGCTCCTTTGAGACCTTGAAAGGATCATCGAAGTGCAGAATCAGAAAAGGACAGACTTGCCAGGAGTCTTTCAGGGGAAAGATGGGGCATCTAGCCCTGTCCCAGCCTTCTCCAGGTGGCCTGGTGATCTCTGAGCAGTTTCTGTCCTTGGCCCACTCCCCCTGCCCCCTACTTTCACCCACTTCCTGTTCACCTGCAGAATGTTCTGTAGGAAGGACGTGGCCTGGACCAGGGCTGTCGCCAGACTTGCCCGAACCTTCTGCTCTGTGGTCAGCTCGTGCTGTAGCCGTTGTGCCTCGGCCTGCTGCCGCTCCAGCTGCAGGCGCAGCTGGTCTCTCTGGCTCCTGGGCCCGGGGCCGGGACAAGTCAGCCGCCTCCCCACTCTAGGGCGATGGGCCCAGCCATTCCTCTCCAGCCCCTAGGGGCCCTCGGCCTGTTTGACAGACAAGGCCTCCAGGCCCTCCCTCTAGAGTGGGAAAGTCACTGGCCCGTGTCATGTGGCCAAAAAGGGATGGCTCCAGCTTGGCCTCCCAGCCTGCTCCCCGCTCTCACCCCTCTGTGGGCCACACCTCAGGTCCTGGTTGTCCTTCTGCAGCTGCTGGAGGCTCTGCTCCAGTTGGCTCAGCTGGAGGCGCAGCCGCTCGGCCTCCACGGGGCCCTGCTGCTGCTCGCGGCACTTCTCCGTCAGCAGGAGGATGATCTACGAGTGCGGGCAGCTGGCCGTACCCTGGGCCCACCGTGGGCCCTCAGCCAGCCCGCGCCCCCAGCCACACTCAGCCAGGGTTCGCCCCCTTGTACAGAGGGGCCACATCTCTGGGCGAGAGCTGGGCAGAGCCGCCAGCTACCAGGCTTGGGTTCTACTGTAACCAGTTATGAGGGCTTTAAGCCAAATTAAGCAAACCCAGAGCGGGGCCCAGCACCCCAGAGCCCCCACAAGGAAGGCCCCGTCGCCTCACTCCTGCCCCCCTCGTGACTTAGCTGCAGCGCGAGGCCCTCCCGGCAGGGCCCCTCATGTTCCCCCCAGTGAGGGCCTGGTGGGCACACCTTCTGGTGGCCTCTGCTGTGCTGGGCCATGACCTTCTGGGTGTTCTCCAGCAGCTCCAGCTGTTTGCACAGCTTGTCCTGGGTGCCCTTGAGCTGCTCGTTCTCCTGCAGCAGCTGCATGCCTTGCTGGGATATCTTGGAGAGCTGCAGGGTCACAGTGCTGTTCTCCATGATGGCCCGCTTTGTCGTGTCCCACATCTGGCTGGTGGCCACCTTGCGGAACTCGGTGGCCACCAGGTTCACGCGCTGGATGATCTCCTTCTTCAGTCTAGTCGGGATGGGTAGGAGTAGCGGGGTGTCGGGCGGAGTGGGCACAAGCCGCAGGCACCCGCCTCCTACGTGAGGGTCCCCAGAGCGCCGAGGGCCACCTCTACGCTCCCCCCCCCCCCCCAGGATGGGCGGGGCTACAGGCAGGGAGCTTTTCACTGTAAACCCTTTGTACTTTTGGAATTTCAAACTATATCAGTGTATTATTACCTATTAAATAAATATAATTTAAGTCACAAAAAGTGTCAAAAGGAGCTTCAGGGGTTCTCCTATTCCAGCGTGAGGACTGGAGCTGGGGAGCTCATTCGTGTTTGCCCACCCTCCATCCGTCAGCCAGGATGCTCAGGAGCAGCAGGCTGGGGAGCCATGAACGAGCGCAGTACCTCCACTAGAAGCCGAGGCGGGGGAGGCCTGAGGACTGGGCCCCAGCACCCGCCTGCCCACCTGTCCTTGTCCAGCACCGACTTCTTCTCCAGGTTGTACACGTAGTCCTTGTACTCGCTCTCCTGCTTCTGCAGCTGGTCCTCCAGGGACACGAACTTCTCCGTGAGCTCCTCTTTCTGCAGGCGGAACTCCTCCAGAGCTGCCAGCTTCCCCCCTGCCCCACCGCAGGGCACAGGCCTGGTGAGGGGCTGCCGCAGGAGGGCAGGGCCCAGGGCGGGCAGCAAGGGCTTTGAGCCACCCCCCCCCCCCCCAACGTCCTCCAGGTCCTCCTTTTCTACGCTTCCAACAGGCCCGGCCCCCTGTCCCTACACTTGCCGTGCCCAGTCCTGCCCACGCTTATTGCCTTAGTCTGGAGTGCTCTCTCTCCTCTCCTCCACTAATCTGAAGAAGCTTTGTTCAGGGACCACCTCCTCCGAGAAGCCTCGCTTGACACTCTCCTCTATTCCCCTCTCATGAAAGTGACAGTGGTAACAGCTGCTGAATTTGAACACCTTCTCTGGGCCAGGCACTCAGGCTGTCAGTAAGCCTCAAAACAACTCTTGCTAGCTGGGTAACCTCAGGCAAGACACTTCACTTGCTGGAGGTGCTTCCTCACCTACAAACGTAGGATTGCTGGGAGAGTTAGGGACGACGATGTGTGGGAAGCGGCTCACAGCTGTTATTCAAGGTAGACGCACTATCCCCATTTCCCCGGTGAGAAAACTGAGGGTCGGAGAGATGTGCTTGCCCAAGGCCACAAAGGTAGTGGTACAGCTAGGATTTGAGCCCAAAGAGCCGGGGCCTTGGATTCCTGCCCCCGGGGCGTGTACCCCCCAAGGCTCGCCCGCCAGGGCCCCCTCACCAAGGACGATGTTCTCCGTGGTGAGCTGGTCCTTGGTCTCCTGGAACTCGTGGCGCACCTGGGCGAGCTGCGCCTCGAAGGCATCCTTCTCCATCTCCTTGGCCAGCTGCAGGCTCTGGAGCTGCTCGTTGAGGTCGGCGATCTCATCCACCCGCTGGTTGAGCGTGCGCTTGAGGAAGGTCACGATCTCCTTCTTGTTGTTGGCCAGCTGCTCAAACTCCTGGCGGAACAGCTTCTCCTGCACGGCCAGCTCGTCCCACTTCCGCTGGTACCTGAGGCAGGGGCAGGGCAGAGAGGTCCAGGGGCCGGGCCCACTTCCCTGGGCCCGCCCAGAGAGGGCCATTCGAGGTTCCTCATGGACGCTGGGAATCCAGCCTCATCTCGCCCTGTGCCCTCTGAGCTGCGCTCACGACCACAGGCAACACCTGTGCTCAGCTTTACGTTCGTTACGCCACTAGAATGTAAGCTCCTGAGGGCAGAGGCCTTTCTGTTATGTTCACAGCTGTGTCCCCGACGCCTAGGACAGTGCCTGGCACATAGTAGGTACTCAGTGTGTATTTGTTGAATCTTCGCAACAGCCCGTAAGGAAGGGGGCCTATGATGATTGTACCCGTTTTACAGATGAGGAAACACAGGCACAGAGGGATGCAGAAACTCCTGGTGAGTAAGTGGCAAAACCAGAACTTGAACCCGAGTCAGTCTGACCCCAAAGTTGAGGCTCTTAACCACAAGCTTACTGCTGCCATCGCCAGCTCTGCACCCTCCCTAACACTTCTGCACTTTGCAGTCCCGAGCCTTCGCACCTGCTGTCTTCCTTACCCTCGTCCACTGAGTGAACCCTTCTCAGTGGGGCCTTCTTGTTCCTGAGCCACGTTTGTGACCCTCTCTTTGGTGCCCTCCTGTAGGTTGGCCCTTGCCCCACTGGGCGGTCAAGACCTGGTCTCATGTCTGTCTTCTCCACTTGGCAGACCCCTCACCTCCTCCATTTCTATATTCTCAGGCCTTGGCAAATAGTAAGTGCCCAACGACTGTCTCCCAAATGCATTTTTCCCAAGTACATTCCATCTGGTGTCTCAGCTTGAGGGAAGCTTGTGAATTTTTAAGAGTGTCACATAATCAATTTACCGGTTTCCAGTGAGATAATTGATAGAAGTTATTTGGAAAGATGTTTTACTGCATAATTTACTCAGCCAACATCTTTTGAATGGCTACTGCATACGGGGCCCTGCAGGGCGCAGGGCTGAATGACCTGCTTGATGGCTGGAGGAAGCAGCCTGGGGTAGGGAAGTCGGAGGGTCACGGCCCCATTCCCGGCACTTCCTCCTCCTGGGGTGACTTCCCCTCCCTGAGCCTCCGTCCCCACCTGTGTAATGGCTATGCGTCAGGCCCTCTCTCTTGGGACCGTTTCAAGGATGCAGTGAAGGCCAGCACAGGACCGCCTGGTGCACACAAAGGACTCCACATTAGCTGTGAGCATCTGCAACAGCATCTGGGGAAGCCTGGCTGCCTACTCGGCACCAAAGGGGTTTGTCTTTTTTTTTTTTTTGAAAAGATTTTTTTTTTTCCTTTTTCTCCCCAAAGCCCCCTGGTACATAGTTGTATATTCTTAGTTGTGGGTCCTTCTAGTTGTGGTATGTGGGATGCCACCTCAGCGTGGCTCAATGAATGGTGCCATGTCTGCGCCCAGGATTCGAACTGACAAAACACTGGGCCGCCTGCAGCGGAGCGCGCGAACTTAACCACTCTGCCACAGGGCCAGCCCCAGGGGTTTGTCTTTTAAGGGTCACCTGAGACTGGGCTAGTGCATCTTAACTGGGAGGAAACTAGTTTTAAAATTGGGCAAGTGAACGCGTCTCGGAAGTTAGGGAATCCCCTGCCACATACCACCACCCAGGTCACACAGTCGTGAGGCCATAACCCTCCTCATTTACATTTGGGGAAACTGAGGCCCGGCCAGGGGAAACAACTGGGTTTAGCAGCTGGGTACCACAGTGCAGGGAATCAGGGCCCAGGCACTCGGTCCAGGGTGGGGCGGGTGGAAGGAGGGATGTATGTCCATGCACCTGCCAGGGGGCCGCCATTTCCAGTTCATCCCCATTTGAACTCTGCCCTTTTATAAAGTGTATGATCCCACAGAGCAGGAGGGAGGCAGGGGGAGGGGGTGCTTGCCTGGGATGGAGTTGCCAGTTAGCATTGGGACCCCAGGACTCTGGGAGCAGAGCTGGGGTCAGGAAATGCATTTTCCCTCAAATCGAGAAGGCTTTCAATGTTACCTATAAGGAAACTGAGGCTGGGCGTAGAGGTGGCGTCTGGACATCCTAGGGTGGGGCCAGGACAGAGGCCTGGGACCCCCTGGCTGAGCCTGCACAGCGGCCAGCTCAGAACAGGGCTTCTGACCCACAGGACCAGCCTCCCTGCCGGCCCACCCACCGGGCCAGCCTGTCCTCCAGGTCTCGGATCTGGATGTGGTAGAATTCCCGGATCTCCTCGCCCACAGGCATTTCCATGGGCTTGTTGGCCACGCCGGCATCCTTCTTGTTCCCTTTCTTCTTCTTGACCTCGAACTCCTTGGCCGCCTTGCCTGCCTTTTTTTTGGGAGCCATGGCTGGTGGCAACCACTGCTCCAGCTCCCCTTTAAGAGGCCAGGTGGTTGCTAAGGAAGTTGGTCTCATACATAGCAACGAACAGAGGGAGTGAGGCAGGGCTTAAAGGGACCCAGCCCTTTTCCCCAGTGGGGCTGGGCATCTGCGACCAGTCTCCCCCTCTAAGGCCTAAGGCCGGCAGCACCTCCTTGGTCCTGGGCCCGGTGTCCCAGGCCATGGCATCTCAGAGACCAGGATACCAGGCTCTCCAGGCACTCTTTTGGGCTCTGGGGAGCCCCTCTTTCCCTGGAAATAAGGGGCCTGGGACTATCAGAGTGGGAGGAGCCCTAGAAACCACCACCCTGGCCCTTTGGGCTAGTCGGGGGTCGGGGGCTTCTCCAGCGCCCCCCAGGACTAAAGGAAGCCGGTCACGGGCCCGAGGCCAAGGAGCCCCTCCCCTGAAGCTGTGAGACCAGTTTGTTGATTCTTTGGTGGTGCGGCTACACAGCATGATCATTCTCTCGGGTCACCCAAAGCAGGGTGGCGGGGCCGTATTGTAAGAAATGGAATTTGATATCAGAGGCTCCCGTGCTGGGCTCCCCCGACCTTCCTCTCCAGAGCCTGGCCCAGTTTTCCACAAGGTTCGGTGGACAAGCTGCATCTGTCCCATGCTGACCCCTGTGGACAAAGACCTCTCTGTCCCCTTGGCCTGGGGTAGCAGCATCTTGCGGGGGGAGGCAGGCGAAGTCTTGCCCTTCTCCAGAGCCACCTCCTCAGGGAGCCTCCATGCCACCGTGCCCCATCCACTGAGACCTGAGGCGTTTTAACTTCTGTAGCCACTTAATAAGTCAGGGTTGTGGGGAGCCACCACTGGGAACAGGGACAGCAAGGAGCCGGGTCCTTTAGCCCGTCCCTCTGTCCCCCTGTGCTGGTGTGGGTGCCATGGGTCCAAGGTCCTGTTCAGCTCCTGGCATCCCAGGCAATGGGGGTTGTGCCCTGCAGGAGGCGAGGGGACATCTCTCCTGTCCTTTCTGGGTCTCTTGTCATCAGCAAGGAGCTCCTTGCAGAGCCCCCTCCAGAAGCATCTAGGCGAGGGGTTTCATCCTGCTCCATGACTTGAGGAGCAGGTCAGGGCATTTTATTGGGTTTTGTTCTTTGGTCCTACAGAATTGGAACACTTGACCACGTGTCAGACGGTCCCTGAGCTTCAGACCAAACATGGCCCTGACAACGATGAAGCTGCTGACTGGAATGGCCTCTGCTCTGTCACACAGGATTCCCGGGGGTGTCTTCCGTGTGGGCCGGGCTTGTCTGGTCTTGGCTGGGCTCACTATGTGTCCTGCCATCAGCTGGGGCCCAGCTGGTCACTCCCAGGCCTCGTGCAGCTGGCTGTTGGCAGGTGCAATGGAGAGATGCCTCTCGTCACCAGGCTAGCCCAGCTTGTTAAGATGGTGACTGAGAGTCGTAAAGGCATGAGAGCCGAAGTGGCTGGGCCTGTTGAGGTCCAGGCCTGGATCTGCACAAGCTTGGTCCTGCCACATTCCACTGGGCAAAGCAAGTCACAGGCAGCCCAGAGGAAAGGGGAGGAGCCGCAGGGCACAGCGGCCACTGTCACAATCTATCCCAATCTTGATCTTGTCTTTGTTTCAGCTCTGGAAAGGGTTTCTTCAGGTTTCATTCCGGGATTTGGTGTAGTTTTAAAATACGGCTTAACACAAAGCATGATATTTTGGCTCTGGAGTCAGGGTCAGGCCACTTGCATCCTGAAGGTAGATCGCATGAACCAGCCCCTTGATAGCAGAGAAGTGGCATGCTCAGTGGCATGAAGAAAAGTTCTCAGGCTTGTGGCCCTTGCACTTCCACATGGAGATGAGCAGTCCTAGTGCCACCTCCAGCAAGCTGGAGAAAGTGAAACAGCCAGGGGTTGCAACTTGACTGCGGTCACAAGTTTCAGCACTGCATGAAGATCAGAAGGCAAACTGTGCACCGCCAACTGGGGACACCGGCAAGGAGCGTGGTGGCCTCCTTCATTCACATGGCCAGACCCCCCCCCACTCGCCGCTCCCAGAAACTGGGCTCTCTCGGCACTGCTCCCAGTGGCCCCTTGGCTCACAAAGGAGGTATCAGCTAACTGGAAAACCATTTCTTTTTCTTTCTTTTTTATTTTTTTGAGGAAAATTAGCCCTGAGCCAATACTTCTCTTTTTGCTGAAGAAGACTGGCCCTGAGCTAACATCCGTGCCCATCTTCCTCTACTTGATATGTGGGACGCCTACCTCAACATGGCTTGCCAAGCAGTGCCACATCCGCACCCGGGATCCGAACGAGCAAACCCTGGGCCGCCGAAGCAGCGGAACGTGCACACTTAACCACAGCGCCACCGGGCCGGCCCCTGGAAAACCATTTCTGAGTATGGGGTTTTGTCTTTGGGCAGCTACAACAAAATGCCACAGACTGGGTGGCTTATAAACAGACATTTATTTCTCATAGTTCTGGAGGCTGGAAGTCTGCGATCAGGGTCCCAGCCTGGTCAGGGGAGGGCTCTCTTCTGGCTGCAGATTTCTTGTTGAATCCTCATACGGCAGAAGGGGCTAGGGAGCTCGTGGGGTCTCTTTTATAAAGAGCACTAATCCCATTCATGAAGGCTCTGCCCTCAGGATCCAGGCACCTCCCAAAGGCCCCACCCAGTGCCATCACCTTGGGTGTTAGGTTTTCAAGATATGAATTTTGAGAGGACACATTTAATTTCTGGTAGATTTTTAAAAATTTATTTTTATTTTAAACTGTGACAGAATATAAAATTTACCATCCTATTTTTAAGTGTGCAGTTTTGTGGCCTTAAGTGCATTCACATTGTTGTGCAACCATCACCACCACCCATCTTGAGAACTCTTCTCATCTTGTAAAATTAAAACTCTACCCATTAGTGAGGCCGGCCCGGTGGCGCAGTGGTTAAGTGCGCACATTGCGATTCTCGGCGGCCTGGGGTTCACCAGTTTGGATCCTGGGTGCAGATATGGCACCGCTTGGCAAGCCATGCTGTGGTAGGCATCCCACTATAAAGTAGAGGAAGATGGGCATGGATGTTAGCTCAGGGCCAGTCTTCCTCAGCAAAAAGCAGAGGATTGGCAGTAGTTAGCTCAGGGCTAATCTTCCTCAAAAAAAAAAAAAGAAAGGAAAAACTCTACTCATTAATCACTGACTGACTCCCCTTTCCCCTCTACCCAGCCCTTGGCCACCATCATTCTACTTTCTTTTTTTTTTTTTAAAGATCAGCACCTGAGCTGACAACTGTTGCCAATCTTTTTTTTTTTTTTTTTTTCTGCTTTATCTCCGCAAATCCCCCCGGTACATAGTTGTATATCTTAGTTGCACATCCTTCTAGTTGTGTCATCTGGGACAACACCTCAACGTGGCCTGACGAGCAGTGCCATGTCCGCACCCAGGATCCGAACCGGTGAAACCCTGGGCCGCCGCAGCAGAGCGTGCAGACTTAACCACTTGGCCACAGGGCCGGCCTCTCATTCTACTTTCTGTCTCTATGAATTTGACTACTCTTGGAAACTCGTATGAGTTTTATTTATTTATTTAAAGATTTTATTTTTCCTTTTTCTCCCCAAAGCTCCCTAGTACATAGTTGTATATTTTTCGTCGTGGGTCCTTCTAGTTGTGGCATGTGGGATGCCACCGCAGCATGGCTTGATGAGCGGTGCCATGTCCGTGCCCAGGATCTGAACCAGCAAAACCCTCGGCTGTTGAAGCAGTGTGTGCAAACTTAACCACATGGCCACAGGGCCGGCCCCTGAGTTTTTTTGATAGTAGTCACCTTAATGGGTGTGAGGTGGTATCACACCGTGGTTCTGATTTACATTTCCCTAATGATTAGTGAAGTCGAGCATCTTTTCATGTGCTTATTGGCCATTTGTATATTTTCTATGGAGAAACATCTATTCAAGTCCTTTGCCCATTTTTGATTTGAGTTTTTGTTGTTGTTGAGTTGTAGGAGGTCTTTATATATTCTGGATATTAACCCCTTATCAGATACATGATTTGCAAATATTTTTTCCCCATTCCATGGGCTGTCTTTTCACTCTGTTGATTGTGTGTTCTTTGATATACAGAAATTTTCAATTTTGATGTAGTCCAATTTATCTCTTTTTTCCTTTGTTGCCTGTGCTTTTGGTGTCGCCTGGGCATGGGATTTTAATGATAAAGAGAACAAGCTTGATCTGAGCACTTCTCCTTGACAAAGAGGCAGCCCTCCTTCCAAGAGGGGACCAAACTCCGCTCAGCACTGTTTGAGTCAGTTGAAAAGGGAAGCATGAGTGTTGACAACTGTTCTTCCAAATCATTTTCCACTTTCTATGTGTGTGTGTGTGTTTATTTTATTGAGGTCACACTGGTTTATAACATTATATAAATTTCAGGTGTATATTATGTTTCGACTTCTGTATCGTGTTCACCACCAGAAGTCTAGTTTCCGTCTGTCACCATACACACGTGCCCATTTACCCCTTTCGCCCTCCCCCACCCCCTTCCACTCTGATAACCACCAATCTGTTCTCCGTATCTATGTGTTTATTTATCTTCCACATATGGCTGAAGTCATATGGTAACTGTCCTTCTGCAGTTGATTACTTCCCTTAGGTGAAACAAAAGGCAAAGATATACAAAGCTTTGAGTGAGGTGACAGACAGACAGAATCAGAAAATTGAAACTCTATATCAGAATAGGTTAGTAAACAATTATAACATAAAGGCTAAAGGAGAAGAAAGCATCAAAGATAGCTATAACCATTTCATGGTAACAAACTCGTAATGTAAAAAAGGATCATTTGTGACAACAAAAACAGAAAGGGAAGAGGAAAAGGATGGAACCTGCATAGACAAATGGAGATAAGATGCTATCAACAGAAAAAGGACTATCTCATCTATGAGACCTTTTATACAAACCTCATGGCAACCATATAACAAAAAATCAGAGCAGAGTGACACACACACACACACACACACACACACACACACACACATAAGGAAACTAAGAAAAACATCTCAGAAAACCACCAAACTGAAATGGCAGACAGAAATACAAGGATAAAGAAACAATGGAAATATAGAACAACCAGGAAAAAAAGATAAAATGGCAATATTAAGCCCTTGTATATCAATAATCACTTTAAATATAAATGGATTGAATTCACCAATCAAAAGACATAGAGTAGCTGGATGGATTAAAAAATAAGACCCAAGGGGGTGGCCCAGGGGCATAGGGGTTAAGTTCACACACTCTGCTTCAGCTGCCCAGGGTTCGCAGGTTTGGACCCTGGACACGGACCTACCCATCGCTCATCAAACCATGCTGTGGCAGCATCCCATATACAAAATAGAGGAAGATTGGCACAGATGTTAGTTCAGGGACAATCTTCCTCAAAAAACATAAAATAGAATAAGACCCAACAATATGCTGCCTCCAGGAGACCCATCTCAGCTCTAAAGAAAAACAGGCTCAGAGTGAAGGGATGGAAGACAATACTCCAAGCAAATGGCAAACAAAAGAAAGTGGGTACAGCTATACTCACATCAGACAATATAGATTTCAAGCCAAAAAAGGTAACAGGAGACAAAGACGAACATTACATAATGATAAAAGGACATTCCACCAAGATGACATAACACTTATGAATATATACACACCTAACACAGGCGCACCAAAGTATATAAAGCAACTATTAACAGACCTAAAGGGAGAAATTGACAGTAACATGCTAACAGTAGGGGACTTTAACACTGCACTTCCTAAAGGACAGCTTCCACCAGGCAACAGTGTCATTTGCTCAAAGGATGCTGGAGGTCAACAGTGGCTGGTTTTTACAAGCTTCTTGGCAACATTGTATCTGGTGCCACTTTTTTTTTTCTTTTTTTGAGGAAGATTAGCCCTCAGCTAACTACTGCCAATCTTCCTCTTTTTGCTGAGGAAGACTGGCCCTGAGCCAACATCCATGCCCATCTTCCTCTATTTTATAGGTGGGATGCCTACCACAGCATGGCTTTTTGCCAAGCGGTGCCATGTCCGCACCCGGGATCCGAACCTGCGAACCCCGGGCCGCCATGAAGCGGAATGCTCGAACTTAACCGCTGCGCCACCGGGCCAGCCCCTAGTGCCACTTTTTATTCCAAGGAGTGTAACTCCGATTGCTGTCTCTGTAGTTTGGGTTTCTTCCCCCGCTTTAGGGATGGAATTAATTGGTTTCACTCTAGAATGTGTTGTCATTGGTGTGGGGAAATTTGCTTGGCTCATGGACGAGGTCACTGTGCTTCATTTGAAGTTGACTGATACATCTCAGTGTGTCACCCACTCCTTGACAATGTACCTTCATAACAGGGAAGGCACGGGGGACCAGGGAGGGGTACCTTCCTGGCCCAGAAAATCCAATTTTTATCGTTCTACGTTTTATTTCCTCTCTTCTTCTTTTTTTGGTTGCTTGTGTGAAATCATCATTCCCGAAGAGTCATTAGTTTCCGCCCAAACAGACGCACATTCCATATTCACACCAGGATCCTGTCGTCTATTATATTGATAATGTTTTTCTGATAGTGGAGAACCCGGGCTCTGGCAGCAGACTGCTGTGTTTCAGTCTAGGCTCTGCCATGTGCCAGCCTGGGACCTTGGCCAAGTTACTCTGTCTTTGTGGCTCTGTTTCCCCATCTTTAAGTAGGGTTAATAATAACATCTAATTCCTAAAGTTGTTGAGAAAATTCAGCAAGATACATGTAAAGCACTCATGCCTGGTACATCATAAATGCTCAATATATATTAACTACAATTACAATTATTATCTATATATATTTGATTCAATGAAGCACTTTCAAGCCACTGCTTCATTTTGTGACTGGGGACACGGGGCTTCACCATAACATCCTCTCCTCATGGGTAGCCACTCTCCTGACTTGGGTATTTATCATTCTCGTTCACGTTTTTACACATTTACAACATATGTACCATAAGCACTAAACAGTGCCTTTATGAGGGTTTTTTTTTTAAAGATTTTATCTTTTTCCTTTTTCTCCCCAAAGCCCCCCAGCACATAGTTGTATATTCTTTGTTGTGGGTCCTTCTGGTTGTGGCATGTGGGACGCTGCCTCAGCGTGGTTTGATGAGCAGTGCCATGTCCGCGCCCAGGATTCGAACCAATGAAACACTGGGCCGCCTGCAGCAGAGTGCGTGAACTTAACCACTCGGCCACGGGGCCAGCCCCCCTTTATGAGGTTTTAAAACTTTACATAAATGCATCATTCTGTATGTATCCTTCTGTAAGTTGCTCTTTTCATTCAACATTATGTTTTTGAGATTTATGCTTGTTGACATGTGTTGGTCATGCATTTTTAACTGCCTTAGACCAGTCACTGGGGAGATGAACATCGATTTATCCACTCTCTAGTTCACAGACATTTGGTTTTTTTTTTAATGTGTGAGCACAATTGTTCTTTGTTCCTCAGACGTGATTGGGAATCGTCGTCATCACCATCAACATGATCGAGTGCTTCCTGTCCTTATGTGGACCAGCTCAGCATCACTACTCCACTCCTTGACAGAGTCCCTCATCAGGGTCCTGTAGAACGAAGCCAAGTGTGGATTTGACCCAGGCCTGCCTGATGCTGAGGTCTGTGCTCCTGGTCACTCTGCCTCCCAGGAATGAATGCCTGGTGTCACACCGAGGTGAGTGTCCAGGCCCTCCCGCAGGGTCTGGCTGAGACCCCCCAGCCTGGACCTGGGCCCGGAAAGAGAGTGACCGGCTGCAGCTCACAGACCTGTCTTGGTGTAGGATTGCCATTGTTGGTCCAATCCTGCATGCTCTGGTTTGTTTCAGAGGCCCCTGCCCCTCCCAGAATATGTAACACCATCGGAGACTTGGAGGAACAGCCTGCAGGCTCCATCTGTGCTGAGTAACAGGCGAACCGGGACTTCTGCCAGGAGCATAACGAGGGCCAGGCTCGTGTGCCTTGGGTGGTGGTGAGGGGGTGGAGCAGAGAGAGGTGCCAGAGGGGTCAAGGGATGTCAGGGACAATCAGGGAGAGACTAGCGAGCCATTGCTGTGGGCCTGGAGGATCCAGGTGGCCCTGGGAAGAAGGAGCAAATGGTATTTACTTTGCTGTAATGTAACTCAGCTTAGAACAATTTAGAATTTAAAAATTCTGGTCTCAGATCTCATTCCAAGGTGTGCTGGTTACTGGTGAAGGAACTACTGATCTAAGACGACGAGCGTCCGATGCTCCTCGGCTGGAGCGAGCTCTGTGAATGGCGGCATCTCTGAGCTTCAGCTTCCTCATCTGTCAAATGGGGAGGGGACCCACCCAACAAACAAGGGACTTGAGGGGCCTGACTGTCACCATTATCTCCCTGAAGGCAAAGCTCACCAGACAACAGTTGGGTTGTGGAGGTGCCTTGATTGTCAGATTGCCTAACGCCATAAAGCAGGTGGGGATTTGAAGGAGAGAGTGACTGCGGGCAAAAGAGTAGAAGCAGAAGCTCCTCTAAAGAGCCCCACTCCCCTGGGCCCAGTATTTGAGCAGGTTGTCAGTGTGACCCCAACCTAACTTAAGGGTCTACTCCCCAGGCTGGGCCAAACCCATCGCAGTCTCCCCAGGTCACAAACAGGCTTCAAGACCAGCAGGACACGCAGCAGTGTCTGATCTGGAAAGAAGTTCATTAGAAGGCTGGATGGTGTGGCAGCAGGGACAGAGGAGAGCAGTGACACTGATCAAGTGACCTGACGGCATGTCCTACAGGCACTGTCACCACAAGCTCCAGAGGGAGCATCCTCAGAGACAGCCCTGCAGGCTCTGCGGCAGAGAGAATTCTAGATTGAGAGATATAGGACGATGGAGGAATTGCCTCATCTGCGAGCAGTGCCCCGTCACTGCTGGGGGCCCCAGACAAGGTCCACGGGTTGTCCCCAAATGTGAGACAGCCACAGATCCTAAAGCGAGTTAACGGTGACCTGGATCCAGAAGACTCTAGGCCACGGCCGGGATGCTGGCCTCCTCTGCTGCGGACCCGTGCAGGAGGCTTTCTCCTTCCACTCCCCGAAGGGACACCAGGCCAGGACGCACCGGGGACACAGTGAGTGGGCGCTGATTTATTCGTTTATTTGACTCAAGTGCTTTAGTACAGAACGGTACAGAGATGGTACATGTTTGTGCTTCAATACTTTCCAACACTGAGATTCTGATCATTTCAAGGTAAACAAGTTTCAAGACAGACTAGTTTTAAAATATCCTTTTGATAAATTATTTTTATATAAATAACAGAGAAAGGAAAACCAACATGTTCGACAAACAAGGTCCTGAAGCGTGAGCATTGTTTGGTCAAGGGGAGGGGACAGGACGAGCAGGAACAGTAAGAAAGAAAGCAATGCCAGTGCCTACAGTTCTGCCCTAAGGAAATCAGGCATCATAAGGAGGAGCGGGAGCCAGACCAGGAAACTCATCTGAGCGCAAAGGGGGGACTTCAGAGCCTGGAGAAGAGAACAGCACGATGCACCTAACGTGCGGGCAAGGAACGCACTCTGAAAGGAAAGCGGCCGCGAGAACTAGCGAACACCATGTCGGCAACGACACCACGAGACAGGAACACACACACACACACACGGTCTGCAGGAGTCGAAGGGAGGCGGGGGGCTGGGCGGGGGACGTTTTTGTGACTTCCACTGTCATTATATTTCATGACACCCCTCAGCAGAGCAAACGGTGCGCTCACTACCGGAGAACAGAGGACTGCTGAGTCGGAGGATGACGAGCCATCCTCCCTTCGTTTGCTTCCGAGATTTTTGCATTAGAGCTAAGTTTTATACAGCTAAGTTTTTATACAGAGAATAAAAGGATCATTTTCTCTTACAAGCATGATGACATATGACCGCACACTACAAAAAATAAAGTATTACGGAGTATCTTAACCGGAGGACAGTCTGAGTGGGCACAGGGTCTGTACAAACCCAAGGCGCATCCCCTCAGGCAGTGGGAAGTCCTGGGGCGCGGGCGCTCTCTCCTGCAAAGGGCCCTCTGACCGGGAGCCTGCAGAGCCCATTCTGTCCTGGTCCTTTCCTGACCCCTGAGCTCTACCCAGGCGGACTCCACTAAGAAAGGGGAGCGGTGTTGGGGGTGATGCCTGGGGCAGGAAGGCGTCCAGCCAAAAGGATCAGGCCTGACTACTTCTCCAGGAGATGAGGGCCTCTGGGGGATGCCTGCTCCTTATTTGTCTGGGACTCAGACTGCAGAACGCCTTCCCTCAGGGTCACAGTGCGGTGGACGTGGGCCAGGGCACCCAGCCTGACTTCACGTGGACACCCCCCGCCCCCACCCACAGCCCCGGGGGAATGAGCCACTGAGGAAAGCAAAGAGGCTGGTTCCAGCTCAAACCTCACGAGGTGTCACCTGATCTTCACTGCCAAGCTTCTCGGGATGAGAGCAGACGCTGAGGGGTAAGAACTGGAGTGGAGACGACAGATTAATCCTCCGCTTGAAATACTCCAAGGACAAACATCTCTATGATTCCCACAAGAACAGGAACAACCCAAAACAGGTTTTTAAAAATACCCAGACGTCTACCTTCCCATACTCAAGCAATTTGCACATGTCGCACTGGGTTATGTACAAGGTCACGGGATCCTAACTAACGGGGAGCAGGTGTCCATTCATTCGAGACAGTTCCAAAGCTTCTCCAGCAGTGTGTCCCTCGCACATGAACTCCTTCTCTTAGGATACACATAGAAGATACTCTTTTAAAAAAACACAATGCATTATTTTCTTCTGTGTCAAACGAGAAGAGGGCATCAATAAACACAAGAATGCAGCGGCGACAGTGCCGGCCCGGGCGTGCAGAGCCGGGGGAGCTGTTGGGGGGAGAGGGCCAGCAAAGTAACCGTGGCGGTCAGCAGCAGGGGCCGAGGTGCTCGGTGGGAGGAGGGGTCACTTTTTGGAGGGGTGGCTTATTTTTTTAACTGCTTATTTCTTCATCTGTTTTATTCAGTTTCTTCAGCGTGTCCAGCAGTTTCTGTGGGGTAAGAATGTGCGTGGATCCTGGGGGAGGCAGAAAAGACGGTGAGCTTGCCTGCTGCAGTTTCAAACACTTTTCCTTTCCTGGATTCCCAGATCCTCATCCGTTCCCCCGCCCCCACCCTGGTCTTAGTCTAGTGGAAGCAGGGAGGGTTGGGGTTTGAGGCCATGTCACAATAGGCCTGGGAGACATTTGGGGACTGTGGATAAACACCCCTCTGGCTCAGGCAGGGTCCCAGGCTGTACCAAAGAAGGAGCCCGCCTCTCCATGGGGGCTCAGTGCAATCGGCCAGGGGACAGGGCAGCTGCATTTCTAAGTCTCTCTTGAACTCAAGGTGAAGCCAGGGAGAGAAATGCCAAACCGTATGGCAGGGGAAAAGGCTGGGGATGGGACGGGGGGTGGGGAGGGGACTGTGTGTGGAAAGGATGGTGCCTGGTAGGGAGGAAGTTGATGGGCAGAGCACACTGGGGGAGCCACTGACCTCGGTAGCCAGCTGGTTGGTCCTGCCGTGGTGGGTGGGACCTCAGGTGTGAAAGGGAAAGGGCCGGGTACCTGAGGCCTTACCTTGCAAAGACCGCGCATTGTAAGAGATTGGAAATGCTTGCAAAACTTTAAGCTAATGGAATTAGAAATACTTCTACTGCAAAAATAAAAAAATAAAAAATAAAAGTAAATGAAGTCCTTTTTCATACGGAGAGAGATCTAATAAGTGCAGTAAAAAAAGATGCATGGATCGTGTGGTTTGGACATGGACTTACTCAAACAGAACAGAAGTGACTGGCGTGTGAGCATGAGGCCTGCACGCATGCAGCAGTGGGCTTCAAAGAAAGAGATCCTGGTGGGAGAAACTGAACAAAAGAGATCCGAACTTGAAAATGTGCCTCCCGGGAGATGCGGGCAAGGGACGGGCCTTCCTGGGAGGAGGGGAGCAGAAACCGCAGGATGCTAGAGTCCCACCCAGAGGGCAGGCAAAGGAGGATTTGGCCAGCTTGTGGGGAGTGATTCCAAATACCGGGGTCCCTAGGCCTTTGACGGCTACTTGCTCAGCTGACCCGTGACTGCTCGAACTGCAGGCTTTGAAGCTTCCTAGCCAGTCCAGACCAGCAGGAAACTCGTACAGCCCTCTCTACTTTGAGGGGCTTCTTCCAACAGCCGGTGCTCTGCAGTTCAAGCCCCAGCCACCAGGTCACTGCTCTGCTGAGGAAGCCTGGCTCCTTCCTGGAGGCGCCGAGGGTGATGTCCTATGCGGGCAACCTGCCCAGCCCTGCGCTCTGAAGCTGACTCGTTATTCTGCAGACCTGAGGCCCCTTCAGCAAATGTGACAGGTTTCAGCACTATGTCCCTGGGCGTTGCTATGGTGACCTTTTCCTCCAAAGTACACTCATTTCCGTGACCTTACCAATCTTCCGTTAGTCCTAAGAGAGGTCAAAGGCTGCTCCACAAATGAGGAGACAGGAATAAAGGTTATCAAACTCTGAACAGTGAACCATTGCCAAAATGAGGGCCTTCCAAATCTCAACTCGGCGCAGCCCGTGTGTCTACACCCTGACAGGCAGCTGTGGGTCCTCCGTGCGGGGACTGCCACTTCCAGGTAAAGGTGAGAACAGGGCACGTGCTAGAGAAACTTTTGCTAACAGTCTCCCCCTCCCCCATCCACTGAGTTCCAGGAAAAAAGAAGGCCGGCTTGAACTAGAGGAAAAGTCAAAAGGGGCCTCTGATCAGATGCCCACCCCAAAGTGCTCCCTATCCTTGCTTACATTCAGGATTTGGGGGAGACCAAAAAGAGGTTAAGGAATCCACGCTCTAGAACTTTCCAATATTATCTTATTATTGACCATCTGGTGCTCCCAGTCTTCAGCTGAAAGAACAAAACTTCCAGGACCAAGAGTGTGGGACAACCAGAGAGGCCTCCGGGGCTCTCCCTGACAGGCACAGTCCTGGGCCCTAACTTGCCTGGTCTCTTTAAAGGACCCAGACCAGCTGGAGTTATTGCAAACCACCCCCCCTCTGCCCCCCCAGAGCCTCTTCTTGCCACCCAATCATCTGCATGTTTTAACACCTGGTCAAGCTTTTCACCACCACAAACACTGCAAATTGGGCTGGGTGAGTTTGTAATCCGCGTTTTGCAAACATTCTCATTTTGAACCCATAGGTGGCTGACTGTATGGACCTTCCAGAACAGGAAGGAGGTCCTATGGCTCTGAGGGTCCCTCTTATTCTACAGAACTGGAAGATTGTGAAAGATGAACAGTGGTCCCCAAAAACCACGTCATCCAGAAGTCTGTCAAGGCTGTGGGCCAGACACAGCGAGCTCCGCCGGGACACAATCCTGCTTTCCTCACTGAGAGAATCTGAAAATCAGGAGCGTCCTTACAGACCAGCTGGTCCAGTCATTCCTGGGTTTGGCTGAAACAGCCCTCCTGACTCAGGACATCCAGGGTGGCGCCAGGGAACATGCACGTCTGAGAGCAACCCCGGTGGGCGTGGTGGTCCGCCAGGTTTGGAGAACGTGCTCCGGCCCACCCTGCACCACAGACAGGGGAAGGAAGCCCAGAGCGGTGGCGTGCTTGCTCACGGTGGGTTGGGGACACAGCCAGGCCCAGAGGCCATGCCACTGGTTTCAATTCCAGGCACCCTGTGGCCTCAGGCCCCAGAGTGGAAATGCAGGGGAATGCTTAAAGAGCAGCTGGGCCAGGGCTCGGCTCTGAATTAGGATTCAAATCTGAGTGGCCCTGAAAAATGAAAGTTGTATGACCCCAAGCTGGAATAAAGCAAACATTCAACATAAAGAAACAAAAGCTTTCTCCCAAGTGTAAGTGCTGTGTAAGAGTCTAATCCGGCCGGCTGGCCCTCTTTCCTCAGCTTCTCACAGCCTCCGACATTCCCAAGGGACAAGCACTTTAACATAAACCACCCAGTGTAGAGGTGAAGATCTGATCAAAAGACTTCACGTCTCAGACATGGGGGATGATGGATTGGTGGGGGTTAAGATGAGCCTTGGTGGTATCTGTGCACATCAGCGATCCACGCCCGCTCCCTTTAACCCAGACCCTGGGAGCTGGCCTCAGCTCCAGGAGAGAGAGGGGCCAGCAGGACAGAGCGAGGCACTGGTGCCCACGCACCAGCCTGCTGGGGACACCCTCATTCAGCACTGAGCGCAAAACTCTTAAAAGCTAAGTTCCCGCAAGTACCGGCATTGGGGACAACCCTGGCTCTCTAATGTCCTGTACTGGCCCAGTCTTTGGTCACCTGAACAGTCACAACAGAATGGGGCAGGTCAGACTGTGACCTGCCTTCCGGCCTCCGTGGTATCAGGGCTCTGTGCCTCGCTCTTTCTTAACCGAGCTCTCTAAAACCCAGCACTGCCCAACAAAGCATTCCAGAAGCCGAGAATACAACCAGAGTCCACTCGCGCTCTCTCTGCTCCCACGGCAGCCGAGAGCTGCTCTGCTGATGGGACGTAAAACTAAGGATGACAGTCTGCAACGGGGAGGCTGCTTCCGAAGCAGCGAATCCCTGGCGAACCCTAGCAGGAGCCCTTGGGGTCCGGGTTTGTCAGTCTTCCAGTCCTGCAAGTGTTCTGCCATTGCTGCTGCCTCGACTGAACACCTGTCCTTCTAGAAGCCTTAAAACACATCTTGCAGTGAATGCCATCCACCTACCTGCCTTCTGCACACAGGACCAGCTGTCTGATTCCAAGCTACTGAGGTGCTCTAAACAACGACTGTTTTTCAACAATGGCTCCTACTCACCACCCACTGGCCTTGCTTTCTAGGGGAAGGCAGCCTGGGCTCTTTCTCACCTCACCACTGCCCGGGGTGGGGGCAGCCATCTCTTGGCCAAGGGAGGGAAAGGGGAGGAGATAAACGGGTGGCCTCCTGTGGACCTTTAGAGAGAGTCCTCCTTGGATGGAGCGCATTCTCTTTATACAAACACGCATGCTCTGATGTATCCCTAGCCCAGCCCTGAGAGAACGCTCCCCCGAGGTTCAGCAGAGTGCACGAGAGGGGGCAGGACCGCAGGTCTGAGTCACCGATCTGAATTACTGAGTGACAGCAGGTCAGAGCTCGGAGGAGCCTTGGGGCCCTGCGATCCAGCCTCCTGTGTTCCACAGACTGTGGCTCAGTAAGGGGGAGTGACCCGCAGTCACAGGTGCTCGTGGTCTTTCCACTACTCACAGGTGGCTCATGCTCCATGACTCACCGGCCACGTCTAGCCCAGGGCAAGGGGGCATTTTCAGGGCCATAGTCAGTGGAGCACATGAAGTGAGGGACACAAAACGTGGCCTCATCACAGAATGCCTAACATAGCTCAGTGGCGTCCTTCAGTATCAGTCGCCATTTAGACACATTATAGGAGATTCCGAGCACATAAGAAGGATGGAAAGAGAGAGGAAGGACGAGGACAAGAATAAAATCTGGATCATCCACCAAACAGACCACGAGTTCCTGGGAAACTGAGATAAAGGCACGTGAGGGAGAGAAGATGCTCTTTAAAACAACACACTGGTGTTAAGGCCGGTTTCTAGCCCAAGGCTCTCAGATCTTACCAAGACCTCAACAGGTGTAGGACTGTGATTACTCAACTCTTGAAAGGATCCACAGGAGAATTAAGATAAAAGCACCTACTAAAAGAGCAAATGACTATTCGGTGCTGTTTTGCCCACAGGAACGTGAGACATAAGCTCTTTGCACTGATGGCTGGAGCTCACCAAGTACTTAGTGGCTCATGGCCCCATCACCCCTTAGAAATCGTTCTGGGCTAAGCACCCGTCCTGGGAAAGAGGTATTTACACATCTCCCTCCCCTGCCCTGGAGGTTATTCTGACACTCTCTGCCGAGCCTTCCTTGTGATCAGGTCCCCATGGCTATCTCCACTGGAGTTCTGCCTTCTTGGACACGACAGTCCCTTGAACTCCTGCTGGCCTCACTCTCAAGTCCCCACATCACATCACACCAGGACGCTCTGCGTTCTCTGCCTGGTGCCCACAAACCCACCCCTGGGCCAGCAGGCGTGGGCACCAGGCGGCCGGCGCCCCTCAGCTGGCAGCTTCCTCTGGAGGCCTCTTCACGGCCGTTGTTCTCACTTTCGGTTTGGAACCCAGTGGGCTGCAGCTGGCCGAGTGAGCCGGCGAGCTGGAGCCCAGGGGTCCTCGTGGCTGGGAGTGTGAGGGTGGCTTCGGACACATTTTCAATCGGTGTTAAGAACTGCAAGCATTTTCTAATTGAAAGAAAATCAAAGAAATAATAAACTGAAAAGGGAAAAATAACAAAAAAGAGTGACGGAATAATCAAAGAAAACCCTTCAGAGTGGAAGAGTTTCTTTTCTGTAATAAGCTGCTTTTACTTTGTTTCTCTGGCTCTCACTCCATTGTTGGAGCCTGATCCTCAAAAGATACCCTAGAGGACTCCCTGAAGTCGGGGTGTCTCAGGTCCATGAGAAATTTGGTGGGAGTGAGAATGTGAGTAGAACCTGCAGGAGAACAGAGGCCAGCTGACTGCTTGAACAAAGGAACGTTACAGGAACATGCCAACTTAGGCCTACATTGTAAGCAGCCAACGAGGTGTGAGAAAGCAGGACACGCACGCCACGCACACGCACACGGCCGGCATGCACCAAGCGGGCGAGGCCACACAGCGGACGTTAGCTGTCTGCACAAGGCCTCCCCGTGGATCTGCACGGGCAACTTTCTCTCCCCAGGTCTCCACCTCCCAACGGGGAACCTCGAGTCAGGGCCAAAGTCGAAGAGGGAGATTTACACCCAAGCCTGGCTGGGACAGCTTCTGCCCAGGAAAGCTGTGTTTGAGCTGAGAATTAGCCGACATGGTCATGCAACATGTATGCAAGCAGGGAACAGAGAGAGCTTTATCACGGGGGCCTATGTAATAAAAAGGACAAAACAATACAGGGAGAAAGGGTAACCAGACAGGGTAAGCTTCAGGGAGTGGGGAGGCAGAGCGGGGGGAAGTCCAGTCTCCCCACTGAATTGGTGGTATCTAGAAGGCAGGGTGAGAGTGCCAGGTCCATCTTGATAGACCCAGGAACGGCCATATGCACTGGTCTGCAGGACACGCTCACTCCGAGACTTGGGGGGCACTGTGACCTGGTCACCCCAAAGTGGAGGTATAAAACTGACCCATTGTATCAAGATAAGGGGAAAGGGCAGGGCCTGGTCCGGGCAGCAGGTGCCAACAGCCTCTTGTCAGTCAACGTCAAGAGGCACCCTAGGCAGGTGCAACTCCATTTTAAGGGAAAGATAAGACAAAGGGAAGGCATCTGGAGCGAGCAAGATCTTTCTCAGCTCACTCTTCCTCTCCCAAGCCTAGAAGTTGTGGAAGCTCCTGCAGACACGAAAAAGGAGAAACTCCTCTCCTGCTGCAGTAAGTCAGCTCTTGTGAGCTGCTGCCTTTCTTCTGGAAAACCAGCAGGAAATACTAGAAAGGGTATAATCGGCCTAGAAGAGGCAGGAACTGGTAGGCGAACCTTAGTGGAGTCCAGCAGTCAGGCCACTATGCCGGGACTGTCCATCTCCAACTGACAGGAGAGCAGGGGTCATAATTTACCTTCCATTCCCCGAGCATCTTCCAGACGCGAAGCCCAATGCCAGGACCCTGACAGGCCAAGTGCAAGCCTGTAAGTGGGTATGGCGAACCCCATGTTGTTGGGTAAGGAAGTAGCAGCCTGGGAGCTGAGGGTCTTGCTCAAGGTGCCCACTTGGCAGAGCAGGAACGTGAGCCTGGGGCTGCTGGAGTCCGTGACCGGGCCCTTCTCACCACATGCAGTGCCTCTCATCAAGACACACGAGGAAGAGACCCTTCGCCCCTTAGCTTCTGCCGTCCACAAGCGGGCCTAGAGACTACATTTGCAGGAGTGATGGAGATCGAGGACAGGATGACACCGACGCGTGGAATGGAGTCCAGATGCAGTGAAGCAGCCCCTTCCCCAGAGAAAACGTGCCCCACTCACCTATGAGCACTTCCCACTTTCCGCTGGCTTGGGTCACCTCGTAAGCACAACGCATCTCATTCAGGCTCACGCCCCCGAGGATGAAAATAATGAGGCGGGGACCACTGCGGTACTCCCCCGGGGCCTTGTTCTTATGCCAGTGCCCGTAGCGGGCGCTGGGGGGAGAGAGAGAGATTAATGACGTTTATCTGCACTCACGGTATTTGTCACTTGGTGCCTCATGACTAGTTTCCAAGTTCGTTCTGTGTGTCAGTGTCCCAAGCACAGTAGGTGCTTAGTAAGCGGTGGCTGAATGAACAGCCGTGCAAATTAGCAAGTGCTTTGGCTGCTGGGAGAAGCATGACAGCGCCTGAGCCATGACCTTGTCACTGTCTTAGAAACAGGTAGGCGACAGACAGGCTCAGGTTGGCTTTAAAGTGTGACATGCTAAGTTCAATAATAGCTTCACCCTGCGTGACATCCGTCCAGGCTTCTACCCCCTGTTGTCCATGCTGCTAGGCTTGTCTGGGCCACTCTGCTGGCAATGAGCAGCGACGACAGGGTCTGAGGCCTGTCTTCAGGCTGGCACATCGACTTACTGAACAGACAGACGTGCACTGAGTGCTTCATGACTGGGGCGCCCCTGCCCCGAGGAGCCAGCCCTGCTGAGATAAGGGCCCTCGCCCACCCAGAGCTCATGGCTGAACTGGGGAGGGTGGGAGAAGGAAGCAGGCCTGAACCGTGCTATGACAGAGAGGGGCTCAGTGCCACAGGGACACACAGGGGAGGACTGTCTAGCATTGTCTGGGCATCACTGGGGACGGTTTCCCAGAGGAGGTGACACTGAGCTGTCTCCTGAAGGACACACATTTCAGTAGTGGGACAGTTCTCAGAGGTGCCCCCTCTCCCCCTGGGCTGTCCTCAGTGGGTCTTCACCTTGTCCTCAGAAACAATGAGAAATGGGTCACTTCCAGGTAAGAAAATGGGGAAAACAACAAAGATGAAAACAAAACGAGGACAGTCTCCTGCGGACAGTGAAATCTCTGCCCTTATTCCTGACTCATGACAACATCAAAGTCACTTTCCAAATCTCGAAGGCCATGGGGGCCCATTTGGGCCAATCCAGAGAATTTCACAGCCATCTTCTTTGCCTGAGCAACCAGCTGACAATCTGCCATCATCAGCCAGCCTGGCTGTGGCACTACCGGGGATTTTGTATTTTACTCCAATGTTGGCAAGAACACTGCCATCAGAGGGGATGCACAATGCCACAGACGCCGTGCAGGCCTCTGGCCCAGGCCCAGGAGAAGGCCTAAAAGTGAAGACAGAAGGAGGAGAGGAAAGAGAGGGAACGGGCGGGCACAGCACGAGAAGAGGGACAAAGAAGTCCACACGGAGCGTGAATCCTGGAATTGCATGCTACGCCAGCGCCACAGGCCACCCTCTCTGGAGCTGGTGACTCTCCTGCTCCACGCTCATGTGTTGTCTTGCCTGTTCTCAGGAGCCAAGTAAAGCCCTTGCTGTCAGAGGAAAACAGAAGCTGCCACTCAGGAAAGGCAACAGACGTGGCTGTGGGTCAGGGAGGAGCCTGGACCACACAGACGAGGGAGCAGAGAGGAGTCTGGAGGTGAATGCAAGAAGACAGCGTCGGAGAACCAGGGACAGAAGTATGGACTGCTGTCGACTCACATCTCGAAGCTGAGACATGTCTGAGCATCAGCAGGCACGTGGCAGAAACCCAGCCCAGGGCACCCACATTTCGGTCAGGAGCGAATCTGAGAAATGCGTCTCTACGCAGACGATGCATTCATCCCCTTTTTAATTAATCACTAAAATAAATTAATCAAAAGGGAAGACAGAATACACTGAGTACCTGCCACGTGCCAGGCTGTGTTCTAGGCACTGAGGACAAAAAGGACACAAATTTCTGCTCTCAGGAGGCTGACATTCCAGTCAGGGGAGACCAGCAGGAAACAAGATAAACACAAAGAATATGCTAAGAGGTGGTGTCATCTATGCAGAAAAACAGGGCAGGGCAGGGAGATAGGAAGTGTTGGGGAGGCTTGGAAATTCTTATTCTTTATTTTTGTAACATCTTTACTGAGAGAGAATTCACATAGGACAGAATTCACTCATTTAAAGTGTACAACTCAACCGTTTTTAGTAAGGTCACAGACTTGTGAACTATCACCCTCAGCAATTTTAGACCATGTCATCACCCCCAGAAAGGAACCCTGTACCCATTAATGGTCCTTCCTCATTCCCCCACCTCCATCCCTGTCCCCAGCAACCACGAATCTACTCTCTGTCTCTATGGATCTGCCTATTCTGGACATTTCATAGAGATGGAATCGCATAATATGTGGACTTTTATGTTTGGCTTCTTTCACTTGGTCTGTTTCATGGTTCATCCATGTCGTAGCACGGATCAGTACTTCATTCTTTTTTTGTTGTTGTTAAGTAATATTCCATTGTATGAATATACCACATTTTGTTTGTCTGTTCATCAGCTGATGGACATTTGGGCCGTTTCCACTTTAGAGCTCTTATGAATAACACTACTAGGAACATGGATGCAGTGTAATTTTAAACAGGGTGGTTAAGGAAGACGGGAGAAGGTAACACTTGACTAAGGACCTGAAGGAGATAAGAGGTGTAACATGCAGATAAACCTGGGGACAGATCATTTCAGGCAGCGGGAACAGCAAGTACAAAGGCCCTGAGGCAGAAGTGAGGCAGAAGTGAGCCAGGCGTGTTCAGGGAGGAGCACGAGGCTGGTGCGGCTGAAGTGGAGTGACAGAAGGAGGAGTGAGCGATGGGAAGCCAGGGCATGCAGGGCCTCCCAGGCCGCTGTAAGGACTCGGCCTGCACTCTGGCTGTGATGAGAAGCAGCAGGAGGGTTCTGGTGGAGGAGGCCGCATCACAACAGGGCTGCCATGTAGCTGACACCCAACCAGAGACGGGCCCACTCACTCCCGCCTGCTTGCCCAGGGATTCCCGCCTACCTGACGGCGGTGGTGCTGAAGGACGCAGAGGAGCGGGTGGAGATGTAAGGGTAGTGTTTGGTATCGAGTTTGTCCTCAATAGTGTCCTGGAAAGAAGAGAGAGAGATCGGGCCGGCCATGTTTGACGAGGGCCGAAGGGAACCCAAGTGAGACGGCTCGAGGAACAAGCCACTCAGCAAAAACCCTGGCCAGCTTGGCAACGCCCAGAGCTCCGCTGCCTCTGCCTGCCGCAGGGCGTCCGGTGCAGGCCCCGGCTTGGCCCAGGGGCTCTGGCACCAGCTGATACACTGAGGGGAGTTTGTACGCCTGCTCTTGGAGAGAAGTTTTTTAAAAACATTAATTTTTCTTGCTTCCCTTCCAATTTAGTTTTTGTTTTCTCTTTTACCATCTATGCAAGGTTATAAATGTTGCATTCTGTCCAGCAACATCCCGACACTGCCATCAGTCTTATAGAAACTAGGCGCAGGCAGAGGCTCTCATACCAGGGAAGAAGGCCTTACACCCTCTGTTTCCAAGGGTCTAATTACCTGGTGGGCGGAATCCAGCTATCCACCCCCCACTGCCTAGAAATCTCCACTCCTCCTAACAGCTACCCTGTGAAGCCTACACCTGTCTCTTTGACCGACTGGGGAGGAGGGGGAGGAAAAGGGAGCCAAGAACAAAGGAGCAGATGAGACAGAGGGAGTGGCTTTGCCTACCCACCAAGCAAAGAAATGTAACGGTTTCTAGATGTCTCGGGTTCACCCATCTTTTCTTTTGTGGGTTTTAAAAATAGGAAGCTGACTCACTCTATACATTTAAAACATATCTATTGTAATGTACAATTCAGTGGGAACACCCAGACTGCTAGGAACTGACGAAGGGATCCTGGGCAGGTCCCCTCTCCTTGGGACCCCTGTCCTGTCTACCTGTCAAGTGCAGGAGACAGACAGACTGTCTTCAAGCTCTACCCCAAAGGCCTAGCAGGGTGGGACTCTAAGCAGGGCGTCCTTGAGCCACAAGGAGAGAGGGGAGGGACACCACAGGGCTACCTTACACTCACGAATATGAAACACCTACTGTGCACGAGGCATGAGGCCAGAGGACACGTCAGTTGAGGGCACAGGACCAAGAAATAAAAAGATGACCCAGAAGGCTGAGCACACACACACACGTGAAAAGCATCGCTGACACACGTCACAGGAGCCCAGGGAGGCCTCTGTGGTGCTGGGTGGTCAGACAGGCGGGCGGTGGGCCAGAACGCTGAGCCCTGATGGGGGATTTGAAGGCAGGCAGGATTCAGGGTACGGAAAGGAGAACAAGAACATTCCAGGCGAGGGATGGGCTTGAGCAGAAGAGCAGAGGCAGAGACACGCTGGAGGGTCTCTGGCTGACGGGGAGGCTGGGGAGGGGAGCAGTGGAGGAAGAGGAGGGGTGGGCCGGGGCCATGTTTGGAGGCCCTTCCACACGCCGAGGTGTGCTGCGTGGCTTACCCGCACCTTCAGCACGGAGCTCATCACTCATCTGACCTTCACATGCTGTGACGGGTCTGGTTCCTTTGGACTTGGTACCATTGGGGGGGGTCTCTAATATGGACCTAAATCATACAGACCCCGGGGATCTGAGTGTGGCAGTCTATTGGAACAGCCCTTCATCAACCCTCAGGACAAGTATGCTGTGAGGCCTGAAAGAGCTCTGGAGACCTGGATGCAAATCCTCAAGGATACAAAACCCTGGGGAGTCACTGCCACCTGACAGCAGGTGACGCCAGAAGCATCTGGGCCTCCAAGTGCAGCGCCCCAGCCTGCCCTCACTGACCTCCATGATGTCTTTAATGATCGGGGTCCATCGTGAGAGCTGGTAGGTCTGCTCACTGATGCGCTCCTTCCGCTCTGGTTTGCTCCTGCGACGCAACGTGGACTGAATACAAACACAGAGACTGAGTCAGGGCCACTTGGCCCTGGGTGACCTTGCCGGCCCTGGAAATTCTCTCCCAAGGACTCCCTTCAGAGAGTCAGCACTGACAAAGAGTAGTGAGTGGGGAGGTTTCCCTGGAAAAGCCCAAAATATGCCCCCTGGGCTCAGCCCAAGAATCTGGTGCAAATTTGGTTCTTTAAAGCCAGGAAAAATGGCAAATGTGGGTCAAATATTCTAGTGCCATTTAAAAAACCCACATAGTTAAAAAAAACAGTTTGCTGCTGATTATAGGAGAAAATAGTACTTTGGGTGTGGCTTATTCGTTTTGTTTTTTTTTTTAAAGATCAGCCCCATGCTAAGATCTGTTGCCAATTTTCTTTTTTTTTTTTAATTCGTCTCCCCAAAACCCATGGTACATAGTTGTATATTCTAGTCATAGGTCCTTCTGGCTCTGCTATGTGGGACACCACCTCAGCGTGGCCTGATGAGTGGTGCCATGTCACCGCCCAGGATCCGAACCAGCAAAACCCCAGGCCACTGAAGCAGAGTGTGCAAACTTAACCACTTGGCCACAGGGCCGGCCCCCTCTCTTATTTTCTGATTTTGCTTCAGAAGCACAGGATGTACAGAATGAATCTTCTCCATTCTCATTTTGGTCCCTCTTGTGAACAAGGGTCTAAAAACACCAAACCTCCGCCCGTTACAGGTCTCAGGTCTGGTGGCTCCAGAACAAAGTTTTTGACTCCAAGCATCCAAAAGGAGGGCCTCTGCCGCTCTGGCTTTGTCACCTGTGGCGTGAGCTGACTGCCTGCAGGAAGGAGGCGCACAGTGGGGCTCCCACAGGGAGGTTCCCAGCAGAGTGCTCTGGGGAGTGCTTAGCCTCATCCTTGAGTTCTGGAGCCCCTGGCCCCCCATCACTTCCAGAGCTCACTGTGTGCTGAGGCCCCCAGACCACCTGCCCTGAGTTGCTTCTGAGTCATGGCCGGTGAGGCTAGTGTCGTATTCTCACCCTCACAGCACACGAGTCTGGGTGTGCAAAGGCAAAGCCAAACTGACCTCAGGGGACGAAGGGTGCGGCTGACGTGGCTCCTAGTTTGGGCTGCTTCACAGACACAGCTGGGCTTGAATGACTGACTCCCTCACGCACACGTCTGGGTTCTTGGTGTTAGACCTCTATGTCATTGCACCTCTCTCCCTTCATTCCCCTGATTTTATCTGTTTTCTCTTTCTCGATGTTGAGCAAGTGCCTATAGCCACTAAGTCGGGGAGAACAGATACGACACACCAGCTTCCCTCTCGCCCCTCCCTACCCCCCGCAAGGCTGGCCCCTTACGTCTGTGACAATGGGCACCCCGAGGTGCGCCATGTTGGTGATGATCTCGCTGTCCTCCGGGGGGATCTGGGCGTGCTGGATCAGTTTGTTCAGGTTTTCCTCAGTGATTCCTGAGAGAAGAAAACCCCCGATCACCACACCCAGCCTGCGCATCACACACCCAGCAGAGCCGATCTGCCCCTCGTCCTTGGGATTAGTGGACACTCATCTGTGCCCCACACAGACTTCACTGTCAGAAGAGGACAGGTCAGGACTCTGACGCCACTCCGCCCTAGGCTGTGACCATCACAGTCTATATCACCGCCCCTCCTGGTCTCTGTTTCCATCTGTCTCCTTCGTCTCAGCCACCCTGCCCACCCCTGGCCCACATCAGAGTCGACTTGGACAAGGAGTCCCTGTGTCCATCTTCTGTCCAATGACACTCATGGGCAACTGTGATGTGGGTAAAAATCACTTATTTAAAGGCATAGATTACAAATGTGATGCAAGTTAAAACTATCCAGCAGATCTACTCTAATAATCTGGCCATAAAGCCAGCAGGCCCTCGCAGCATCCCCACCCTGTCCTCTTGTCACATATCCCACAGCTCTGATTAACTTTAGATTACTGTAACAGATACTCAGCCACCAGTGCAACTGATTTGCCTACATGACATTTCCCCAGATGCAAAGACCCCTTAAATTAAATACCCTTTTCCACATCTTTTAAACTACTTGGCCACTTTGTCTTCCCTCTCCCGGCGGCCTCGCTTTTCCCAGGAAGGGCCGCCCCTCCTTGTGCCCCACCGTCCCTACCATTCTTCAGAAAGATGTAGAGAAGGATGATGCGGATCTTGTCGTAAGTGCTGACGTTCGCATCCAGCAGAATGGGGACGATGGCTCTCATGGGGTCTTTGATCTTCTCCCCCTCAGCGTCTGTGCCCATGGCCAGGTCCTGCAGAAAAGACACCCTGTTGGCCCCATTTCCAGTGGCAGTCTGGACAGAGGGTAACTATGAGGAAGCTGGTGGTCCACGAATGTCTGGCATTTGTAGCTTGCCTGGGGGCAGGTCTCACACAGGTGCTTCTACTCTCACAGTGCGCTGTAATTAGCACTGAGGTAATCAGCATTGTTTTTTTTTAAAACATCAGTGAGAATTGAGGAAAGCCCCAGGTTTCACTTTCCAAAGACAGAAACCACAATGACCTGCCATCTTGTTCAAAGGTAGGTTGTTCCCTCAGGTGAGTGCAGAGTACCTGCACCACGTCCATAGGTCAAGCCTCAATCCTGGGTCGCCTAGAGGAACAAAGCCCTGCCGAGGGATTGGGGCTCAAAGGGACGCTCTTCCCACACAGGAAGAGCTTAGGCACAGTTAGCCGCCTCTGCCTGGCCAGATTGTCTCCACTCTGCTTCCCTGGCACTGAAGGACATGCTTTTTGAGTTTTAACTACCTAGGTTTATAATCTGTTTTTTGTTTTGTTTTGTTTTTGAGGAAGATTAGCCCTGAGCTAACATCTGCTGCCAATCCTCCTCTTTTTTTTTTGCTGAGGAAGACTGGCCCTGAGCTAACATAGTGCCCATCTTCCTCTACTTTATATGTGGGACGCCTGCCACAGCATGGCTTGATAACTGGTGTGTAGGTCCGCACCCAGGATCTGAACCAGCGAACACCAGGCCACCAAAGTAGAACGTGTGAACTTAACCGCTGCACCACTGGGCTGGCCCTCACCTCTGTTTTTAATCTTCCAAATGCTTCTAGGGTGAGGAGAAAGAAAAAAGCCTCCCAAACTGCAAATCCAACCCAGGGAGATGAGGAGAGAAGGGCTGACAAAAGAACTGAGGACCGAAGAGAGTGAAGTAAGCACTATGGGCCCCACTTGACGACTCAGACAGGAGTCTGCTTGCTCTCTCAGGCCAGAGAAAGCAGCATGTCAGTCTTGGCAAATCAGCAACCATCTGGTCTCATTCTCAGACACCAGTGGCTGCAGCTTCCTCTGTAGCTCTCACAGAGGTTGCCTGAAGGGTCCCTTGTTTTCAAGATCCCAGGAGTCTGTGACAATGATGATCTTGAGTTTGGGTCTCTTCCCAGTCTGGGTCCCAGGCAGGTGGGCCCCCTCTCCGTGGCCCTTTCACCTCTTGGTCCTCCCGCCGGCCTAACAGACGTTTGTCCAGCAGGACCTGATTCTAACATCCTCTAAAAGTCCAATTAAATACTATGGAGCACTTCTGAAAAATTGTGAGCTTCCAAGGATTAATCCCAAAAGCAGTTTTACTGATGCAGGTAGAACCTATTTTCTGGAGGGTCTAGTCCTTCTGCAGAGGCCACCTTGTGTTCTCCAAGATCACCGGTGAAACTGACCGATTTCAGCCGGGCTACTTCCTTGTAGAAGAGTCAATGAGTCTCCAATCGTCCAATGAAAGGACGGGTCTCATAAACCTGAGCTAAGCCTGTCACGTCAAACCAGAGGATTAAATCTCAGCTTCACCCTAAGAACTTGAGATGTTTTTTCTGTGAAAAGGGACCTTCAGCCAAGGCTTCAGAATCGCTGAATGCCTTCTCTTCCCCTAGAAGCTGCTCCTAGTTGAGCAATGTTGTCACACTTCAAGAAAGAAGTCCCAGGATTAGTGACCACACAACACTGCTAGAACGTGTGGCAGCATTGTTATCTCCCTTTGCAGATGAGGAAAATAAAGCAGACAGAAATAGGCACGTCAAACACATCAGTGACGAACTCAAATCCCACACTCTCAACTTACAGTCCTAACTGATCGGTGAGGCTGTGGGAAAATTCTGACCCGCTACTGCTCTATCCTCGTTCAGCCTCTAGGTCTCCAAAGCCAGTGTGGGCACACCAGGAGGAAACGTACTCGGGATATAAAGTCCAGCCAGCCTGTCAGTGCAGGGCTCAGGGCTCCACACATCTCTCTTCAGCCATTCCAGGGGAAACGGGGCCTTGGAAAGCCAGACATGCACAATGCAAACGGCACAGCACTCCAGACCACTCTAGTCCCTACCATTGAGAGTGGCACTGCGTTGGCTCCAGAGAGTTGAGGCAACATGAGCTAGGAGGCTTTCCCATCTCTACATCCTGTGATTCTGCAGGATGTTCAAGGTCAGACATGATACTTCAGCTGGGTCAACGGGCCTGGCAGAAAGAGGAGGAAGGGGTCCTACCTGCTCCACCCGGCAGAGTTTATCCACGGTGCCTTGGTAATGCTTCATGCAGTCCTCGGCAAGGTGCAGGTGGGTGGAGTACTAGGAAGAAGCAGAGAGTCGAGGTCAGGAAACCACTCGCTGCTTCCTGCAGCATCTACCAAACACCTGCTGTCGATGAACCCTGTGCCAGGCGCCAAGGAGTCTCCAGCCTCATCGAGGAGACGGAACAGGCCTCCAAGCAGGTCCACAAATACCACAAGGGAGACATTTTTGTGTGTTAGGAGAGAAGGACACATCACATCCTGAAAGAGTCAAGAGTTAGGAGAAACCCTTGAGGGGGTTTCACAGTGCTTCCCGAATTCTTTGAGACTCCTCCCTCCGGGGGCTGGAGCCTAATTCCCCTCTCCCTGGGCATGGGCCGGATTTAGTGACTCGCTTCTAATGAATAGTGTGGAGGAAGCGACGCAGGACAGCCCAGACCAGGACAGAAAAGCCATGTGACTTCTTCCTAGCACTCTCTTGGGTCACTGGCTCTGGGGAAGCCAGCTATCATGTCGTGAGGACACTCAAGCAGCCCGTGGAGAGGCCACGAGGTCAGGAACAGGAAGGATGAAGAGAGACAAAGAGGAAGAGGATAAAAGAGAGTCAGGAAACAAGCTATCCCAAACTTTCCTTTTTTCCTAATAAAAATTGAAGACGACTGAAAATCTGCGGATTTCAGTCAGTCAGTCAGAGCAGCGGGGCTTCGAGCAGTCTGTGTGCAGCTGCTCATCCTCGTGACTCCGATCAATCGTTTCGGGTCGCCGTACCTTGCTGAGCTCCTTCTGGTACTGGGGCATTTTCTTCAGCATCTGGGACAGGTCGCGCATGGTGGTCTATAAGGGAGAGGAAAGCAGGAGGTCTTAGTCCAGTGGCCCTGATCTGGGAGGCTGTGTAAGGACACTGGGTCCAGGACAGGACAGCAGCCAGCACCACAGTTCCCAAGGGCTTGCTCTCTCACTCTCGAAATGAATCCGTTAAACACAAGGTCATGTGTGTTTAGATTTCTAGGTCTCTACCTCCAAAAATTATTGATCCAAATATCACGCCCGTCTTAAAGGTGGGGAACTGAACTCTGAAGTCTAGCAATTATGTTTTGTTTATTGGACTAGAAAGTTATTGAGAGCATAATTCTTGCCAGAAAAGGATGATATTTCTTCTACACACTGCTTTTCTGCAGATTCAGCTCAAGTGGTCTCAGGATCTGGTTCACAATTCATCCCAGCAGGATGACTGTAGTCGTATAGGTAGGTACAAAGAAAGGAGAAGGAGAAGAAAGGCTAGAATCTGCATCCTGACTGGTGAAAGGGTCTGTTGACATTCTTTTTCTTTGGTGAGGAAGATTGGCCCTGAGCTAACATGTGCCAATCTTCCTCTATTTTGTATGTGGAATGCTGTCTCAGGATGACCTAATGAGCAGTGTGTAGGTCCATGCCCAGGATCCGAACCCAAGAACCCTGAGCCACCAAAGAAGAACATGCCAAACTTAACCACTACACCACTGAGCCAGCCCCCTTTCAATATTTTTTTTCTTTTTTTTTTTCCTGAGGAAGATGGTTGCCCTGAGCTAACATCCATGCCAATCTTCCTCTATTTTGTATGTGGGTCACCACCACAGCAGGGCTGATGAGTGGTATAGGTCCACACCTGGGAGCCAAACCTGGGCTGCTGGAGTGGAACATGCTGAACTTAACCACTAAGCCACAGGGCTAGCCCCTGTTTACATTCTAACTGTGTGATCCACCTAATCCTACTCATTTATCCAACAGAATTTCTTGAATTATTACTACACACCAGGTACTTTTAGGTGCTGGAGATACAAGGACAAGAAAAAAAAAAAGAAAGAGATTTCTGCCTTTATGGAGCTAACATCGAGCAAAGGCACCATTCCAACCGAGTGGATTAGCACTCTGAGGGAATCACAAGTGTGGGTGCACAGAGCAGAGGCACCTCACTAGTCTAGGGAGGAGTCAGGAAGATTTCTCCAAGAAAATGATGCCTGAACCAAGGGACAGGAACTTCACAAGACAGGGCCCAGGGAAGGAACTCAGGCATGGCTGGAGCAAGGTGGCAGAGGCAGGAAGGAGGGAGGCAGAGATGAGACTAGAGAGAGTCTGTGGGGCCTGATGACCTGGGTGCTGTAAAGCATGCCCCCAGGTGGGGGCTTGATTCTGCTAGGAACGGGAAGTCACTGAATGGTGTTAAGCAAGGGAGTGATACAATCAGAGCTGCATTTCCCCTGACTAAGATGGGTAAGCCAGCTCTGCTGAACAGTGAGGGTAAGGAGAGGCCCAGGTAAGTTAGGTTATAAATTCAAATTCTACCACAAGTGAAAAAAGGATTCACAGTCCTTCTGGCTTAAAATGAATTATGATCCAAAACAGTAAATATTAATCCTCAGAGTAACAAAAAGAAGCTCTCTATAAGTATCAAAAGACAAAAATAAGACAAAGCGATACTAGATGAAGCAAGGACAGCACCCCTCACTCGCTAGGCCCCCTCCCTGCTCCTAGAGAGAACGCAGGGATTAACTCAAGGGCACTGGGGCGCGCACACGGGCTTACCTTCTCTCCAGTATTCATTCTCTTGCTAGAAGAAAAATCTTTCAGAGAACGGGTGACTTCCCTGGAAAACAGAAAGAGGCAGCTAAGTTTCAAAGCAGCCCCGGACGTGTCAGTCTGGGCACTAGAGAAGTCGTGCAACGGTCTTCCTCTGGGAATATTTGGCGACTTTTCCTGCCATCATTTAAAGTGATTTTCTTAGAAGAGAGAGAGAGGTACATCATTTTTCTAACTAATATTCTAAACCAGAGTCGGGCATTTAAGATGATGCAAGAAGAGACAAGAAAATATTAGGACATCTATTTATGTTCACGTTACTTCATCCTTTTTAAATTTATCTTTCTGTATATGCTGTAAAATATACATATTAGCACAATAGAGCATACAATTAATTCACAAATGTAAATATTGGAAATATGAATCAACATTTTTCTAAAGTTGAGTGATCCAAGTTTGGAGACCACTTTTCTAAACAACAGAACTATCCAAGCCTTCTTCTGTTCTTCCTTGTGAATTTCCTGAGGACGTCACCAATTCAATGTAGCAGAATGTGTCTTTCTGCAAAAGCAGAATTGTTACCTATAGTTTAAAGTCTTATAACAATGTTTAGGTATTAGAAACATTTTCAGAGCAAGAAACAGTTCAGTGTATATAGAAATCAGTTCTTGCTCAGAAATTTTAGGTAAGACAACAGGGAAGGAAGATTACCCACCAGCTATATAAAAGCTAATTGAACTGTATGAAGTGGAGCTTGGATCTTGCAATGAATAAACTGGCATAGATGTTAAGTGTTTATAAAGCATTTTGCTGAGAGAGCTACAAATGCTTTCCAAAAATTCTAAAAGCAACCTTGACATAGAATGTCTGTTCTGACTCGGTGAAGTCAGGGCAGCTAGAGCTCAGAGACAAGAAGGGGTTCGCCATCATTCATTAGCATGTTGGTGACCTCGCTGAGCAACAAATGCATCCACTGAAGAGCTCTGCCCAAGCTGCCCAGAGTACGTGCCTGAGCAACCACGATGGGAGAGAAACGCTTGGCCCTGTGCACAGGGGAGAGCCCTGGAGCTGGGGGAGTGTCCGGAAACAGGGACGGGTGGGGGGGCTCTTACTGGGACACCTCTGCGATGTGCTTGTGGCGCAGGGCTATCCAGAGGTCGTCGTCCTCGTCCAGGAGCACCTCCTTCACCCGTGCCTCTCCGATGCCACTCGTCTCATACCTGGAGAGGAAAAGCCCCCACAAAATTTATCCAGTCCCTTCCGGTTTATAACAGACAAGAGCTCACAGTCCTCAGCAGACAGACGTTCCACGACTGATTTCATGACCAGCCTCTCAACCACCTGATGTGTCACTGTCTCTATCAGGTCTGCTCTGTCAGCACTAACAGGGCTGCGATTTCATGGGCAGGGAGAGACCCAAAGCTCTATTCAAAGTCAACTGACCTGAAGTTCTGTTCTAAAATCCTCAGGGGGGGCCAATAAGAGCTCCACTGCAGGCATCTGGTTCAGGATGTGAAGTCAGGTTATGGGTGGGTTCAGTTACTTTTAAGTGGAGGGTGAAGATCACCTTGGTTCCTCTCTGGGAAAGGACCGGGACACCATCCTCAGATGGGTGGTACCTAAAGATCTTTCAGCAGCTACCTGCAACAGGCCCTCAGCATACTTTTACATGTGAAATCCTGAACATCTAAAGGAAAGCAAGGGGCCGGCCTGGTGGCACAGTGGTTAAGTGCACACGTTCTGCTTTGGTGGCCCAGGGTTCGCCAGTTCGGATCCCAGGTGCGGACATGGCACTGCTTGGCAAGCCAAGCTGTGGTAGGCATCCCATATAAAAAAAGTAGAGGAAGATGGGCACAGATGTTAGCTCAGGGCCAGTCTTCCTCAGCACATAGAAGAGGATTGGCAGATGTTAGCTCAGGGCTGATCTTCTTCAAAAAATAAATAGATAAATAAATAAATAATAAAGGAAAGAAGAGTTACAGGTACCAAAAGGGAGAAAAGCTGAGATTCAATCATACTTTTAGAACCTTCATTTTGAAACCACTATCTTTATAGTTAACGTTATACAATAAATGACATGAGAAAAATACAGTCCTCTTTCAGAAAAAGAAAAATTAGTTTTTTAGAAGCTGAGTTTCTGATGATGGCTCCCAAGAAAAATGTTTGTAATGAAGAAAATAGCTCCTCTGCAAATAAAGTTCAGTAAGAAATTCCTATTGATACATTTCATCATATTTCATGATCTATAATTAAGAAGTTTCAAACTCTGAATAAGACATACATTCACAAATCATCATCCTAACACATCCAAGCAGGCTGTGAACTGAGGTGTCATGAGCTGTGAACTAAAGATCTAAAGTTCTTGTTCTCCCAAAAGGGGCGTGAGTTCCTGGCTGGGTTTTGGGAACTCAAAGAAAAGCTTGCAGGCTTATTAGCAAGATTGTATCAATGCAATGCTTTTCCTAGCATTAGGGACTTCCTTTTCTTCTGTTAGTGTTTTTGGTTCATTTGCCAAGCTGCCGTCACTCCGGGTCTCTATACTCACTTGTAAACATCATTCTCAATGGGCAGCAGATCGTAACTCATAGCCTGAAAGGTCAGCTCGTGGAGTACAGGGGAACTGGGGTCGAAACCACGGTCCAGGATCAGCAGCTGGGAGCGCGCCTTGTCTGGGCCCTGGAAAGAAGGACACAGGGAAGCTTTCACAAGCCACCCATGCGGCCCCAGCTCCTCCAACTAGCCTGGCGACCCCTCTTGTACAAGGTGGCAGCAGGACGAGAACTGTGAGGTAAAGCCTGCCGAACCCGCGCTGGCCGCTAGTCCACTCGCTGGTTGAGGGGAGCACCAGCAAACACCACGCGAGGATCCACTGTGTCTGCTTCCTGAGGGTTCTTTAAGGCAGATCCAAAGCTGCACTGGGGTCCAACGTGGGCTTCTGAAGGAGGGCACCACCTAGGATCAGCCACAAATAGGGTGACCCACCACCCTGTCTGCCTGGGACCAAAGAGGTTCCCAGGACCCGGGACCTTCAGGTTGAAAGTCAGGATGGTGATGGAACAGTTGTGTCTTGACTACAGCGGGGGTCACATGGATCTATACACATGATAAAACTGCACAGAACTACACACACACACACACATACACACGAGCACATGTACAAACTACTGCAGTCTGAATAAGGTCTGGAAACTGTACCAGTGGCAGGAACAGTGGCACTCACACACACTCTGTGCGCAACAGAACCCAGCTGTCCCCAGGACGGCCACACAAACACTGGGGTCGCTTGACGAGTGAACCACGTGAACCACGTTCAGACTCACCTCCCCCATTGTTGGGTCATCGGCTTTGTAGGCGTCGAGCTTGTCCTGGATTAGCTGAGCCAGCAAAGCATTGTCCTTGTATTCCCTGACAAAGGAGGAGTGACACAGGGTGAACTGCCTGTACACCCAATCGATGGCACCGACTGCCCTCAGGGAGGAAGGCAGGACAGCCCGGGGAGGGTCAAGGGAGACATGAGTTTCATCTGTACTGCTCTTTTACAATGAGATTATATTCATATATTATAATTAAAAAGGACAAATAAAATACTTAGCGCCTGGAACATAAATGACTTTCTAGTCCCTTCTTTTTGCTAAGTGAAAACAGAGGTAGTCTTTCCAAGCAGCTTCAGACAAAGAGCCACATCTCAGCAGGGGCCTGGCCATCCATCCTTACCCCAGGATCAGGCTGTCCGAGCCTGACCCACCTGATTCTCACACCTCTCAATTCAAATTCCCTTGGGTCTAGTTTTGTTTTATTGGCAAGTGACATTTCTGCCCGCAGAGCCAGAAAGATGTAAGTGGGAACCTCTGGACCTTCTCCTTGGCCGACCCTGACAGCACTTCCTGGGGCTCCTCCCGAGGGTACACAGTGTGTGGCTGCAGCCTGCCATCTGGCCAGGCTCTGTGCTGAGGTGGCTCCATTCCCAGCCCATCCCTCCCAGGAACGAACTCCAGGTTCCCACCGCTCTGTCAGGAGACACGGGCTGGGCCCCCATTTCCTAACTTCCACCAGGCTTCCGGCAGTGGATGCCAACAATGGAGGGAGGTGTTTTTCTACGGCTACATCTTCCACCAGACGCTGAAGGAATAAGGACAGGAGGAGCAGCGATCCTTGGCACTTCAAGTTCAGGCCCTCAGCTCCTCTTGCAGCGGCCTCCCCCTTCTGGTTTCCCCTGGCCCGACTCCTGCTCACACTCCCATCTTCACACTCCCACAGCACTGCGTTCACTCCCCTGTGCAGGCCCCCACAGGTTTCCCCGGGATAACCCCGGCAGGACCTAATCCCACACCTGGCATTTGAGGCCTCCAGCAAGGGCTTCATCTCGCCCCACTGCCCCACACGTAGACTGTGCTGGACCACCAATCCTCCTCAGACTTGCTCTTTGTTTTCCCAGCTCCACGCCTTTGTCATCCCAATGGCAAGAGCCAACTGTCCACACAAAATGCCCTCTGCTCCTCATTGATCTATCCAAATCCTAACTGTCCTTCAAGACCTGGCTCAAATGTCCCCTGTAGTCTGAAGCCGTTCTTGATCCTCTCAGCTCAAAGGGCCCTCTCCTGACTCCGGAGGCCCCAGCCCTTGGCTTTTGCCTTCCTAAGGCACTGGCCTCACAGGGCCTATATCATAGGTGTGCATGTCTTATGCATACACGTTGGCATCTTAGCTACCCTCCCAGATCAGGGGCTTCCAAGGGCAGGGGCTGTGTCTTCAGGGTAGGCGCCCCACCCCCACCCCCGGCACTTAGCACACAGCAGGTAAGTGATAAGCGAATGACTTTGTAAAATCTGAGGAATGTGTCCTTTGGAGAATTATTCTCTTTGTATTTTATCTTACTCTGAAACATCTTCTGCAAAGACGACATTCGTTTTTAAAGGCTAGAAGGAGAAGAAAAACTGTAGGAAACCTGGGTTGCAGTTACATAGGGGTTCACATTTAGCTATTCAACAACTGCATATGTACATCTCCTGCCCTTTTCTGCATGTATTATTATATTTCACAATAAAATTCAGAACATAACAAGAGCGGCAGATGAATAATTATACAAGTGAGATGCTCAAATCTTGACTCTCTTGAGACAAGTGCCAGGGAACTTTGAGAAATTCCTCCCTCGGCAGACACAGGAGAAGCCACTGAAGGCAGACTGGTGGCCGCCTTACCCCCGATACCGCACAGCTGGGTACTCCTTCAGAGTGGCACACAGGGTTGCGATCTGCTCTGCCAGGCGCTCCAGTATCGGATTCTTCATCTGAGCCTTGTGGGGACTGTAGAAGCTTTGGAAAGAGTCAGCCGAGTCTAAGGAATATACCTGAGACAGGGGCAAAAAATATATAGATAGATATAGTGTTTGCATGCAGAACGGTGAACTACTGGGGTTTTCTCCAGTTCTCATCGTGAGTCTACAGAACGTGTTTTCATTCGTTCTACAAATATGTGCTGGCTGTCTGCTGTGTGCCAGGCGCTGTGCTGAACACTCGGGAACTCTAAGTGACCAAACACAACCATCTTCGAGGAGTGTGCAGTCTATTAGGGGAGGCAGATGATAAACGACAGACACTGTGAAAGTACATTTTACAGTCTGTGAGGAAGTGCTAAGTGTACGAGGGCATAACAGAGCAGGGACGAGAGCGCCCAGGGGCTGGGCAGGGAGGACACAAGGCCTCCTTGGGAAGGTGAAGCTGGAGCGAGGGCTTGCAGGAGGTGAGCGGTTTCTCACCAGCAGGCGCCTTCCACGGGGAGGGAACGGCTGGCGCCAGGGCCCGAGGCAGGCGCGTGCTGCTGTGTCTGGTGAACAATGAGGCCAGGAGGAGAGGAAGCACGGTCAGACCTCACAGGCCACTGTCAGTTTAAACAAACAGGGAGAAGCTAGAAATCGTGCTGTGACTGTGGGCAAATAAAGGGGCTTTCATGGATTTAATAATTTCCTATCCTCAGTATATGTTCTAAGCATTTTTCTTTTTTTTTTTAAAGATTTTACTTTTTTCCTTTTTCTCCCCAAAACCCCCCGGTACATAGTTGTATAGTCTTCGTTGTGGGTCCTTCTAGTTGTGGCATGTGGGATGCTGCCTCAGCATGGTGTGATGACCAGTGCCATGTCCGCGCCCAGGATTCAAACCAACAAAACACTGGGCCGCCTGCAGTGGAGCACAAGAACTTAACCACTTGGCAACACGGCCAGCCCTGAATTTTTCTTTTTTCTTGTTCTTTTTTTTGGGTAGGTTCTAGAAGTTTAAAATTTCCTCTTAAACTACCTAGTCTACTACTCATCAGAACTCTTTCAGAATCTTATTTATGTAAACTACCCTGATCCTCTAGAAAATGAGTTTTTGTAAGAAAAGTTTATTACTTTTTACTTATTTCATAGATTTAAAAAATCTATGAAATATAATATGGCTGAATACGCTTAAGTTGGCTGTTGTTCAATCCAGGTGGTGGCAGGGCTCACACAGAGGAAAAAACATTTCCTGCCCTCCAGCTGGGAACACGCTTTAGGTCAAGTGAGAAGGGAAAGAAAATGTCTTTAAATGTTCACACTGTACTTTTTCCATCCCTCATTACCTAAGAATAAGTCACTCTCTGGTGTCTAGAAGCTGATCTATAAAGACCCAATATGCCACAATCATTTTTTATCTCTACAAAATGCATAGCAGTCCTGTTATTTTTGTTTCTTTGTTTGCTAGGAGAAGACATTTTAACAAACCTTAAAATATTAAGAAATGAACTCCGTCTACTCTCTCACAATCAGCTTCACCTTTACTGGGTTGACAACTTTGTTTTTTTCCAAGGAGAGAGGTTTGCTGCACCGCATCTGGCATTTGAAGCGTTAACTGCTAATGACGAAGGCCACCATCTGTTCTGTCAGCACATGACAAGCTGAGGTTATTTCTACATAAAAACAGCCTCCTTTGCAGCAGATGGTGTTGTCTGATCCCTGCCCCTCTTCTCCTTCTGTGCTTTTTGGATTGGCTACTTTTTGGTTATTCAAGGAGTCAGCCAATAGAAGTGAACACTGTGAGCAAGGCTGAAATGCATCCAAGAAAGGCACAATGGCTGAAAAGAAGTCAGAAATAACTGGAGAGTAAGACGAGGGCTTGGGGCAGACCCCTAAGGAATATTGTTTCTTTCTGCCAGGTTAACATCCACTTACACCATGTCATCCAGCAATTCAGAATATGCTCTCTTCCCTCCCCCACTCTCTTTATTGCACCCCTGCCCCACCCTCTCAGAATCTGTCAGACTTCCTGCTAGAATAGCCAGGATGCAGATTTCCTATGCACTCCCCACTCGGCCTCACCTGGGATTCATATGGGAGAAACGCAATGTTGATTTCCGTCAGAGTTTTGATGACTTTGGCTGCTCGTGATTTCACCAGCTCATTAAACAGGGCATCTGGACAAGCTGCAAGAAGGACAAAGACAGTAGGTTTTCCTGTCCATTTGCTGGTTCTGGTGGATTCTTTATTTTACGAGGATTTTAAAAAGGCAACTAGAAAGTTCATCCCAGCCCAAACTATCCATTACCTCGAGGGTGAAAAAGGAATATAAAACCACCTCCCAGACCCTCAACATATAACAAAGAAACAAATGGCAATAAAGACTGAGATATTGAGAGCTAATAAAAACCATTTTCTGATATCAAGGAAATGAAGAAAAAGAAAAAGATTAAGAAGGGATGAGGCAAAGGCCTATAACATAAACAAACACCAAACATCTAACATGCTTACGAAAAATAAAGAAAAATAAAATCATTAGGAAATGCAATGCAGGCATTTCCCCTGGACCCTCTGAGGAACTCAGCTGCAGAGACCCCCTTGGGGGGGACCATGATTTCTAATGACTCTCCTGGGCTGAACAAATGGCTTCAGGTTCCCAGAAATGCGTTATTGATTTATTGTTACTAACGCTATCTACCTGTTCTGTCACCCATATTCAAATAGTACAAAATTATTCTTTGCAAGTACCTTTCCACATTTTCTCAGTGGGGAGTTTTGTGGGGTTTTCCCTAGAGGGAACACAGACAACTTGTTATTGGGTACATTCTTTAGCCATCTAGCTCTGCTCATCTCTCTTCACTATTAACAAAGATGGACAAAGATGCTTCTGCACTAGGCTCCATGCACAAAACCCCCACAAAATAAGAAAATGGATTCCAAGCCAATGATGCAGGTCTCTCTGATAAAAAGACCACTGGAGTGGAATATCTTTGTAGTTGAAAAACTGGTGGAAATACACAACAGTTCAGTGATATCTGGAAGTCTATGCAGTGAAAACACCACGGCTAGCATCAGAAAATGTTTCTCAGCATTAAACCCTTTAGTCTTTAAGAGAAGAGCCATTTGTCATCAGGAAGGACTGCATGACTTGGTAAGTTTCTATCTGTGTGCATTTATTTCTGTCTCTTATGCAATTTATCTTCTGAAGAGAAAACGAAAGATCACAACAAATATGGGGACAACCCGTTTCTTCCCGGTGAGCAGAAACGCTAGCCCGGACAGGCAGGGGTGGCGCTGACAGTACTTACAGTCGGTGAAGAAGACGTGGGCAGCCCGGTACTTAGCAGTCGGTGGGTCTTTAAAGTCACTGATGAGAGAGTGGACAGACTGCGGAGAGGGAAAAAGGGAGCTGAAGCCAACTCTAGAAGCAAAGGGGACCTGCATCTGAACTGAGTCACATCCACGCTGGCTTCCAGCTGCCTGCACAAAATAGCAGGGGATTTCGGATGCGTAATTCTAACTCATATTCAGCCATAACTGAGTTCTGAGGACTTAAAATTAGGATTATTTCAGAGTTTAGATGAACAAAAGACTTCTTAGCTCACTGCAGAATGAGTGTCAGTTCTTTGGAGCCACCATAACTTGGGTTCCTAAGAAGAGACCCACAAAATTGGAAACTCGTCATAAACCTTCCAGCAGATTCACACTGATGAAGTTCCGGGAATTTAGTTGCATCTGCAGAAACTCACATACAAGCCAGTTTTCAAAAGTGAAAAGAAACCCTGAAAACTGGAGGGAATTTATGTAGACGAAGAGACCTAAGACAACTATCAACCAAAAGCAAGCAGACGGACCTTGTTTGGATGCTGATTTGAACTAACCTCCAAAAACGATAAGACAGGTAAATTTGAATACTAACTGGATATTGATGAAATAGATCTGAAAGAATAAAATACCAAAGTTCTCAAGGTGGATCACTAGATAAAGAGGATCTCCTACCTAGAGAGGGAGTGCCAGGGGAAAACTAGAATGACTGGGAGCTGGCTTTTTAGATAGCACTTGTATTCAGAAAGCTTAACGCACTCAGCACTCCTCCTGGGCCCCTCCCTTCCGGTTTGTGGATTGCACACTTAAACAGAGCAGTGTGTTAAATGCGTGCTTAACCTAGAAAAGGCAGACACTGTGCCGCGCAGACACAAGCCAGCACGTGTAGCCCCAGCCAAAGCTCTTCCAGGGGGAGGATTTACCTTCTCAGACGGAGTGATGAGATACACAGCCTCCAGGCTGGGGAGAGGTTCCCTGCGCTTGTTGATGTCTTCCACAACTAGACAACAAGACAGCAGCCCACAGTGAATAAGAAAGATAACTGGTGATCGTAATACTAGAAGCAATGTAGCAGGGCCCCTTCAGACGGGTGCAGATACATATCTACAGTGGGGGGAGGAAAAGAATCATCCACGCCATCCTTCGAATTCCACCTCTCACAATGCTCAAGATGTTAGAAAACCGGAAACCTTATCACATTAAATATTTCCCACTTCCCATTTCAGTTTTAGGAAATTCCTGATCTGTTCTGATTGAAAACGGAAAATGCCACCTTGTTCTGTCAAGAGCAGTCTTTGGCCTCTTCCTTCAGTTTTTCCTCATCTGTCCTAAATAATCCCAGTTCCTTTAGAATTTCCATGTTGGGTTTATTTACCAACAATTAGATAGTTTTATCATTTTCTTCTGTCTATCAAATGAGGACATTCCAGACATACCCTCTATATAATACTGTCCCTCTCAGTACTTCAAAGACTAAACGTCAAGTTTCGTTGAAGCAAACCATGGGTGTTTGCTTTGCTTGTTTCTTTTACGTCAGCGCCTTCAACCTGGAAGGAAGAGCTCTGGGGAGTCGTCATCTTACTAGTGGCCCGATAAAGCTTAAGAGGCGTTAGCCCTGCTGCACTGTCCTCAGGGAGAGGGACAGCAGTACAATCGTATGATGCTGTTCTTCCTATGCAGGTGAGTTAAGCACATACAAGCATCACTTTAGAAGCATCCATTGCAACATTTATAAAGACTTTTCACCCCAAATAATGTTTAAATTAATACCAAAATTCCTCAACCATCTACTTTACCAGCGGTTGTAGAGTTTTGAATGTCATAGCCCAGTAATACTTCCCCCCAAAATATTTGGGGGTTCGACATAGGCTTGCTAATTTTAAAATTTTTCCAAGTAAGGACATTGTTTTAAACCCACCTTTGGGGTAGGGAAGAGTCTGTGTGCAACAGGGAGAGCTGAGCCCTCATCCACCACAGGAAGTCAACAGATAACGTCTGACATCGACGAATCAGGATAGCAATATAAGCATTCATTGAGAAATATCGAAAAGACAACCAGAAGAAAGAGCAGAGCGGCTGCCTCTGGGGCTCGGACCTGGGGACGTGGGAGAAGGAGCAGGCCAGCGGGCCGCTGCTGGTCTGTTAGAAGCTCCATTTGGCTTTTTCTCCCCTTAACTTTTGTGCACTTTTTGCTTTGATGGGGGGGAAAAGTGTTAAAAATTCAACGAAGAAAATAACTTTGTAAGCTAAAAACATGGCAAGTCTGGTCTTGGGTTACTTAATGGTAAAAAGTCACACCAAAAATTATGAACTCCCATTTATAGGACTATGCTTCTGGTGATAGATAAACTAGATTTGGAAACGCGTTTTTGAAAATGAAGGGATCACAACCAAGGTGTGACTGTATCCCCTCCAAACGATTTCACATATATGTTTCACATAGAACTTGATCAACAAGAAAATCCACATTATCACCATAATTTTACAATTTAAAAACATTTTAACACCAATTAATAGGAAAGAGATAATCTTAGAATAAAAGACAAACCTTTAAATTAAGTTCATTTAGCTTACTGAAAACCTCCACACGCCTCGATTTCCATAACTGTGGTATGGTAATAATTTTGACAAACACCAGCAACTATCTGGGAGCCACGTATCCTATGAAGTTGTCTCCAGGGGAAAAAAATTGGGAGCTGCATTGTAACAGGTATGTTTCATCCAACATTTTTTTTGGAGGATAAACAAAAGTTAACTTCCAGGGCCGGACCTGTGGACAAGTGGTTAAGTTCACGTGCTCTGTTTCGGCGGCCCAGGGTTTCACCGGTTCGGATCCTGGGCACGGACCTAGCACCGCTCATCAACCTATGCTGAGGAGACATCCCACATGCCACAACTAGAAGGAGCCACAACTAAAATATACAACTATGTACTGAGGGGCTTCGGGGAGAAGAAGGAAAAATAAAAAAATTAAAAGGCTAACTTTCTTTTTGAAATAATACCTCAAAAGAGATTGCTTTTCTTTCTTTCTGCTGAGGAAGACTTGCCCTGCGCTAACATCTGTGCCAATCTTCCTCTATTTTGTGTGTGGGTTGCCACCACAGCACAGCCACTGAGAAGTGGTGTAGGTCTGCGCCTGGGAATTGAACCTGGGCTGCCGACATGGAGCGCACCAAACTTAACCACTAGGCCATGGGGCCGGCCCCAAGATTGCTTTTCAGTCAATGCTGTTTCAAAGACTAAAATACATGATCCCTCTCAAAAGGAGCCCCTAAGGAAGACTAGAGCTGCACACGAGCATGAATAAGAGCTCTGGGACAGAAGCCAGGAGGTCTGAGTCCTCATCTCAGCTGTGACACTGGCTAGTGACCTTAAGCAGGTGATTTAACTTTTTACAAAAACCTATTATTGTGAAACTATCATACACATTCCAAAGAGTGACTAAAAGATAAACACACAAATAAGTATAAAGCAAATGTCTGCAAAAGCGCCACCCCAGTTAGGAAACAGAACCCACCAGCACTGTAGTAGTGTCCCCCTACTCTATTCCCCTCCCTCATCACAATTTCCTCCCTTCCCTCCAAAGAGAACCACCATCTCGACTTGAATGGTGATCACTTCTCCTTATGGTTTTACCGCTTATGTCTGCATTTTAAAAAGCATAGCTTAGTTCTGCCTGGTTCTGAACTTTATATAAATTAAAGCACACTGTAAGTACTCTTTTGTATCTCACTTCTTTCGTTCAACATTATGTTTATCAGATTCACTCATGTTACTGTGAGTAGCCAGAGTTCATTCATTTTTGTTGCTGTATAGTATTCTGCTCTGTGATTATACCACAATTCATTTAACCATTCTACCCTTGTGTGTGTGTGTGTGAGGAAGATCGGCCCCGAGCTAACATCTGTTGCCAATCTTCTTCTTCTTTTTTTTTTAAAGATTTTATTTTTTTCGTTTTTCTCCCCAAAGCCCCCCAGTACATAGTTGTATATTCTTAGCTGTGGGTCCTTCTAGATGCGGCATGTGGGATGCTGCCTCAGCGTGGTTTGATGAGCAGTGCCATATCCGCGCCCAGGATTCGAATCGACGAAACACTGGGCCACCTGCAGCGGAGCGCGCGAACTTAACCACTCAGCCACGGGGCCAGCTCCATCAATCTTCTTCTTTTTGCTTGAGGAAGATGGTCCCTGAGTTAACATCTGTGCCAATCTTCCACTACTGTGTATATGGGAATCGGCCAAAGCATGGCTTGATGAGCAGTGTATAGGTCCCTGCCGGGGATCTGAACCTATGAACCCTGGGCCACTGAAGTGGAGTGCGTGAAATTAACCACTACACCACGGGGCCGGCCCTCACCATTCTACTCTTGATGGACATTTTGGTCATTTCCAATCTGGAGCTACAAGGAACAATGCCCTGCGAACATTCCTGCACATGCATCCTGGGCACACACATCTGAGGCTGTCTAGGACACACACCGAACCATAGACTTGCTGGCTCACAGGACCTTCAACTCTGCTAGACACTCCCAAGTGTTTTTCAAAGTAGCTGTACCAACTGACACTCCATCATATAGGAGTTTCCATTTTCTACATGTTCTCTGTTATCCGGCATTGTCAGAGTTTAAATACTCCAATGTGTGTGGGTATAGCAGTGTCTCACTCTGGTTTGTTTTTTTTTTTAAAGATTTTATTTTTCCTTTTTCTCCCCAAAGCCACCTGGTACATAGTTGCATATTTCTTTTTTAGTTGTGGGTCCTTCTAGCTGTGGCATGTGGGACACTGCCTCAGCATGGCTTGATGAGCGGTGCCATGTCTGTGCCGAGGATCTGAACCGGTGAAACCCTGGGCTACTAAAGTGGAGCACATGAACTTAACCACTCAGCCATGGGGCCAGCCCTCAGTCTGGTTTTAATTGCATTTCCCTGATCACTACTGAGGGTGGACAATTTTTCATTTATTTGTTGGCCATTTGGATTTCTTCCTTTGTTAAGTGCCTGTTCAGGTCTTTTGCCCATTTTTTCTCTTGGGCAGCCTGCCTTTTTTTCTTGATTTAACCTTCCTTTGGTATCCTTTAACAGATATTTAATGAGCATCCAGCACTGGATTAGGTGCTAGGCATTCAGTGACGAACAAGAAGCCTTGGGTCTCTCTCAGGAACTTACAGTCTAAGCACCCAGGTTGTTGGAAGAATCTAAAGTCAAGCAAGATAATAATGAATAGGGAGGAGGAAAGCTCGCCCCCAAGAGAAGGCTTGAGTGTTACTCAAGGGCAGAGAGAATGCTGTGCTCACTTGTTATCCCCTCGGTCATGATGTCCGTCATCTTACAGCAGGAGGAGAGCATCCTCATGCTCAGCTGATCGACCACCAGCACCTGGAAGCAGAGAACAGCTTATGGACTGGATGGCATCTGCTACGATCCTCTCGTCAGCTTGCTGCATCAGACTTCGAAAAGAACCGCAGAAATGCAGAATATTGAGTTACCGATATTTCCTATGGGTCAGAGGTTTGCTGAAATACATGCTAACTTTTATCTCCCACATCAAACCTAAGCTTCTAGGACTTAGAGCTTGTTCTCATTGACTTAATCTTATAAACTTAAAAAAATTGTTTTAATTTTCTATGATAAATACTCATAAAATGCAAAAACAAAAAAGAAAAGAAAAAAATCATCTACAGCACCCACACTCAGAGAAACCCATATTGGAGAGTATTTTTTCAGGGTATAACTTTTTTCTTAAAAGGAAAATGAACACTAGTGCCACACACATGGTATGGAAGTTGAGCGCTTGGCTGCAGATGTCGCTAGAAGGTACCAGCATGTGTTGTAGCCGACCTCTGTCCAGACTGGAATAACAAGAACTCGCCAGGCCTGGTCTAAAAGCCTCACACCTGAGGTTCCTTCAGGGAACCTTTCGTATCTCTGTTCAGCCCTCGGTGGAGGGAGGAAGCTGGCAGCTAAAACAAGGCTACGTATTTCTCTTCTTCTTTAACGATATCAACCGAGGAAACAGGAGCTAGACACAATGTGGACCAGAAAGCTTTCTACTGCAGTATGAGGGACAATTAGCTGTCATTTTATGAGGCAGCTTCCTCCAGATCAGTTTAAAATTCACATGTCCACAGTCCATTACCTGCTGGGACAGGTAAGAGAGAGAGGCTCTCAGAAAGACTTCCCATCAGATGGCCTCCCGCCCTGGGTGGTGAGGATGGACATACTGGCTAAAACAGAATCTCTCAAGGCCAGAGGTGAGCCTTCCAAATGCTCCTGTACCAATGAGCTCTGTGGTTCCCACGCCCAATGAACTTGAAAACGTGTGGGCAACGAATGGTTAGTATAAACCCTTCAACAACCCCCAGAGAAGTTCAAGTAAAACTGCCTGCTCTCCTGGCCAGTACAATGCCCAGCCCCAGAGAACCAAGTGACCCCTAAAACGCTGACTTCCTGAATGGGGGATAGCATGCTTTCCCACCTGCATCACCCGCTAGAGGAACCAAGACCATAACCAATTTGATTGGCTCAAATACTTGTTCCAGCATTGCTCTCAATGTTTATGAATAAACAAGGTCACTTCTTCATCTTAGGTAGTTACAGACAGATGGGGACAGACCAGATGAGGGCTTTTCAAACTGCTGTGTGGGCTCCATGGTGACGCTTTAAGGCCACCAAAGGGACAAGAAGGGTCTCCTCTTTCTCTGCCATAGCAAACAGAATAATTTCACCTTCTTCTGCTTTATATAATGGGTTCCAGGTATGATTTTGTTTGCATAAAGGAAGTTCACTGCCAAAATGCCCCACCAGCTGATCTTGAAGATAAGCTATATGACCAAGAGAGTTCTTAACCAGGATCATAGCAGATTCTATTTCTTGTACTCTGGACACAGAACAGTCCTCATTCCCTGTCTACACACCTTTCCCCAACTCTACCCCCGTTCTTATTTCTTCCACAAGGACTCGCCTCTGAGGCCATGAACTGTACTCTTCCACTTACCTTCCACTCTCCCTTCTTCTTTACCTTCTTTATCACATCATGCATGATCTCTAAAACAGGAGAGAGAGGGGAAGCAAGGAGGGGGAGAGAAGAAGGAAGATTCAATGCAACGTCAGGAGCTTCCAACAGCTGCATGTTAGACTAGGTCATTCCCCCCCATGCCCCACCCCCCACCCCGACCCAGGCTTTGTTCTCTTTCTTATGCAATTCAACTCATCTGTTTACTGAGCCATGAGGAATCCACCAGAAAGAGTTCTCTTATTTCCTTAATTTGGTAGTTCTCAAAATTTTGGTCTCAGGACTCCTTTATACCCTTAAAAATTGAGGACCCCCAAAGAGTGTTTGTTTATGTGTAATAGAAATTAAACTGAGAAAATTTTAAAGTATTTATTAATTCATTTAAAATAACAAGAAACCCAATATATGTTAACATAAATAGCATTTTAATGAGACATAACTATATTTCCACAAGAAAAGAATTTTTAGTGAGAATATTGACTTTTTTAATATAATTTTTGCAATCCTCTTTAATGTCTGGCTTCATGGAAGACTGATTCTCCTATCTGCTTCTGCTTCTGTTGTGAATGATATAGCACCTGAAAAACTCAATCGTGCATTTAGGAGAGAATAAGAATGAAAAAGGCAAATAACATCTTAGTCTTATGAAGATGGTTTTGACCTCAGGGACTCCCAAAAAGGTCTCGGGTTTGAGAACCACTGCCTTAAGTGAAGTGAGTAAAGGGCTGTGACAACACCTCAGGCCACATGCCCCCCTAGAGCTCCAAAAACAGATGTGAAGAGCACTTGTGATGTCTTTCCAACCCTGAGGACTGTCTGTGGGATGCTCTCCTCCAAAAAATCACCATTTTGGTAAGCCCCAGTTTCTATAACGCCTTCTACAAACAAGTCTACCCAGACGGGGAGGTTTCACAGGAAATACCACTTTTGCCACTCTTTCTAAATCCAGGTAATATACAGGCCTGGAAGGACTCAAAGGCTAATGGGTGTCCTTAGCAAGTGTGTTTCAAACATTCAGGTCATTCTCTAGAGCACAACAGTTCCTAATTCTGCTTCTATATTCAATAATCTGATGTGTCATAAAAGTGTTCTAAAATTCTCAAGAACATTTTACCGGATTATAAAAAAAAAACCACATACTCACTGCAGTAAACTTGAAAAACACAGAAAAGCATAAGGAAGAAAATACCATGTATTACTTGTGTACATCAAAAAAGCAAAAAGAAAAATCATCCGTAATCCTGCCAACTTGAAATGCATAATTAACAGTTTATTTCCTACTAGCAATCGCAGCTTCTCATAAATGCTCTGAGGTAAATAAATATAGGCAATGACGCAAAAAAAACAGGTGTGGACAGCTATCTTTAAGAGGGAGTCAGACAAGGCCTCTCTGAGGAAGTGGACCTGACGAGGAAGACACCAGCCGTTCAAAGGCTGGGAAAGGAGAAGGAGCAGGCACAAAGGTTTGAGGTGGAAGAAGGAAGAAGAGCTGGACATTGTCTCGGAACTGAAGATGGTACAAGCTGAGGTTGGAGGTCAGACATATGGGGCCTTGATAGGAGTGTGATTTTATCTGAAGGGCACTGGAAAGCCAGCGAAGGTAGGGATGTAATCTGACACGCTGGAGAGGCGCAGCTGGAGAAGCGAAGAACAGAAGCAGGGGGTAGAGCAAAGAAGAGGCCTTTCCGATCGTCCAGCCATGGCTGGTGGCAGTGGAGGTGGCGATAAGCAGATGGGTTTGATACAGATTTTGGAGGTCAAACCAACCAGGGCCAGCTGCTGAATTGGATGTGGGGGACAAGAAAAGAAATCTAAGCCTAGGTTTTTCGCTTCAACAAAGAAATTGATGTAGAGACATTTAGAGAGACAGAAAAGATTTAGAGGAAGGAGCACTGCTGTCTAAGATGACACCAAGAGTTCTGTTTTGCTTATTTTAACATCGCGATGGCGAAGAGACATCTGAGGGGAGATGTCGAGTAGGTAGCTGGAGGTAACTCTGGAGCCTGGAAAAGTGACCTGAGCTGGAGTTAAAAATTTGGGAATTATTATCAAACAGAGGTAGGAGGTGTGGTTGGAGAAAATCTCTAACTCTGACAGGACCAGTAAGATGAAGACAGAAACAGTCTTTGTTGACCTTGACAAGCATCTCTGTGAAACAACAAGGATGAAGCCAGACTAAAATGGGTGATGAGGGAGAGACTGACTCTCCAAACAACTCTTTCAAGAAGTGCTATGAAAGGTAGCAGAGAAAAAGTATGAAAGCTAAACAGGGTCGGCAGAGATGCGAAAACAAGGAAGGTGTTTTTATTTAAGAGGTGAGACATCATGCCGGAGCCCAGCTCCAGCAGAGTCCAGGTTTCCTGAGGGATGGACGGCGTCGGAGAATGAGAGGCAGTGAGACTGGAAGTGAGGTTTCCAAGTCTGATTTATTTAAAGCATTCAAGCACTTATATAGGGTCCAGGTCACGCGTTTATGATTTCATGGAATTGTCCCAGTACATAATTTTGGCAAACAAAATGGGTACATAAGCATATCTTGTTATAATGTTAGCACAGTACGTCTATGAGAAGCAAGCAACCTTTGTTAATTACAGATATTGACCTTTTCTATATGTCTACTAGGCATCTAGATGTCTAAGACTGATTGCAAAACGGGGTGTAACGTCTAGACTCAGTTCCCCATGGGTCGAATGGCCCTAAGCCTCTATCTTTATTCCTGTAATAACAAAAGCAGAAGTATTGCAAAGTGTAAGGGGACCAAGTACACACAGGCCCTCATCTCCGTCTGAGCGAAAGCCATACAGGCACAGTGCTTGGGGTTTCTCTTTTACCATTAACTATTTTATAGGGTTTCCAGTCCTCATCATAATCCCAGTTCCTCTGTGTCAATATATCATGATATTTTTCTGCAACTTTATCAGGGTTATGGGTTGTTTTAGGAGAGTGTACCTTTTGTATATCTTTGCTCCTGGGTGGGTGCCACCATTTACCTCCTGTCCTAACAGGCCTAGGATAATCTCTACCTCCTAGAAGGACCTGAGGAGGGAATGTTCTCTTTTGAGGCTGATTCCTAGAAGGCTTCCTCCTTGAGGGCTGTCCAAATTCCCTTACCGCCTCTCCAGGAGGGGGTCAGAACTGTTTTTTCCCTTCAGGCTGTTGTTCCCTGAACCCTCCCTAGAAGGCCAGGTTACATCAACTTTTTTCCCCTGCTTGGAGAGATTTTCCCCAAAATATCCCCATGTACAGAAAAGAACAGCAAGAGCAATATTGCTAAGATAGTAGCATGAGCAGGATCAGGAGCGGCCGACCGCCAGCTTCTGAGGGTCCCCCGTGCCTTGCCTCATCTCTCTCCCGGACCGTGTCCTTGGGTAGAGGCTTAGAGGACTGGTGGGCGGCTCCCGGCAACACCACAGCATTTTCTATCATACTGACAATAAGCCAAAAGAGAGGGAGGTTGATGATGCAGGAGAGAGGATGGATAATCCAAAGACTGAGGCCCCAGAGGAGGAAGAAGTGGTGGGATCTGAGACACAAGCGAGCGTGGCCTGGGATCGGAGGCAGGCTCCACAGCACTGGCAGTGGGAAGGAGGCAGGAGGTGACTGGTGTGCTCCAAGAGCAGTTGGCAGAGGCCAGGGGTGTCTATTGACTAAGAGTGGGGAGAGTGGTATTGTATAAGAGAGGTTTGAAGAAAGAAGGTATTGGGTATCTTCCCAAAGACTGGGGGAGTGACTTCATTACGGAGATGTTTCAGCATTTCTGGACAGTACTAAGGACTAATTTGAGGTTCATAACCATGAATTTAAGGTGAAACCAGGCAGCTCAATTGTGTGGGATTTTTTTTTTTTTTTCTAACAACGTTCAGCTGCCCAGGAGCAAGCCAGAAAGGAAAGAAGAGTTGGTTTCAACTAAGGTTAGAGTTTCCCCAGCTGAGTACAACAGACGGAGAAAATGTTCAAAATAGATAGCTGAGGGAAGAAAGGCATGCTGCAACTATTTTTTCAAAAGCACATACATAGAGGAAAAATTAGAAAAACTTATACCAAAATGCTCTTTTTCTGCAGTAAAATTGTGATTAATCTTTAATTGCTAAGTTCCTATGTCCTCCTAAGCTTTCTGCATTGAGTAGATATTATTTATTGTAATAAGAAAAATGCTCTAAAACTAATGTATCCGTGAACATTTTTGCACCCAAGGCTTGTCTTTGCACAAATTATTCTGTCAGGAGAGTTTTCCGGGTATGGAATAAGTGGATAAAGAGTATAAATGTTCTGGGCTCTTGATAAATTCTGCCAAATTATTCTCTGAAAGCACAATTTACACCCCCACTAGTACTCTGCACAACTCTCCAAATTAACATACTAACTGATAATAAAAAAAATGAGGCTTATTTTAATCTTTGCTAATGTGACAGTGGAAAATGGTATATATCACTGTCTTTATTTGAATTTATTGTATTACTGATGAATATTTTCCTTTTTTTTTTCCAACTACACAAAATGAATTTAAATTCACTGACTTTAAATTCAAGTCACCTTTTGCTAGGGGACGGCAGACATATAATCCGAAAATCAAAACAAGTACCTTGAGTTCTAAAGGTGGAATAACTGTGGCAGCTTCAACCCTTCCTACCTCGTTATTCCTGTTTTGAAATTCTCGGGGTGTCTATTTATTGTGGGCATTGTTAACAGCCACTTCTAATCCTGCCCTACATTCTTCTAATCCAATACCGAAAAGGAAACAAGGATTAGAGCCCATTTTAGCATTAAGAATCAAGTGGCTTGGGCTGCTTCCTCAGAGTAATCACATTTCATCTTCCTGGTAAGTCCCCTTTGTGTGGAGAGAAACAATAAAGCCTTCTGAGGCTGGTCCAGCTAGCAGGTCTGATTTATCTACAACGAAAACCTCCACTCCACCACCACCTGCTCTGTGTGGATGGGGCAGAAGAGACAAGGGAGCCTCAATTTCTCATAATCATGAGGACCACGGCCCTGGTGGACTCTGCTTCTCTCAAGGCCAAACGGCTAAGAAAGTAGGTTCCTCTTCAACCACATCTTCCAGGTCCTGGGTGACTCCCAAACTCAACAAATCCCGCCCCTCCCCCCCCCCCATTCCTGAGAAAAACAGTAGGTGGTCTAAGATTATCTGGGATGTCTTCAGATGCACCCAATATACCAACTGGAGTCCCAAAGCACAGGCTCTTGGGATAGCTACAACCCTGCCCCTTGTGAAGCCCTACCACCCATGACTGCCCTCTGCAGTGACATGGGTCAGGACACCCGAGGCCAGGGCACACAAAAACAGCTGAGATAGCATGATTAACATTAGGTGGGCTGTAAGCTTGGGAGAAAGTGAGCTTTGCCAAAGTCCCCAAAACCACATGGGAGTCAAATATTCTATACGTGGCAGCCTCAGAGCTCCACCTTGCCCGGAACAGATGCACCAGGAGTCTGGGGTCCCCGACTGGAAGAAGTGCCTCCATTCTGCCGAGGGACTTAAGGGATTCTAAATCAGGCCACACTGCCCTCCTCCTTTACCAACCCAAAGTACAGGGCAATTCCAGTTATTTGGACTCAACAGGGGCAGTTCTTCTAAAAGGCCCCCAACAGTGTGAGGGTATAATGCTGGTTACTCAGGCAGGGGTCACCCCCACCCCTCATGATTAAGAAAAAATGCCAAAGAAAGCACTAAAGTTAGACCAGGGAAAATCCAGGTTCAGACATTTGCTGGCTGTGCGATCTTGGGCAAGTTTAAAACGTTTTAAGTTCAGTTTTCACGTCTGCAAATTTAAAATCATAATATTCTAATGACCTCTTGTGAAGATTAGTGAGATAAAATGCCTGGTTTAGTGCATGGCATCCATGAGGCAGTCAACAAAAGGCACCTATTATGATGTCACTATAAAAAACAAGGAAACAAGAAAATTATCACACAGTACTTCCACCAATCAAGATTTTTAATATAATGTAAAACCCCTAGTAAAAGGAAATACAGGGGCCGGCCTGGTAGCACAGAGATTAAGTGCACACGTTTCGCTTCGACGGCCCGGAATTCACCGGTCCAGATCCCAGGTGTGGACATGGCACCGCTTGGCAAGCCATGCTGTGGTAGGCGTCCCACATATAAAGTAGAGGAAGATGGGCACGCATGTTAGCTCAGGCCCAGTCTTCCTCAGCCAAAAGAGGAGGATTGGCAGTAGTTAGCTCAGGGCTAATCTTCCTCAAAAAAAAAAAAAAATTAAAATACACTTTTTAAATAATGACAAAAATATTTAGATAGCAAACTCTACGGGTATTTCACCAAAAACTTTAAAACTTCTCTGACCCACAATAAACATGTGAATACACTTTCGAATAATGGCACCAATGCGCCAATGTATATAAGTCTTAACTGTAAATATAAAATTGAACAGAAGAATCGTCATGCCCTGCTGAGGAGACAGAGCGTGCCCTCTCCTGATCCAGGAAGAGATGCACGAATGCTGAAGCACAAGGAGGAGCCCACAGATTTACTATCACAACATAGGCAAACTGGACTATATTTTTAATTTGCTATTATTTAACATTGTTCTAAAAATTCATTTAGACAAGAAAACAAAATGAAGTATAATATTGGTAAGAAAGATGTAGACTGCCTGCCTGCAGAACTCACGGGAATTAACTGAGAAATGATTAGAAACATTAAAACATTTAGTAAAGTGGCAGATAAAAAATAAATACATAAAAACCAAAATGACTTTGGCATGGTAACAATGTCTAGGAAGACAGCTCCACTGTTTACCAGCGTAGACATGCTGGGACTCTGCCCCGTCCATTCTGCCTGCTGCTGGTAATTCTGCTCTGAAGCAACACGGAGAATTCTGTTCCTCTTTCCCTAACAGCACTTCAGACAGCTGAAGACGGCAACCAAGTCTTTTCGACCGTCTTGCTCTGAACTGAAGCTTCTCCTTGCTAAACAAATGCATCTTCCCAGACGGAATAAGTTAATGCTAAACAAGACAGGAGGAAATGATTCAAATACTTGAAAGCAAGCCTTCCAAGCACTCTCCAGAGCCTTCCCTGAGAAATATCTGTTTATACGTAAACTACTGGTAACCTAACTACAAACCACTTTAATTTTTTGCCTTTACGTTGTTTTTAATAATATTAGAAGTAGCACATTCTTGTTGAAAAATTCAAACAGTAGAGAGATATACAAATACAAAGGGAGATTTCCCTCCTTACCCTCCATTCTTGAGGGGAAATCACCACCACCAGTGTGTGGGCACTCTTACAGATCCTTTTCTGTGCACACGCAGATGTGTGTGGGGATGTATGCACATACACTCGTGGCTCATTGGCTGACGCCTGGGGAGGGAAAGTAACTTTCAATGATTCTACATCTTTGGTGCTTAAGAACTCTTATATTGGAAAGAACATTAGAGATCATCTAAGGCTAGAGTCCAGCTTCCTTGTTTTGGGATTAAGACACTTCCTGCAAAACACAGCCATCTGGAGTTGGCGAGGCCGCTAACTGGTCGGTCCAGAGTGAACAGAGATGGGTCTCTGGATCCCTGCCCACATGCTCTCCCCACCACACACACTGTCTCTCAGGCACTAGCATGGACTCGACTCTGAATTGAACCGAAGAGTCCTTTTCTCTGTTACATCGCAGTGATCACCTGGACACAGTAACACCAAGTGATTCAGATGGCTTTTGGAGCCAGAGGGTTAGGGTTCAAATCCTGCTCCTCTACTTACTAGCTGTGACTTTGGGCAAGTTACTAAATCTCGCTGTGTCACAGTTTCCCTATCTGTAAAACGAGAATGACCACACGTGCCTCATGGAGTGATTGCGAGGACTAAATGAATTAATATATGTGGAGCGCTTACTTCAGTGCTAAGAATGGTACTTAACACTGTTGGCTATCACCATCACCACCACCATCTACTTTCAATGGCATTTGACTTTCCTAATAAGGAAGAATCCAATGATTTCCAATTGGTTTCTTATCGCTCCTCCGTGGAGTTTACGATATGTCTCCTGCTTTCCAGTTTGTTTCTCTGCATACAAACTTTTTCATCCACTCAGCAATGATGATTTATTGAACACATGCTATGTGCCAGACATCCCTCCAGGCACTGGAAAGACCACGATGAACAAGCTAAATAAGACTCTTGCTCCTAAGGTGCTTACACCTGATGTGGAAGGGAGACAGCCAAGAAAGGAAGGAAATAAACAAGATCATTCTAGGGAGTAAGAGCTCAAAGGAAATTTACAAAGGTTAATGAGCTGGAGTGTGATGGGAGTTTGGGAGATGGTCCCCTGAGGAGCTGGTGAGGAGGAACCAACCCTGTGAAGATTGGGGGGGTCGGGGGGAGTTTTCCAGGCATAGCAAGAGCAGGTGCAAAGTCCCCAAGTCAGAATCAAGGATGGGACAGTCTAGAAAGAGAGAGAAAGCAAGGTTGGGGAGATTGAGTGAGCTCAGTAAGGGAGAGAATGGCTCAGGATGCACTCAGAGAGACTGCTCAGAGTCTCACTTGGTCTTTTTTTTTTTTTTTTTAAAGATTGGCACCTGGGCTAACAACTGTTGCCAATCTTTTTTCTTTTTTTTCTGCTTTATCTCCCCAAACCCCCCCAGTACACAGTTGTATATCTTAGTTGTAGGTCCTTCTGGTTGTGGGATGTGGGACGGCGCCTCAACGTGGCCTGACGAGCAGTGCCATGTCCGTGCCCAGGATCCGAACCCAGGGCCGCGGCAGCGGAGCGTGCGAACTTAACCACTCGGCCACAGAGCCGGCCCCTCACTTGGTCTTTAAAGCAGTAGCTCCTTGCTGAGGACTCCACAAGTCACTTTCTGTCTTCTGCTCCTTGAACACTAAGCCTCATTCATTCACCTTCACACATGACAACTCCCTCCCCGTCCCTGCACCCTCCCTCCCGCCTTGTCTCTGGCATCTGGCATAAAATAATGATTTAGCAACTGCCTGCAGAATGAATGAGCCTCTGAGTGGCATAACTGAGCAGTGCTTGCTGGGAGTGAAACAAGCAGTTCTGTTCACGTGTACCTCATGGCTGGGTAGGGTGATTCCACCTGGTGGCTCTCCGCAACCACCTACACATCTGTCCTGGCCGCCACTCTCCCGCCACCCCCAGGATGCAGAGCTCCCAGTTCAAAGATCACTGCATAAAAAATGTCTCAGAGACTCTTGTACAGGGACTCCTGGGGAGAGAGATCTCTTTATTCCTGAGGAACATGACAGGTAAACTATGGCTACCCTGGCCAGTCCAAGTTTGCAAGCCAGAAGGATCTAGAAATGTTCTTCCCTCAACTCTCCTCACTCAGATTCAGTGAGGAATGTGGTATTATGTGGATGGATAGATACAAATGTTCACATCCAAAGTTTCTGCCATCTTAGCATTTCTCTATATACTAATTTTTAACCAGCATCTGATTAAGAGATCACAATCTTAGCCAAAATCCTTTTAAAAGCTCATATTAAAGATAAACCTCAATCAATAATTCAGTCTCCATAAGAAAAAAGTGCCCACAATAGCAGTAGTATCTAATATGTATTGAAGACTTACCATATGGAATACATCGTCCCACACATTGTATGTGTATCATCTCATTTAAAGCTTACAGTGACCCTCAGCAATTAAATATTATAATCGCTCCCATTTTACAAAGGAGGAACTGAGGCCCAGAGAAGTGAAGTGTCTAGTAATTGCACAATAAAATGTATCTAATCATGAAGCCTATGGAGGATATTAAAAATAAAGTATGCATCAATTTCTTGACCTCAAGAAACTTACCGTCCAGTTAGGAAAACAAGACGTTACACCTGAAACATTAAGATAAAAGTCATCAGAATCCGCATGCACTGCTGGTGGAATGCAAAACAGTGCGGCTGCTTTGGAAAACGGTCTGGCAGCTCCCCAAACAGCTAAACATAGAATTACCATATCATTCAGCAAGTCCACTCCTGGGTACCTACCCAACAGAAGTGAAAACACAGGTCTCCACAAACACTTACACACAGGTGTTCACAGCAGCACTATTCATAGTAGCCAAAAAGCAGAAACAATCCAAATGTCTATCAACTGATGAGGGGAATATAGATGTGGCATATCCAGACAATGGAAGATTATTTAGCCATAAAAAGGAATGAAGTTCTGACACAGGCTACAACACAGATGAATCTTCAAAACATGCTAAGTCAAAGAAGCCAGTTACAAAGGAGCAAATATTCTGCGATTCCATTTACATGATCTGTCCAGTGAGGCAGATCCAAAGAGATAAAAAGTACATTAGCAGTTGCCTAGGGTGGGGGGACGGAGGAGTTGGGAGTGATGTCTAAGGAGTACAGGGTTTCTTTTTGGGGTAACGAAAGTGTTCTAAAATTGTGATGATGGATGCACAATTCTGTGAATATACTAAAAGCCATTGAATTGTACACTTTAAATGGGTGAATAGTATGGTATGTGAATTATACGTCAAGAAAGCTGTTTTTTAAAAAGTCATCAGAGAATTTTAGATGAAAACTTCAAATACAAAAAACAAATGCAGTTTTGCTTAATATGGAATAGTTCCACGGCGTCTTCAACTGAAGACAGGTGCCCTGACTTACCCCTATAAAATGTCCATTATCTAAAATTATAATTTGCTTTAATCGTGTATCTAAATTGTGCTCTGCTGAAGTGAGAGAGACCAAAACAGAGATCACAAACTGTCAGCCACAGGGCAAGAACAGAGTACCACTCCCTGTAACTGTCCAATGACAACTGCTTAATCTGACAATGTTCCTATTTGGGTTTACTTTTTGGGCGGGGTGGAGTGGGAGAGAAAGGAGGGAGCCGTTCTTGGGAGTGGTCACAGCTTTAGAAGGCACAGAGCTACGTGCACAATGACTGGAGGACATTGCTCTTGTAAGCACACCCACAGACCGCATAAGACTCAAATGTCCAGTGTTACAGCAGGCAAAGCTTGGGCAGCTGCTGGTATCTGGGAGGAGCGCAGGGTGCTAAATAAATGCCTGATGCCCGAAAAGTCAAACCCTAACCTCAGACACATAAGGACACCAGACAGAGTTACAGAAATGATTATTCACGCTCTCTTTCACAGGAAGTCTTCATTTTCAATCTTATTTTCCTAACTTTTTCATAAGGTTTAGAGACAAAAGCTTCAGGAGCTGGAAAGTCTAGAGCAAAGCCTCATGGACCTTGGAACTTGGATTAGCAGAAAGGGAATCTCAAATTGGGGACAAAAAGATTAGAAATAGGAGTTCCCGAGAACTGGGGCTGCGGCCTCCTCACCCCGGTGCAAAGGAGAGTGATTTTCTTCCTCCTGAGGTTGCCTAAAACATCATGTTCCTTGGATAAAAGGAGCTGCAAAGTTACCAAATACACACAAATAGAAAAATCAATCAAAAAATGGAAACCCAAACAATTTATATCTTCTTAAAATCAATAGCTTATAGTAGCAAATACTACTTAGTTATATTAATATTTTGAAGCAAAAAGACTAAACAAGGACAAAAAATGGTGAAATGGCAATTAATCTTCCAGGGCAGAAAGTACTACTATTACCTCATAAGCACTGTTGAATAGGACATTTTTAAAAGGAAGGGCTCAAGAATGTGGGCCATTTTATACGAGATCATGATAAACCTGCAGTTACTGGGGAAGCATTTCACATTTGCTAAAGAAACAAAAAGAAAAAAAGAAAAGAAAACATATTGCCCTCATACATTAGTGACAACTGCAGACCTCATCTGTAACGCCCCACTTGGTCTGCCAGCCTGTATCTGTTTCTCTGCACAAAGGCTTGTCTTCCTCCTGGGAGACTGCCCGATGACTGCAGGAAATCCTCCCTGAACCGCAGGCACTGAGCATAGGCATCTATTTGATCTCGGCAGGAACCCAAGATGCGGCCAGTATCTTAAATTGGTAGATGCGGTATTTAATGGCTCCAAATCACATTTCTTGACTTACGTGGGAGTTTCCCTAAGGACTAAAGGATTAAGGAAAATACACTCTGGAAACAGGGGAAAGAATGTTTCATATAATTCCAGAAACGCAGAGCAGACAGGACACAAAGATCATTTAGTCCAGTGGTTCTCAATCGGGAGTGATATTGCCCCCCAGGGGACATTGAGCAATGTCTGGAGACATCTTTTTTTCCTTTCTTTTTTCTTTTGGTGAGGAAGACTGGCCCTCAGCTAACATCTGTTGCCGATCTTCCTCTTTTTGCTTGAGGAAGACTGTCACTGAGCTAACATCTGTGGTGATCTTCCTCTATTTGTATGTGGGACACGTGCCACAGCATGGCTTGATGAACAGTGCGTAGGTCTGTGTCCGGGGTCCA